TTTCTAGAGGAAACACCTGGCTAGACTTCTAAATAATGTTTTAGAGACAAAACGAGCCTGTCTAAACTATAAAAAGGTCATTTTTAAAAAGTCGAAAAATTTGCATTTTTGCAAAGGGGGTTAACCCATGATTTTGGTCAAAAATGTTAACTTTTATGCATGTCTATTTTTCTAGAGGAAGCACCTGGCTATACTTCTAAATAATGTTTTAGAGAGAAAACCAACCTTTCTGATCTATAAAAAGGTCATTTTCAAATAGTCGAAAAATTTGCATTTTTGCAAAGGGGTCAACCCATGATTTTGGTCAAAAATTTGAACTTTCATGCATCTCTGTTTCTCTTCAAAAAACACCTGGCTATACTTTTTAATAATCTTTTAGAGAGGAAACCATGCTTTCTTGACTATAAAAAGGTCATTTTCAAAAAGTCGAAAAATTTGCATTTTGGCAAAGGGGTTAACCCATGATTTTGGTCAAAAATTTGAACTTTCATCCATGTCTGTTTTTCTTCAAAAAACACCTGGCTATACTTTTTAATAATGTTTTAGAGAGAAAACCAGCCTTTCTAAACTATAAAAAGGTCATTTTCAAAAAGTCAAAAAATTTGCATTTTTGCAAACGGGTTAACCCACGATTTTGGTCAAAAATTTGAACTTTCATGCATTTCTGTTTTTGTAAGACAAAACACCTGGCTCTACTTTTTTTATAATGTCTTGGAGTGATAACAAGCCTTTTTAAACTATAAAAAGGTCATTTTGAAAAAGTCGAAAAATTTGCCTTTTTGGAAAGGGGTTAACCCATGGTTTTGGTCAAAAATTTGAACTTTCATGCAGGTCTTTTTTTATAGAGAAAACACCTGGCTATACTGTAAATAGTGTTTTAGAGAGAAAACCAGCCTTTCTAAACTATAAAAGGTCATTTTCAAAAAGTCGAAAAATGTGCATTTTTGCAAAGGGGTTAACCCATGATTTTGGTCAAAAATTTTAACTGCCATGCATGTCTGTTTTTCTAGTGAAAACACCTTGTTATACTTCTAAATAATGTTTTAGAGAGAAAATCAGGCCTTCTAAACTATAAAAAGATCATTTTCAAAAAGTCGAAAAATTTGCATTTTTGGAAAGGGGTTAACCCATGGTTTTGGTCAAAAATTTGAACTTTCATGCAGGTCTTTTTTTATAGAGAAAACACCTGGCTATACTGTAAATAGTGTTTTAGAGAGAAAACCAGCCTTTCTAAACTATAAAAGGTCATTTTCAAAAAGTCGAAAAATGTGCATTTTTGCAAAGGGGTTAACCCATGATTTTGGTCAAAAATTTTAACTGCCATGCATGTCTGTTTTTCTAGTGAAAACACCTTGTTATACTTCTAAATAATGTTTTAGAGAGAAAATCAGGCCTTCTAAACTATAAAAAGATCATTTTCAAAAAGTCGAAAAATTTGCATTTTTGGAAAGGGGTTAACCCATGGTTTTGGTCAAAAATTTGAACTTTCATACAGGTCTTTTTTTATAGAGAAAACACCTGGCTATACTGTAAATAGTGTTTTAGAGAGAAAACCAGCCTTTCTAAACTATAAAAGGTCACTTTCAAAAAGTCGAAAAATTTGCATTTTTGCAAAGGGGTTAACCCATGATTTTGGTCAAAAATTTGAACTGCCATGCATGTCTGTTTTTCTAGTGAAAACACCTTGTTATACTTCTAAATAATGTTTTAGAGAGAAAACCAGGCCTTCTAAACTATAAAAAGATCATTTTCAAAAAGTCGAAAAATTTGCATTTTTGGAAAGGGGTCAAGCCATGATTTTGGTCAAAAATTTGAATTTTCATGCATGTCTGGAGAAAACACCTGGCTATACTTTTTAATAGTGTGTTAGAGAGAAAACCAGCCTTTCTAAACTATAAAAGGGTCATTTTCAAAAAGTCGAAAAATTTGCACTTTTGCAAAGGGGTTAACCCATGATTTTAGTGAAATATTTGAAATTTCTTGCAGGTGTGTTTTTCTATTAAACAGGCTTCGAGATACTGTTAAATAATGTTTTGGAAAGAAAACAAGCCCTTTTAAACTATAAAAAGTCATTTTCAAAAATTCGAAAAAATTAGCATTTTTGCATAGGGGTTAACCCACGATTTTGGACTAAAATCTAAATTTCTTGCATGTGTGTTTTTCCATAAATTGGCCTCGATATACTGTTTAATAATGTTAGAGAGAGAAACTAAGCGTTTCTAGACGATATAAAGACATTCTTGCATGTGTGTTTTTTCATAAAATAGGCTTCGTTATACTTTTTAATAATGTTTAAGAGAGAAAACAAAGGTCATTTTCAAAAAGTCGAAAAATGTCGATTTTTCCAAAGGAGTTAACGCACGATGTTGGTAAAAAATTTGAAATTTTTTGGCACGTGTTTTTCCATAAAGCAGGCCTCGATATACCGTAGTCAGGGCAGGACTTCGTCTCGCGGCCTCAGATTAGCGAGAGCACATACAATTCTATTCCATGGGCTTCCACAAAGCATTCCAGCAGAATCATAGCCTGCGAAAACAGCCGTTTCTCCTCGCTCCTTGCCACTGGGGGCGTTTCGCCAGGACAGACGTCTGCGTCTCAGCGACAGAAATTCCATACTGATGACGTAAATCAATGTTTGCATAATCATTCCGGTGGTCATGGAGTTCCAAGCGCAAATTTGTCCGATTTTAGGTTTGTCCAGGTCGGTTTTTGTAAAGTTTGTGTTCGTCTTCGAACGAGCTCCAGCAAAACTGAAATCCTTATTCTAGAGAAGAGAATAGTCGTGGAATATACTCTTCTCTGGAATAAGAAGATTTATAGCCTTTCCATTTGACCTTTGTAGCCTTTTGTTTGCCAATCGTAAACAATAGCTAACGCGTATAACTACTAAGACGACTAATCAGAGCTCCTGACCAGATTACGAACGCAGTTTACGTCATCAGTATGGAATTTCTGTCGCTAAGGTGCAGAAGTTTCTTGTGGCGATACGTCTCAAGCGGCGAGGAGCGAGGAGACAAAGCTGTTTCGCAGGCAAAAGGATTATGACGCAGAACAGGTAAAGCACTTAAATTTTTATTTTAGAATTGGTCTCTGTATATAACGTTTTTTGCTAGGCGTTGTTACACCATACATTTACTATAAATTTATTTCATAAACAGGAAGGCAAAACAGAATGTGTGAGTTCTCCGTGGTTACACAAATAGGTTTGTGGACTCCCTGTGATGGCACTCACTTGAGTTGCAGAAAAGGTGAGTGTCTCCCTAGGGACCTGTCAACATGGAGGGGGTGGGGGACCCCAGGTAGGTGAGGTAACCCGCTTAGGTGGGGTAACCTGCCTGTCCATATATTAAATCTTTCCTTTTAAAGTGATCACGTTTACATAATAGGTGGGGTGACCCGCGACATGTTACCTCACCTATCTGGGGCCCCCCTCCTCCATATAAACAGGCCCTTAAAATGTCTTTTTACCATGACGTTTTAATTTCTGAAAGAAAAAGAACTCAGAAATAATTACGTTTGTACTTTCTTTCACGTTGTGACAGCTGCCAATATCTCAGTGTTAATCGGTAAGCGCATTGAGAAAAACGTGTCAAGTAGAGCCTGTGAAAACAACCGATTCTCCTCGCTCCATTTCGCCAGAAGGGACGTCTGCGCTTCAGCGACAGAAATTCTATACTGATGACATAAATCACCGTTTAGCGGATAAAGGGTATCAGTACTGCCGTCACTGTCTGACTCAGTAGTAATAACGGCTTCACATATATCTGTTACGACTTTCTTTACATGGGTCCTGGAGGTCTTTGATCCAAAAGGTCAAGATAACTGAAACAAAATCAAATCAGGGGGTAGGGGTTAGACGAATCAAACTGGCGGCCAGGGGCATAGGAGACTGGGTGGATCAATATAGGTTTCTGGAAAACGGCCCACCTACCCCTACCCTAAGCTAACATTAACACATACTTCTCACTTTGGGCAAAATGATGGCTTAGGGGAGGGGAAGGTAGGCAGTTTCCCAGAAACCTAAACCACATCGTCGACAATAAATAGAGTTAGTGAACTGAAGAAAAAGGAGAAACAATAGTGGTAAGTGCCAGATTTCCCTTTTATTGCAGCCAGTTGCTAAATTGTGGAGGGACCAGGGAGGCGGGATCAGGAGTCAGTATGTTAAGGCGTGCTATGCAACCTCTTTAGTCCATGTTTGATGACAACTCGCCCACACAGACCAATGATGGCACACCCAGATCAACGAAGGAACACCCACATCAATGATGGCACACCCAGATTAATGACGGCACACCCAGACCAATGATGGCACCAATCAGTTAGATCACGACACTAGGGCCTACCTGCCCTACTCTTTTTTCAACAAGATCAAAGGTTTATAAATGTCCCCGCCCAATAATTTTAATGCATGGATGAAGAAGACAAGACTACCCAGTGATGGAATCATCTGAATGTTGAAGGGGTTTTAATCACAGCTTATCATGCCCTTACGAACTGAGCTAAGTAGGAGGCAGTGAAACAAGTCAATATCATATATAGCCTGTGAACATTCCCATAAGTAGATGATGACGCTACACACAACCAGGTTTTAAAATATGGGTATTCAAATTCCGTTTGAACACCCTTCAAAACTCATAGGCAGCTATTCCTTTAAGTAGTATATAGAGCTACGTTTGATTCAATTTACCGTATACCAATGTAAATAAACAAATATATACGATAAAATAAATGATGATTTAGAAGCAGCACATCCACATTCCTGGTGGAATAGGAATTTGGAATTTGGTTTTTGAAGAAAGGGGAAAACTGAGGCACCTGAAAAAAAAAGCCTCTCACAGCAAGAGAGAGAACCAACAATAAACTCTACCTACACTTGCCACTAAGATGCTCGGATTTGAACCAGGGTCACATTGGTGGGAGGCGAGTGGCTCTCACCACTCAGCACTGGGCCACCCTTGCTCGTCAAGGATAAAAATATATGGTCATTGTGGTAACGTTTACCTTGGGTTGTGCATCTCTATCCGTCCTCTTAATATTGATGGCCCTAACAATGTACTGAATTGAGAAAGGCATTCTGAAGCTGCAGTTGAAGTCAGTGCATTGTCACATTTCTGAGTGATAGAAGAGAACACAAAATGAAAACCGTAAAATTCCGAAAATAATCCCCGGGGCTTACATTTTTCAAAGGCCCTTTTTGAGGGGCTTATATTCGGAGGGGCTTATATACAGAGCGAAATTTGCGTTTGAAAATCGATTGGGCTAGCCTTATAGTTAGAGGGAAATTTTCCGTTTTTGCTTTGTTTTACTTTGTATTTGAGGGCAATTTCTATGTACAAGCCCCCGGGGGGCTCATATTTGGAGGGGCGATTTAACGGAGGGTTTTTTGCGTTACGAGTTTGAAGAGCTTACATTTGGAGGGGCTTATACATGGAGGGGCTTATTTTCGGAATTTTACGGTACATCAGTAAACCTGGGTTAACTATTGATCAAAACCAAATTTCATTAACTTTATCAAATTCTACCGAACAAAAATAAATATAACGAGGTGAAAGGTTGTGCTAAAGAGGTCTCATTTGAATGTGGTCATGCCATAGGATCTCGTCGACAGACTCAAAAGTTAGAAACTGCTTATTTTGCATGATATACAGTTACATCGTTTCTCGGTACCAGACCTTTGTGTCTTCCCTCCCCCGGGAGGCCGTTTTTCTGCACCGACGACCGAAAACCGAATTTATAACTGGGCCGCACAGGCAGCCCAGCAATAAAATAATAATAAAAAAATAAAAGATGAAATGAATCTTACCAGGCTGTAGAATATTGTATCAATAAAGAGCTCAAGGTATCTTTTAAACTGATTTTTTCCAATGCCTTTGGCAATGACGGGCAACTGACAAATGAAAAACATTATTTTAGCATTTAATAATAATAATTTTAATAATTTTATTACTTATAATGTGCAAATTCGCATATGTATATAACCAAATATGCGTTATAGTATAATTTATTACTAAAAAACATACAAACTTTCTTTGACTTCTCTGTCGTCAACAAAATGAAAAACTTGATAGAAAGTGGTAGTTCTTATTCTGTTGAGCACTGCATTATTTCATAGTCCAAACATTATCAGAAAAGGCCCGAACACCTACGAGTTTATAACAATGCAGCAAGCTGTACACAAAGTGCAATAGCCTAGTTATAAAATCTACGTTGAAAGGGAAAATATGGAAAGTTCAAGTATCTGAAGGTTTGGAGGTTATTTGTTATAGTAATAAATACTATTAAATATTTACCTGAGTACAAACAGTTTCCAAAAGATGGAGATGCTGTGTATAATGTTTGTGGTGGGCAGCCTGTGACACGAGTGGGATTAACTTGATGACTTCTTTGTGAGTCTTGGGGTTGGCTGATAGTTCTGCGAGTAAGTCCACACAACTGATAAGAAAAAATATCAATAAACATCATTATACCATACACAGTGAGCTCATGCTGATCTCATATCTTATTGACCCTTTTTAAAAGCCCCAGTATCCACATACAAATTCTCCAAACTTATCTCTATGCATTTCCTTTAATAATTAGTTGAGAGAATTAAACAAAAGATCAAAGCATTTTCTTTTTGGTGATCATTTTATTACTTCTCATAGCCTTATCTCTTGACTACATATGGATATTGTTAGGAGAAAATTAGTGTTGGTCACTATTGGGACTTAAAGGGTTAAACAAGCTCACCTGTCCACTAGATGTAAAGCATTCTCAGGTGAATGATTTTAACTCCTTGAAGTCCAAATTAAAGTAATCAACATCAATTTTTTCCTAATAGTATCAATCCATTTATAATAAAGAAAGAAGTTATAAGAATAACTAAGATGAACATCTAATAGAATTGCTTTGATATCTTATAACAAGTTCTCCTGTCTAAAAATTCATTAAGGAAAGTTGTGGAGATCAATTTGGAAAATTTTGTATGTTAGTGAATATTGGGTATTTTAAGACATATTAAGATATTAACATGAGACGCAGTGTCTCATCACCAGATGAAAGCCTCAGAAGAGAGTTGAAAATATGACATGCAGCAGAGTATTTTTGACGAACTTTGGCGTGTTTCATCTGGTGATGAAACACTATGTCGAATGCTTGATATTACTTCTCAAACAAAATGATTTTAGAATGAGAAATTAAGGATGCAAAAATGAGCGGTTTTTCATCTGATTTCCAAATACTCATAGTATTTTCTATATGAATTATTAATGAGTTTAGAAGGTGTAAGGAAAAAAGAAATTCTGTATCAAACTGGGTAGCATACTAGTTTCACATGACAACAGATTTAACTACAAAATACAGAGTAAAGTTCATCTTACCCATCGGCTTTCTCCCATGATTCAGCTGGTCTTCTAAAGAGATGGTCCGCACATCCACCACCTCTTCTCATTTTAGGGGCCAGGGAGCCACACGAGTACATCTTAAGGGAAAAAGGTGAAAGTTAAAATTCTTCATGGAGGAAAAGGAACATCATATGAACTGTAAAACCGATATGATGCAGAGTGTAAGTTAGAGTCTTTGATTACATCATATCCAGTGATCTGACTATCCAAATGGAACCTCTTAATATCCAGTACTTTAACATAGCACAACTTCTTTATCAGTATACTTCGAATAAGTGAACTCTGTGAGAACTCCTGAAGTTTTCATAAAATGCTGAAAAACAACAGTACCATCTGAAAGTTCAGCCAAAAAAGGTTTTATTTGAATGGTCACACCATAGGATTTTATCCACAGACTCAAAAGTTAGAACCACTTTGTACAGTATAATAAACAGTACCACAGGAAAGTACTGCTCAGTAGCTTTCATTTGAATGGTCACACCATAGGATTTCATCCACAGACTCAAAAGTTAGAACCACCTTGTACAGCATAATAAACAGTACCACAGGAAAGTACTGCTCAGTAGCTTTCATTTTAATAGTCATACCATATGGTTTTATTCACAGACTCCAGTTAGAGCTTCTTTTACATCTTTTACACATGATGATAATTCCAGTGAGTAAAAGATTCAAGTCATGATACCACACCTGTCTGTCTGTATGTAGCTCCATATCATTGTCTCTAAGTCTCTTTATCACTCCAAATGTTGCAGGACCCTTTTCTATCCCTGCATACCTGTTGAAAGGGCAAAAAAGATGATGCTATGAAAATACACAAAGATTCTAGCAGCAAGGGCTTGAAAGTATGCCTTAAATAATACACAACATAATAAATTACTGCTATTTCAACAAAAATGTGAAATAACGTAAAATCACTCAAATACAGCCCAGCTATAGAAACTGTGTGTATGTTAATTGGCTAATTAAAAGTATATTTTTTTCCAAAAACCTACTTTTCTGTTGTGGCTTCCTGTTTATCAACTCCTTGCAGACCATCTGTTATTTTCTTTAGCACAATGGCTAGAGCACTTTCGCCTGAAAGTAATAGTAATATTATTGGAACAAAATATTATTGGAACAAGGCATCCACAAGGACTACCAGAACCTAGTTAAGGCTCCTCCAGCACTCTCTTAAATTACAGTCGAAACTCCACTGGCGATCACCTCTTGTAAGCTACCACCTCCCATAAGCGATCACCCGTACAAAAAACCAAAACTTTCCCAGTCAGAGACTGCGACCACTTTTTAGACTTGAAAGTTTCATGATTTTCCAATTGTTTTTAACCTCTTGTAAGCAACTACTTCACTTGTTCGCTGATCTCTATGTTTGCTGTGCGCACCATGCTACCTAGATTAGAATATATGTCTTTGAAGAACTTTAAAGACAAGATGGAACTACAAATTAATGGTGTAACTTGGAAATCCCATGCAATGAATTATCTTCCATAAAGAAGATGAGCCTGGAAGAGGCCCCCTGTGGTTTGATTCTAGTGAGTGACCACCTCCTATAAGACTCACTGATCACTTAGTGATCAGTGAGTCTTTGCATTTTTGGTAGTCACTTACAGGAGGTTCGACTGGTATAATAGTGAACAAACATGTAACATACCATAAGCTTTAACAACGTTCCCAAGCGACATCGCAGCTCCCTGTCGTACGGATGGAATACCGTCTGACAAGTTTCCAAAAAACAGTGGATATAGTTCATCCATGCTGGGACTGAAAACAGACGGCAAAAATAGAACAAACTAAAAATAAAGTTTTTAATGACCCTGGTACTTAGTTTATAAGGGATTTTCTATCAAAAACAAGCAGTTAACAATCAGCAGGGCAATTAGACCTTAAAATCTTAATGCTCTTATTGCTTTACAACAGTACTGTAACTTATAATGCAAACCACAATTCTCTAACCCTTTTTCCTTAGAAATAAATTGTACTATGCAAAAAGGCTGCTAAATAGGTTTCATTCCAATGGCATTTTGTTTGCAGATTCAAAATAACTGAGAGATACCCATACAATAAGTATATTCATATAGAGAGGAAAAAAGCTATGTCAATAAAATATTTCTCTGTTCCTGATTGGTTAAAATCTAACGGATGATTCGTTACAACCAGCTACTGTTGACCCAATTTTTGGAAGAAGTTTGTGATATGTGAAAAATGACATCCATTCTACAGAACAGTCCTCAATCTCTATTATTCTTCAAATGATACTCTGCCTCATCCAATAATTGTCAAGTAATGTTAAAAAAGAAAAGAAAAGAAAAGCTAAAAGCAGAAACTACCAATACATGTAAGTATATGGTTTTGCATGCCTCTCGACCAATAGTGGACCATTGGACTCGTTATGAGACAATCAAGTTTGATTGTAAAACCCAAAATGAAGTCACACTATTATAGGTCAGTAGTTCATGTATGACCCCATGAAATCTCCTGACACACCAGTGCCATGGACACCAGTGCCATGTCAGGCATTTACTTAAAAGACTCATCTAGTCAGAACAGAAATAAAATATATATATATATATATATAATATAATAATAATATATATAATAATAATATATATATATATATATATAATATAATAATGCATTGCTTGACTGTGTGCTACAGTCTTCAGCAGACTTGGGTATTGTTTCCATCCCTTCTGCAATAAATAAAGAGATGGAATAAATACTCCAAACACTACCCCTGTTACCCACTTTCTGAAACCTACCTGCATTCCTCAGGGAAACAAAGGACAAAATTTCCACAGGCCACACATGCAGCTGAAAGGAAAGTTAACATAATTTTGCACATGCAAGCATGTTAAACCTTACAGTGTATTGGTGAAAAGTGGCAATCTTTGTACTATGTATTGGCAATTACTATAAAGGGGAACAGGGAAAAATAGGAATTATGGGAACAAGGAGAACAAGGGGAACAGGGGAACAAGAGGAACAGGGGAAAAACAAGACAAAGGGAACAGGGGAAGGGGGGACAAGGGAACATAGCAATTAGAGGAACAAAGGGAACAGGAGAAAAGGGGAGCAAGGGAACATAGCAAATAGAGGAACAGGAGCACAGGGGAACAAGGGAACATAGCAATTAGAGAAACAAAGGGAACGGGAGAACAGGGGAACAAGGGGAACAGGAGAACAGGGGAACAAGGGAAACAGGGGAACAGAGGAACAGAGGAACAGAGGAACAGAGGAACAGAGGAACAGGACAACAAGGGGAACAGGGCAACAAGGGAACAAGGGGAACAAGGGAACAGGGCAACAAGGGGAACAAGGGAACAAGGCGAACAGAGGAAAAGGGCAACCAGGGGAACAAGAGAATGGGGAACAGGGCAACAGAGAACCAGGGCAACAAGAGCACAAGGAAAACAGGGCAAGAGGGCAACAAGGGGAATAAAGGGAACAAGGGGAACAGGGAAACAAGGGAACAACTCACCATCTCTAACTGGCCAGCTGTCATCTTTAAAACAACACACAAGGGCATGCAAAAGATCAGACACATGTGACCGCAAACAGTCTGGATCAACCTACACAATGTCATGTAACATAAAACAAATTAGAAGAACAGTAAAGCATGGGCCACTACAAGTTAAAATCACCAGCAACTTTGGTATTTTTATAATGCGACAATGGTTTAAGTACTGACATGTACATGGACTTGGTAAAAAGGAAAAAAAAGCAACGAGGAAATATTCCTAACAAAAGAAAAAGGGTACAAGAAAACCAGAGGAAAAAAAAATAAAGTAAAAAGCAACCAGGTAAAAAAACAAAAAAGAAAAAAGGTAACAAGAGAAAGAGGTAAAGGTAGAAAAGGTAACACGGATAACAAGGGGTAACAAGGGCAACAAGGGTAACAAGGGGTAACAAGAGGTAACAAGGGTAAAAAGGGTAACAAGGGGTAACAAGGGTAACAAGGGGTAAGAAGGGGTAACAAGGGTAACAAGGGAAACAAGGGTAACAAGGGGTAACAAGGGGTAACAAGGGTAACAAGGGTAACAAGGGTAACAAGGGGTAACAAGGGGTAACAAGGGTAACAAGGGTAACAAGGGGTAACAAGGGTAACAAGGGTAACAAGGGTAACAAGAGGTAACAAGGGGTAACAAGGGTAACAGGGGTAACAAGGGTAACAAGGGTAACAAGGGTAACAGGGGTAACAGGGTAACAAGGGTAACAGGGGTAACAGGGGTAACAAGGGTAACAAGGGTAACAGGGGTAACAAGGGGTAACAAGGGTAACAAGGGTAACAGGGGTAACAAGGGTAACAAGGGTAACAGGGTAACAAGGGTAACAAGGGTAACAGGGGTAACAAGGGTAACAAGGGTAACAGGGGTAAGGGTAACAAGGGTAACAGGGGTAACAGGGTAACAAGGGTAAAAAAGGGTAACAGGGTAACAAGGGTAACAAGGGTAAGGGTAACAAAAGGGTAACAAGGGTAACAAGGGTAACAAAAAGGGTAACAAGGGTAACAAGGGTAACAAGGGTAACAAGGGGGTAACAAGGGGTAACAAGGGGTTAACAGGGGTAACAACAACAAGGGGTAACAAGGGGTAACAAAGGGTAACAAGGGTAACAAGGGTAACAAGGGGTAACAAGGGTAACAAGGGGGAACAAGGGTAACAAGGGTAACAAGGGGTAACAAGGGTAACAAGGGTAACAAGGGGTAACAAGGGGTAACAAGGGGTAACAAGGGTAACAAGGGTAACAAGGGTAACAAGGGGTAACAAGGGGTAACAAGGGTAACAAGGGTAACAAGGGTAACAAGGGGTAACAAGGGGTAACAAGAGTAACAAGGGTAAAAAGGGGTAACAAGGTATAACAAGGGCAACAAGGGGTAACAAGAGGTAACAAGGGTAACAAAGGGTAAAAAGGGGTAAAAAGGGTAACAAAGCGTAAAAAGGGGAACAAGGGGTAACAAGGGGTAACCAGGGTAACAAAAGGTGAAAAGACTAACAACGGGTAACAAGGGTAACAAGGGGTAACAAGGGGTAACAAGGGTAAGAAGAGATTACAAGGGTAACAAGGGGTAACAGGGGGTAACAAGGGTTAACAAGGGGTAACAAGAAGTAACAAGGGCAACAACGGGTAACAAGGGTAACAAGGGATAACAAGGGTAAGAATGGGTAACAGATGGTAACAAGGGTAACAAGGAATAAGAAGGGTAAAAAGGGTTAACAAGAATAACAAGGGTAACAAGGGGTAAAAACAGGTAACAAGGGTAACGAGAATAACAAGGCGTAACAAGGGTAACAAGGGGTAACAATGGTAACAAGGGTAACAAAGGGTAACAGGGTAAAAAGGGGTAACAAAGGGTAACAAGGGTAACAAGGGGTAACAAGGGTAACAAGGGTAACAAAGGGTAACAAGGGTAACAAGGGTAACAAGGGTAACAAGGGTAACAACAAAGGGTAACAAGGGGTAACAAGGGTAACAAGGGTAACAAAGGGTAACAAGGGTAACAAGGGGTAACAAGGGTAACAAGGGGCAACAAGGGTAACAAGGGTAACAAGGGTAACAAGGGGTAAAAAGGGTAACAAGGGGTAACAAGGGGTAACAAGGGTAACAAGGGTAACAAGGGGTAACAAGGGTAACAAGGGTAACAAGGGTAACAAGGGTAACAAGGGGTAACAAAGGGTAACAAGGGTAACAAGGGTAACAAGGGTAACCAAGAGTAACAAGGGGTAACAAGGGGTAACAAAGGGTAACAAGGGTAACAAGGGTAACAAAGGGTTAAAAGGGGTAAAGAGGGTAACAAAGAATAACCAAGGGTAACAAGGGGTAACAAGGGGTAACAAGGGTAACAAAGGGTAACAAGGGTAACAAGGGTAACAAAGGGTAACAAGGGGTAACAAGGGTAACAAAGGGTAACAAGGTGTAACAAGGGTAACAAAGGGTAACAAGGGTAACAAGGGGTAACATAGGGTAACAAGGGAAACAAAGGGTAACAAGGCTAACAAGGGTAACAAAGGGTAACAAGGGGCAACAAGGGGTAACAATGGGTAACAAGGGGTAAAGGGGTAACAAGGGTAACAAGGGTAACAAGGGCAACAAGGGTAAAAAAGGGTAACAAGGGGTAACAAGGGTAACAAGGGGTAAAGGGTAACAAGGGGTAACAAGGGTAACAAGGGGTAACAAGGGTAACAAGGGTAACAAGGGTAACAAGGGTAACAAGGGTAACAAGGGTAACAAAGGGTAACAAGGAGTAAACAAGGGCAAAAAGGGTAACAAGGGTAACAAGGGTAACAAGGGTAACAAGGGTAACAAGGGTTAACAAAGGTAACAAGGGTAACAAGGGTAACAAGGGCAACAAGGGTAACAGGGGTAACAAAGGGTAACAAGGGTAACAAGGGCAACAAGGGGTAACAAGGGGTTAACAAGGGGTAACAAGGGTAACTGGGGGTAACAAGGGTAAAAAAGGGTAACAAGGGTAACAAGGGTAACAAGGGTAACAAGGGTAACAAGGGTAACAAGGGTAACAAGGGTAACAAGGGGTAACATGGGGTAACAAAGGGTAACAAAGGGTAACAGGGGTAACAAGGGTAACAGGGGTAACAAGGGTAACAAAGGGGTAACAAGGGTAACAAAGGGGTAACAAGGGTAACAAAGGGGTAACAAGGGGTAACAAGGGTAACAAGGGGTAACAAGGGTAACAAGGGGTAAGGGTAACAAAAAGGGTAACAAGGGTAACAAGGGTAACAGGGGTAACAAGGGTAACAAGGGTAACAAAGGGGGTAACAAAAAGGGTAACAGGGGTAACAAGGGTAACAAAGGGTAACAAAAGGGTAAAAAGGGTAACAAGGGGTAACAAGGGTAACAAGGGGTAACAAGGGTAAAAAGGTAACAAGGGGTAACAAGGGTAACAAGGGTAACAAAGGGTAACAAGGGTAACAAGGGGTAACAAGGGTAACAAGGGGTAACAAGGGGTAACAAGGGTAACAAGGGGTAACAAGGGTAACAAGGGGTAACAAGGGTAACAAGGGGTAACAAGGGGTAACAAGGGTAAGAAGGGGTAACAAAGGGTAACAAGGGTAACAAGGGTAACAAGGGGTAACAAAAGGGTAACAAGGGTAACAAAGGGGTAACAAAGGGCAACAAGGGTAACAAGGGTAACAAGGGGGTAACAAGGGTAACAAGGGTAACAAGGGTAACAAGGGTAACAAGGGTAACAAGGGGTAACAAGGGGTAACAAGGGGTAACAAGGGTAACAAGGGTAACAAGGAGTAACAAGGGTAACAAAGGGTAACAAGGGGTAACAAGAGGTAACAAGGGTAACAAAAGGTAACAAGGGTAACCAGGGGTAACAAGGGGTAACATGGGGTAACAGGAAGTAACAAGGGTAACAAGGGTAACAAGGGGTAACAAGGGTAGCAAGGGGTAACAAGGGTAACAAGGGTAACACGGGGTAACAAGGGTACCAAGGGGTAAAAAGGGTAACAAGGGGTAACAAGGGTAACAAGGGGTAAGAAGGGGTAACAAGGGTAACAAGGGGTAACAACAAGGGTAACAGGGGTAAACAAAGGGGTAGGGTAACAGGGTAACAAGGGTAACAAGGGTAACAAGGGGCAACAAGGGTAACAAAATAACAAGGGTAACAAGGGTAACAAGGGTAACAAGGGTAACAAGGGTAACAAGGGTAACAAAGGGTAAAGGGTAACAAAGGGTAACAAAGGGTAACAAGGGGTAACAAGGGTAACAAGGGTAACAAGGGGCAACAGGGGTAACAAGGGTAACAAAGGGTAACAAGGGTAAAGGGGTAACAAGGGTAACAAGGGTAACAAGGGTAAACAAGGGTAACAAGGGCAACAAGGGTAACAAGGGTAACAAAGGGTAACAAGGGTAACAAGGGGTAACAAGGGTAACAAGGGCAACAAGGGTAACAGGGGGTAACAAAGGGGTAACAGGGGTAACAACAAGGGTAACAAGGGTAACAAGGGGTAACAAGGGTAACAAGGGTAACAAGGGTAACAAGGGGTAACAAGGGTAACAAGGGTAACAAGGGTAACAAGGGTAACAAGGGGTAACAAGGGTAACAAGGGTAACAAGGGGTAACAAGGGTAACAAGGGGTAACAAGGGTAACAAGGGTAACAAGGGTAACAAGGGGTAACAAGGGTAACAAGGGTAACAAGGGGTAACAAGGGTAACAAGGGGTAACAAGGGTAACAAGGGTAACAAGGGTAACAAGGGTAAAAGGGGTAACAAGGGTAACAAGGGTAAAAAAGGGTAACAAGGGTAACAAGGGGTAACAAGGGTAACAAGGGTAACAAAAGGGGTAACAAGGGTAACAAGGGGTAACAAGGGTAACAAGGGTAACAAGGGTAACAAAGGGAAAAAGGGTAACAAGGCAATAACAAAAGGGTAACAAGGGTAACAAGGGGTAACAAGGGTAACAAAAGGGTAACAAAGGGTAACAGGGGTAACAAAGGGTAACAAAGGGTAACAAGGGGTAACAAGGTAACAACAGGGTAACAAAAGGGTAACAAGGGTAAAAAGGGGTAACAAGGGTAACAAGGGTAACAAGGGTAACAAGGGTAACAGTAACAAGGGGTAACAAGGGTAACAAGGGGTAACAAGGGTAACAAGGGGTAACAAGGGTAACAAGGGTAACAAGGGGTAACAAGGGTAACAGGGGTAACAAGGGTAACAAGGGTAACATGGGTAACAAGGGGTAACAAGGGTAACAAGGGTAACAAGGGACACAAGGGGTAACAAGGGTAACAAGGGTAACAAGGGTAACAAGGGGTAACAAGGGTAACAAGGGTAACAAGGGTAACAGGGGTAACAAGGGTAACAAGGGGTAACAAGGGTAACAAGGGTAACAGGGGTAACAAGGGTAACAAGGGTAACAAGGGGTAACAAGGGTAACAAGGGGTAACAGGGGTAACAAGGGTAACAAGGGGTAACAAGGGTAACAAGGGGTAACAAGGGTAACAAGGGTAACAAGGGGTAACAAGGGTAACAAGGGGTAACAAGGGTAACAGGGGTAACAAGGGTAACAAGGGTAACAGGGGTAACAAGGGTAACAAGGGTAACAAGGGGTAACAAGGGGTAACAAGGGGTAACAAGGGTAACAAGGGTAACAGGGGTAACAAGGGTAACAAGGGTAACAAGGGGAAACAAGGGTAACAAGGGTAACAAGGGTAACAAGGGGTAACAAGGGTAACAAGGGTAACAAGGGGTAACAAGGGTAACAAGGGTAACAAGGGTAACAAGGGTAACAAGGGTAACAAAAGGGTAACAAGGGGTAACAAGGGGTAACAAGGGTAACAAGGGTAACAAGGGTAACAAGGGTAACAAGGGTAACAAGGGTAACAAGGGTAACAGGGGTAACAGGGGTAACAAGGGTAACAAGGGTAACAGGGGTAACAAGGGTAACAAGGGTAACAAGGGTAACAAGGGGTAACAAGGGGTAACAGGGGTAACAAGGGTAACAAGGGTAACAAGGGTAACAAGGGGTAACAGGGGTAACAAGGGTAACAGGGGTAACAAGGGGTAACAAGGGGTAACAAGGGTAACAAGGGTAACAAGGGTAACAGGGGTAACAAGGGTAACAGAAATAACAAGGGTAACAAGGAGTAACAAGAGGTAACAAGGGTAAAAAGGGTAACAAGGGTAACAAGGGGTAACAAGGGGTAACAAGGGTAACAAGGGGTAACAAGGGTAACAAGGGAAACAAGGGTAACAAGGGAAACAAGGGTAACAAGGGTAACAAAGGGTAACAAGGGTAACAAGGGTAACAAGGGTAAAAAAGGGTAACAAGGGTAACAAGGGTAACAAAGGGTAACAAGGGTAACAAGGGTAACAAGGGGTAACAAGGGGTAACAAGGGTAACAAGGGTAACAAGGGGTAACAAGGGTAACAAGGGTAACAAAAGGGTAACAAGGGGTAACAAGGGGTAACAAGGGTAACAAGGGTAACAAGGGGTAACAAGGGTAAGGGGTAACAAGGGTAACAAGGGGTAACAAGGGTAACAAGGGTAACAAGGGTAACAAGGGGTAACAAGGGTAACAAGGGTAACAAGGGTAACAAGGGTAACAAGGGGTAACAAGGGGTAACAAAGGGTAACAAGGGTAACAAGGGTAACAAAGGGTAACAAGGGGTAACAAAGGGTAACAAGGGGTAACAAGGGTAACAAGGGTAACAAGGGTAACAAGGGGTAACAAGGGTAACAAGGGTAACAAGGGTAACAAGGGTAACAAGGGTAACAAGGGGTAACAAGGGTAACAAGGGTAACAAGGGTAACAGGGGTAACAAGGGTAACAAGGGTAACAAGGGGAAAAAAGGGGTAACAAGGGTAACAAGGGTAACAAGGGTAACAAGGGGTAACAAGGGTAACAAAGGGTAACAAGGTAACAGGGGTAACAAGGGGTAACAAGGGTAACAAGGGTAACAAAGGGTAACAAGGGTAAAAAAAGGGTAACAAGGGTAACAAGGGTAACAAAAGGGGTAACAAGGGTAACAAGGGTAACAAAAGGGTAACAAGGGTAACAAGGGTAACAGGGGTAACAAGGGTAACAAGGGTAACAAGGGTAACAAGGGTAAACAAGGGTAACAAGGGTAACAAGGGGTAACAAGGGTAACAAGGGGTAACAAGGGTAACAAGGGTAACAAGGGTAACAAGGGTAACAAGGGTAACAAGGGTAACAGGGGTAACAAGGGTAACAAAAGGGTAAACAAGGGTAACAAGGGGTAACAAGGGTAACAAGGGTAACAAGGGTAACAAGGGTAACAAGGGTAACAAGGGGTAACAAGGGTAACAAGGGTAACAAGGGTAACAAGGGTAACAAGGGTAACAAGGGTAACAAGGGTAACAAGGGTAACAAGGGTAACAAGGGTAACAAGGGGTAACAAGGGTAACAAGGGTAAAAAGGGGTAACAAAGGGGTAACAAGGGTAACAAGGGGTAACAAGGGTAACAAAAAGGGTAACAAGGGGTAACAAGGGGTAACAAAGGGTAACAAAGGGTAACAAGGGTAACAAGGGTAACAAGGGTAACAAGGGTAACAAGGGGTAACAAGGGTAACAGGGGTAACAAGGGTAACAAGGGGTAACAAGGGTAACAAGGGTAACAAGGGTAACAAGGGGTAACAAGGGTAACAGGGGTAACAAGGGGTAATAACAAGGGTAACAGGGGTAACAAGGGTAACAAGGGTAACAAGGGTAACAAGGGTAACAAGGGGTAACAAGGGTAACAGGGGTAACAAGGGTAACAAGGGGTAACATGGGTAACAAGGGGTAACAAGGGTAACAAGGGGTAACAAGGGTAACAAGGGTAACAAGGGTAACAAGGGTAACAAGGGTAACAAGGGGTAACAAGGGTAACAAGGGTAACAAGGGTAACAAGGGTAACAAGGGTAACAAGGGGTAACAAGGGTAACAAGGGTAACAAGGGTAACAAGGGGTAACAAGGGTAACAAGGGTAACAAGGGTAACAAGGGGTAACAAGGGTAACAAGGGTAACAAGGGTAACAAGGGTAACAAGGGTAACAAGGGTAACAAGGGGTAACAAGGGTAACAAGGGTAACAAGGGTAACAAGGGTAACAAGGGTAACAAGGGTAACAAGGGTAACAAGGGGTAACAAGGGGTAACAAGGGTAACAAGGGGTAACAAGGGTAACAAGGGTAACAGGGGTAACAAGGGTAACAAGGGTAACAAGGGTAACAAGGGTAACAAGGGTAACAAGGGGTAACAAGGGTAACAAGGGTAACAAAGGGTAACAAGGGTAACAAGGGTAACAAGGGGGTAACAAGGGGTAACAAGGGTAACAAGGGTAACAAGGGGTAACAAGGGGTAACAAGGGTAACAAGGGTAACAAGGGTAACAAGGGGTAACAAGGGTAACAAGGGTAACAAGGGTAACAAGGGGTAACAAGGGTAACAAGGGTAACAAGGGTAACAAGGGTAACAAGGGTAACAAGGGTAACAAGGGTAACAAGGGTAACAAGGGTAACAAGGGTAACAAGGGTAACAAGGGTAACAAGGGGTAACAAGGGTAACAGGGTAACAAGGGTAACAAGGGTAACAAGGGTAACAAGGGTAACAAGGGTAACAGGGGTAACAAGGGTAACAAGGGTAACAGGGTAACAAGGGTAACAAGGGTAACAAGGGTAACAAGGGTAACAAGGGTAACAGGGGTAACAAGGGTAACAAGGGTAACAAGGGTAACAAGGGTAACAAGGGTAAACAAGGGTAACAAGGGTAACAAGGGTAACAAGGGTAACAAGGGTAACAAGGGTAACAAGGGGTAACAAGGGTAACAAGGGTAACAAGGGGTAACAAGGGTAACAAGGTAACAAGGGTAACAAGGGTAACAGGGGTAACAAGGGTAACAAGGGTAACAAGGGCAACAAGGGTAACAAGGGTAACAAGGGTAACAAGGGGTAACAAGGGTAACAAGGGTAACAAGGGGTAACAAGGGTAACAAGGGTAACAAGGGGTAACAAGGGTAACAAGGGTAACAAGGGTAACAAGGGTAACAAGGGTAACAAGGGTAACAAGGGTAACAAGGGTAACAAAGGGTAAAAGGGTAACAAGGGTAACAAGGGTAACAAGGGTAACAAGGGGTAACAAGGGTAACAAGGGTAACAAAGGGTAACAAGGGTAACAAGGGTAACAAAAGGGTAACAAGGGGTAACAAGGGTAACAAGGGTAACAAGGGTAACAAGGGGTAACAATGGTAACAAGGGTAACAAGGGGTAACAAGGGTAACAAGGGTAACAGGGGGTATCAAGGGGTAACAAGGGTAACAAGGGGTATCAAGGGTAACAAGGATAATAAGGGTAACAAGGGTAACAAGGGTAACAAGGGTAACAAGGGTAACAAGGGGTAACAAGGATAACAAAGGGTAACAAGGGGTAACAAGGGTAACAAGGGTAACAAGGGTAACAAAGGGTAACAAGGGTAACAAGGGTAACAAGGGTAACAAGGGTAACAAGGGTAACAAGGGTAACAAGGGTAAAAAGGGTAACAAGGGTAACAAGGGGTAACAAGGGTAACAAGGGTAACAAGGGTAACAAGGGTAACAAGGGTAACAAGGGTAACAAGGGTAACAAGGGGTAACAAGGGTAACAAGGGTAACAAGGGTAACAAGGGTAACAAGGGTAACAAGGGTAACAAGGGTAACAAGGGTAACAAGGGGTAACAAGGGGTAACAAGGGTAACAAGGGTAACAAGGGGTAACAAGGGTAACAAGGGGTAACAAGGGGTAACAAGGGTAACAAGGGGTAACAAGGGGTAACAAGGGTAACAAGGGTAACAAGGGTAACAAGGGTAACAAGGGGTAACAAGGGTAACAAGGGGTAACAAGGGGTAACAAGGGTAACAAGGGGTAACAAGGGGTAACAAGGGTAACAAGGGTAACAAGGGTAACAAGGGTAACAAGGGTAACAAGGGTAACAAGGGTAACAAGGGTAACAAGGGTAACAAGGTTAACAAGGGTAACAAGGGTAACAAGGGGTAACAAGGGTAACAAGGGTAACAAGGGTAACAAGGGTAACAAGGGTAACAAGGGGTAACAAGGGTAACAAGGGTAACAAGGGTAACAAGGGTAACAAAGGGTAACAAGGGTAACAAGGGTAACAAGGGTAACAAGGGGTAACAAGGGTAACAAGGGTAACAAGGGTAACAAGGGTAACAAGGGGTAACAAGGGTAACAAGGGTAACAAGGGTAACAAGGGGGAACAAGGGGTAACAAAGGGTAACAAAGGGTAACAAGGGTAACAAGGGGTAACAAGGGTAACATAGGGTAACATAGGGTAACAAGGGGTAACAAGGGTAACATAGGGTAACAAAGGGTAACAAGGGTAACAGAGGGTAACAAGAGGTATCATAGGGTAACAAAGGGTAACAAGGGTAAGATAGGGTAACAAGGGGTAACAAGGGTAACAAGGGTAACAAGGGTAACAAGGGTAACAAATGGTAACAAGGGTAACAAACAAAGGGTAACAAGGGTAAAACAAGGGTAACAAGGGTAACAAGGGTGACAAGGGTAACAAGGGTAACAAGGGGTAACAAGGGTAAAGGGGTAACAAGGGGTAACAAGGGTAACAAGGGTAACAAGGGGTAACAAGGGTAACAAGGGTAACAGAGGTAACGGGTAACGAGGGGTAACAGGGGAACAGGGGTAACAAGGGGGAAGAGAGGTAACAAGGGGGGACAAGGGGTCAAGGGGAGAAGGGAAAACAAGGGAAATAGGTGGAACAAGGAGGAACACAGGGGAACAGGGGAACACAGGGGGACAGGGGAACATGGGAACAAGGGGAACAGGGAAACAGGGGAACAGAGGGAGAACACGGGAACACAGGGAAACAGGGGGAACAGGAGAAAAAGGGAAACGGGAACAAGGCGAACAGGGGGAAGAAGAGAAACACAGGGGAAGAGGCGGAACAAGGGGAACAGGGAGGACAAGGGTGACATGGGGAACAGGGAAGACAAGGGGAACAGGAGGAACATAGGTGAACAGGGGAACAAGGGGAGCAGGGGAAACAATGGGAACAGGGGGGGGGAAGACAGGGGAACAAGGGAAATAGGGAGAACAAGGGCAAAAGGGGGAACAGGAAAAACAAGGGGGCAAGGGGAACAGCAGAACAGGGGGAACATGGGAAGAGAGGAAGAACAGGATCGGGAACAGGGGAAGAAGGGGAACAAAAGGTAACAAGGTAGATGTCATGGAAATACTACTGAAAGAGTTGTTGCTGTGCTAACATTAAGTAGACAATAGTTTAATAAACTTGAATTTAATTACATCATCATCAACAACAAGAAAAATAAATTCAAATTTTGAAAAGGTGTTTTCTCTGGCAAGTGTATTAACCTTTTGGCAATTGTAAGGCAATTTAAGGGTAAAAAAACTGACCTTAGTTCCTAGTTCTGCAATACAAGCACAAGCGGCTTCTCTTACAGCATGGTTATCGGCCTTGGTTTGACTGATGTAAAACTCCACCTAGCCAACAACGACAGAAATAATTATGTTATTATGTTTTCATAAGGGCATAGCTATGTATCCACTGTAACTAATACATAATTCAAACTCTGCACCTTATCCTTGACATTATTAAATATTCCACCCACATACTCCACCACATTTTCTCTGCCCTTGGCTTGGCATGTTTTACCACTGAAATAGGAATGCACTCATTTTTTTGGAATATTTTTCCTTATATCATTTCATTTTCTTGGAATGACTTTCCTTACATCATTTCATTTTTTTGGAATGACTTTCCTTATCATTTCTTCCAGAGAAGAGTGAATTTACATGCATCCAGACATCTAAAATATAGTAAACTGAAATGGCTTTTGGCACCACAAAATAGGTTTGCTGACAATGAAGTGTGATTCCTGAAAGCTCCCACAGATCCTATCTTGTTACTACAATAATAATTTGGCAAGATACCTTTTCACAGCAGTAGCCCACACAATAGATGCAAACTTACAATTTCAGTGATGTACTTCTCCACTAGCTGCTTTCCTTCTGTTCCAACAACCATTTTCCAACTTTGTTGACAGTAGATTCTTACACCTTCAGCCACATAGTATCTGAAAAGTGTGACCATGTAATACATGTATAATTTTATGCTAAAACATTGACCACATCTACCTCCAAACTTATTCATACACAAGAACTATGTCATTGTCTAGTCAGTTGGCATCACAGCTTGTCAAATATCAGCATGACACTGTTTTAGCATATAATCATACATGTAAGTCGGTATGTTGATGTATCACATATCAAATGGTGACAAGCGAAATTAGGGAATAATTTCACACACGTTTTGTCGAAATGCAAGTGAAATTTTTCTCTAATTTCACGAGTATACCATTTGATTATGTTAGTAAGCTAACAGTACAGGGACAGTTTTTAGGCAGACAGTCAACAAGTGACTGATGACGATACAGTAAAGACAGTGATGGCATTAATGTTTTGTGTGAAGAAAAAAGTTCAAATACTCATCCACAGCAGCACTTTAATTTGCTTTACCACTTTACACTGTACATGTACTTTTAAGTGTAAGATCTCCTATAAATTAAACTATGTAATATCCAACCTGTTAAGACACATTGCTGGCAAGATTTTAGGATAAAATCTTTCCCTTGATTCACTGTTTGGTAAAGTTTGTAAAAACTGACGTGTGGCCACTGATGCTGCAAGACGAACCTGTGCGAGAAGAAACATGTTAACACAACAAGATAAACTGGCAGATTCCCTATCCCCTTTCTGCTGTAAATTCTCTTAAAACAGAGGAAGAATTTGACATTAGATCAGAGAGTTTAAGGGCTTGTTAAGGCTTTCTTTCACATAATCTTAACTTTACACAATGTCACAGCACAATATAACTAATTTTTAGCCTTAGAATAAGAAAGGACTTAAGTGAGGATAAGATTGAGCAGTAAGAGATGTTTTTTCAAGTATAAAAGAAGACTGGAAGAAAATGAGCAAGGTGAACAACTATTTTTCTATTGTTACATGTAAATGCAATTTATTTTATAAACACCAATGAAATACCAAGTGAGCTTTCCCGTGAAAACTTGATATCTTCACATGTGAAAATAACATGTCCTCTCATGTGAAAATATCACCATTGCTATGGCTTCATAATAAACTGCACCTTTCAGACCAAAAAGCTATTTAAGTAAAATGGTTCAGCATTTCATTGGTGTTTATATAATAAAATTAATAGAACATTACATGGTCCCTTGGAGATACAAAATTTCTCTTCACTCGTTTGCTGCACTCACTCATGAAATATTTGTCAAGACTCGAAGAGAAATTTCGTATCTGCACGCGGCCATGTAATATCCTCTATGTCTTTGCATTGTATTATATACAACTACTGGGTAACTTAGTGATCTTGGTGAAATTAATTTTGTAAAGGTTAACATAACACAAAAACCTCACCTGGCTCCAGTTATCTGACAATCCTTTTTTCAGATAGTCTGCAAACTGCTCCCCGTGCTTTAGGATAGCATTATTTTCCACATTCACTGATGGTGACAGGGTAGCTCCTGACAATTTGTCTGAAAATAATAAAATATAACAAGAAACAAGAAGTTATAACAAGAAGTTTAGTGGATTGCATGGTTTTCACTAAGAATCCTCGTAGCAGAAGAAAGGTGTAACACTACAGGAGAATATTTTGAAAGAGACTCCACATCTGGATAAAAACTAGTCATAAGCTACCGAACATTAGTCGGAGAATTCTGCATTGTTAATGGAGAATTCTCTAATCTCTGATGTCTAATGAACACCCTGAAATTGACTGAGACCAAGAAGGTTAAGTTCAGGCCACAGGGCTAATCTAGCTGACATTATAAAATACTCCAATAATATTACTGATTCCCTTTTGTTTTGCAGAGTGAATTGTCAGGATATATATATATATCTTATTAGACAGTTTAGTGTGCAGTATTGTAGGACATTTTTACAAGTCATGCTCTATTTTGGCGAGCCAGTAGCAGTGCCGGATCCAGACCTGGTGGGGTGTGGGGGGGAGGGGGTGGGGCAGTCTCCCCCAAAAAATTATCCCGCCCCTTTGGGCCTCAGTTTGGTCCAAAAAAATAAAGAGGCAGGGGGGGCAGGCCCCCTGGGCCCCTCCCCTGGATCCGCCACTGAGTAGGGCGAGTATAAAATGTGCTCGCTTACATAACTAGAATGGATGACACACTGACATGAGTCCACTTTTTGCATGCTTTCAGAAACACTGTTGCTGATTAGTCAGAAGTGGAAACTTGTCAAACTAGTTTACTTGGCGAATTAATTTTTTTCAAGTTTTTTTGGCACTTTGAGGTTCTCTCTTTCAAAAATTTGCGTGGAAAACAGAGATGGAAGAGCAAGTAATCGTGAGGCTTATGATGGTCTCTTGGTTACGTAAAATGGACTTCAAGTAGAAAAACGGAAATTGCGATGGAGAGATGAAATTTCTCCCTCAAATTCAAGAAGTTTCAAAGAGCTACCTGTAAACAATGGACTTGAAACCTCATCTTTATGTAATGGCCACGTTGAAAAACCCCCATTTGAATCACCTTCCTAATGATGCCATTCTGCCTGTAATTGGATAGCTTCCCAAGGGTTTTTGCATATTTATTCAACTGTATGAATTGGTTTTGAGAGCAAGAATAACTGCTGGTAAAAACAGAACAAAATGAAAAAAAGGATTATTAGTACCTTCTGGTCTTCCCAGCCGCACCAAAGATCCACAAAGCTGGTAGCCAGTTTCTCTTACAAATCTATTTGTGTGATTTAGGGCTTGAAAGATCAGGTCTAGCAGATTCTGAGTGATGTGCTCATTAAAGGCTTTGCCACATCCCTCTATAACAGATTGCAGACATCTGCAAAACAAAATCAGTGAAGAGCATAAAGTGCCTTAAATGCCAGTTTTTGTTCATTTAAAACAAAGACAAGTGCCACCTCCAGGCTAAAACTCTGAAGAATGAATTATTGCTTTCTTCAAATAAGTGTCTTTTGACACAGGTGTTGTGGGTGCTAATTTGAGCATTAAGAGTATCTTAGTGACAAGTCAGTGCTAACAATGTGGACTTTGGAAATTACATCAGCACAATTTACCCGTCGGAATTGGAACTTAAGGACACTTCCACATCATCTACTGAAGTGTGTTATCTCGACACTAAAATCAAGACTGGCGACAACACACCTTTCCGTATCAGCATCTATGATAAGAAAGAGGACTTTGCATTTCGGATTGTCAACTTTCCTCATATGGACAGCAACATTCCCGCCAATCCAGCTTACGGTGTTTATATATCTCAACTGGTGAGATATGCTAGAATTTGCACGTCCAAAGTTGACTTCATCAATAAGACTCCGTGGACTTTCATTACGACTCAGACAGCAAGGCTTTGAAACCAATCTACTTCAGAAATCATTTAATAAATTATTCAGTCGCCATGGTCTTATCGTCGAGAAGTATGGTGCAGCCCTGAGCAGTGTTCTCCCTAAATTTTAGCTTAGCAGGTAAGGTATCATTCATGGCCAGTAAGGCAAAAAGTATGTGCTGGAGGTGCACTTTCTTAGGGGGGGGAGGAAGTTGGGGGGAGGGGTTTGTAGAGTGAGGGGACATGGCCCCACCCTAGCTGGGAAATTTAGGAGCTAAGTTCTCTGAAATGTCACTCCCTCATTTTAAGACCTATTTTATGCAAATTGGACATTGTTATCTTAAGACAACAATCTAAAAACGTTTGATTCCAATAATTTTACTCTGTCTTCAATGTTCCCTTTCCAAAATGCATGGCCCATAAAAAGAAAAGCTGTGTATACTTTAGTACTTTTCCATATATTCATTCATTTCCTTGTGAGAATTGGATCGGATCACAACTTGCATATTTTTTAAAACAATTTACTCAATTTTAGTAGACCTTCAAGTGGTTGCAGGCAGTAAGACGTGTTGCTTCAGGCGGTAAATTTTACCGGTTACTGCCTGATAAGGAGAACACTGCCTGAGGGAGATGAGATTAGCAATCCAGGCTTGAATTGTGCCATCGTATCCTTACATTACTTATTTATTGCATAGTGTTGTATTTCAGTAATATCTCGTTACGTGTGCGCGTACAATTTTATTTTGAGCGTGCACATTATTTGTTTATTTATTTAATTGACGTGTACATTTAGTTCGTTTATTAACATCTTAATTTTACTTTGCATGATTTTCCTCACTTATACATTGTCCGTGACTTTGCTCACATGGTGGGTGGCTCCTCCTAAAATGTTCTGCAATTAGTATAGGATTTAATGGAGCCGAAACCAATTGTCGAATTGCACGCATTTTAGGCATCCTACTGATGAACAGTTGCGACACGTAGATATATATTTTTTAGCAACTAAGATAATTTGCAGTCTGTCTACTTTGAATTGCAGTTATTGAGAGTCAGTGTTATCCTTATCAGGTGGTAACCGATAAAATTTACCATCTGAGGCAACACTACTTACAATCTACAACCGCTTGAAGGTTAAGTAAACTTGAATAAGTTGTTTTAAAAAATACGCAAGTTGTGATCTGATCAGATCAAGGTAATGAATGAATATATGGAAGTGTATACTTAAAAGTATAATTAAAATAAGTATAATTAAAATAAGTAAAATTATTGGAATCAAAATGTTGTTGTCCAAAGATAGCAATGGCTGATTTATGTAAAATAGGTCTTAAAATGAGGGGATGACGTTTCAGAGAACTTAGCTCCTAAATTTCACAGCAAGGCTGAAGCCATTTCCCTTGCTCCACTACCCCCCTCCCCCAAGAAAAGTGCTCCCCTGCCACATATTCTATGCCTTACCAGCCATGAATGGTCCCTTACCTACTGAGCTAAAACTTAGGGAGAACACCGGAAATGGTTGATAAATGGTAGTTTTAGGGATACCTGTATTTATATGCCTACAATGTTTCTGACTACAATTTACCTCATACTTGTCTCAAGGTGCTTCCAGCCCGCCGTATCGTGGAAAATCTGAGCTGCATCAGCTCTCTTGTGCTATAGATAATGAAAGTATTAATGACATACATAATCACAGTTTAGAAACAGGTCATGGGATGAATTAGTATGTGTAATCAAATGGTGACGAGTGAAATTTGGGAATAATTTCATGTGCGTTTTGTCCAAATCCTAATAATTTATAAAATTTTTAGGATTTGGAGATAATGAAATCTTGGATTTTTGACATGTTTATCCTGGATCATTACTTATAAAGTTGACCATAGAATCCTTCTTGATAATTAGGTTTTCTAAAGCGTCCTTTTGTGCCCTGACATCTTCAGTTTAAAAGAAACAGGTCATTGGATGAATTAGTAATAATTAAACCTATAATTTAAATTAATTCTTGCTGAATTATGGAAAGATGGATTAAGCATCTCCAAAACACAAAATCCCATGCGCCATAATTTTGTAAGTTTACATAGGGTTATGCAGGTATCAATGTCTGCATTTTTTTGGTGAACTTTCCAGCCTTTGGGACTGGAAAATAGTTTAAATTTGATAAAATATACTTTTGTGGGGTTATCAAAACCACAGTTTGGGGCAAAATTTGTAATCAACATCCCCAGAGAGGGGACAAAGGGAGTGTTCAAATGCCACACCAGAGCCCATAGCCCCCTCTCCATCTAAACATTGACAATATTATTATAATTCTTACTCAAATACCAAGCATACAAAAGAAATCTGAGAATCTATTATACCGGTAAGGCAATTATGGCTTTATTCCAGGCAACCCCTTAAATAGTGACTCTCTTGCCCACGCTTGAAGAGAAAAGTAAACTACTATCTTCCAGTTAATTTTTGTTTTTCTTTTGTTTTAAATTCGTTAGCATACATTACCATGCCCAAAAACATAACAATGGAAAAATAAAAATTAACTGAAATAAAAAATTAACTACTGAGACAACATATATATAGAGAGGTAGAGAGAGCAACTGATGACAAATCTATCACTAACATCCTAAGCCTTTGAATTCTTACAGTTTCTTGTGATGTATCATTTTCTCCACCAGTCAACTTATGCATCAGTCCTCCAGTCAACTCCTCAGAGTCAGGCAACTTTCTTTCGAGATTATCACTGACGCTTTTCAAAATTTCTTCCCGGCAAGCTACATAAATGTCTGGTCCTTTCCTTGTACAAAGGGCACCAAGCGTTTCACCTGTAAATTTAAAAAAGAACCTTTAAAATAGTAAAAAAATTTCAACCACCGATTTTTTTTTATTTCTAAAATATTTGCTGACATTTTGTTCTCATAATTGGAAAAGAAGAAATGTTACAATATGATTCTTGTTACCTTAAGTTTCCTATTGATTGCAAGACAAGCAAAATGATTACCCTGGAGAGGGAGTTTTAACTCCACATTTTTACTATGGCACTGTTACAAACAACAGAATTAATTTTTTCAAACTTTAAAGATGTGGTATTCTGGATTAAGACCAGAGGATGAATAATTTTACAACTGATCATCATTTTTTATATTTCAAATGTTAGAATGATGTTTTATTGCTCTTTTGCTGGCAATCAAATTGCAGCAAATTGACAGCGAACAAGAGAACAAATTATGCAGTGTCCTTGTGAAGTCTACGATCTACAGAAAATAATGTTTCACCTGAAGCAATCCTTACTCGAGCTTCGTCATCGTGCATTAAACGTAAAGCTTGTTTTCGAAGGGCCTCCGTAAAGTCATCAGACCCAAGATTGTTTCGTATAAGAACCTTGGATCCGATCAATCCTCCATGCTTTGCTTCCCAGCCGCGATCGGTTGAATCAACCAACGAAGCCAGCGAATTTTGGAAATCGGTCACTCTTTGAGAATCAGATGAAAAATCTGAAGTGTCCTTTAACTTTTCTTCTAAAACTTGTAGTCCCTTGTCTCTTTCTAACTTGGTATGACTGCAAAGTAGAGACAAGATGTCATCCATCGTTTTGTCCGCCATCTTGGATATATGATGGAGAAGTGTCTTATGGGGGATGACACTGTGTCCACCCCTGACGGTAGCCATAGTGACGTAGGGAGTGGAGGTGGAGGTATATACTGTATCACTGGGATTTTTTGGAAAAATAAGAAAGGTGAAACAATAACTGCAACCAACTAGCAAAAAGAAAACATTCACAATGGTTCCTGTCTGAATAAGTTGACTCTAGTCTACACGACATAACTACCACTCCTATTAAAACTGCTCAGACAAGTATAAAGCTCAAATAAAAAGAGAATTCGAAATAAATAAACATTCTCCATCTCGACATTTATGAATTGGAACTCAGAATAGAAACGCTCTGTATTTCAGAAATTGACCCACACCATCCTAGGAAGAACTAAAATGTCCACGGCAACCTGCGTTTTACTTTCCCGCCTTTTCTTTCTATGCTACAGTTTTTGACCAATCAGATTCTTTGAAGATGGTGACGTTGTTGGGGAAATGTCAAAAAAAGGAAAGAAAAATGTTTTTGTGCTCTTCGTTGTTCAAAAAAGACCTGCTGCTTTCTGCTACTTTTGAAGAGTTTTTAGATCAAAAAATTGTTTTCCTCTCAAAACTATTTCTAGGAGAAAAAAGAAGCAAGAGTTAATATTATCGGGGCGCGTTTGGTCATTTTTAAAGTTTGGAAAAAGACAGAATAACTGCTTTCTAAAAGGTGAGTTGGCAGTTGGCTAAATCGGATAATATAATGAATACAGACTTTTCAGTTTTAATATACTGTTGTTATTTTCGCCGTTACTAGTCACTTGTTACTTTTGTTGAAGATGGAGAACTCTTTATCGGAGTACGAACTTTTGAGGCTTAGAAATATCAAGAGGAACCATGAATTCTTGAAAAGCCTTGGTAGGTTTGCATTTTGCCTTGTCCATTTCTTTGTTCTCTCATAAGTAAGCTAAAGCGTTTATCAAGAATTAAAATATAAAATACCTCCGTATATAAAGTACTTTCAAGTGGCTATTGACTTTAAACGTTGCAGCGGCAAATGTAGAAACGTGGTGGCTTCAATTAAGTTTTGCAATTAAACCTTTCCTTAGAAATATCAGAGGCGTCCCTGAGCTGTGATCTATTCAGTAGAGATAATGTTACGAAAGAGCGTTCGTGGCCAAAATATAAGAGTTTGTTTAGGAATATTTACGATATGCTTTAGAACACAATAAAATCTGAATAAAAAAATACCTCACGTTACTTCCATGGTGTATCACTTTGCTGTCTGAACCCTCCTTTTTCTTAGAGTTTAAAACCAAGGGATCTAAACCTCAAATTCTCTCCCTTCCCCGCTTTCCTATAAAGGTAGAGTGGGTGGGGGCTTCTATACACAGGTTACTATATTTCTGATTTTCTCTCTTTTAGGTCTTCCTGTTCCAGCCGTTCCAGCTGGCCTTCCTTCTCGTACTCGTAAAACACCTGTAAAGAAGCTTAAGACAGATACCACCATCGCAGATAGTGAAAGCACAAGTGAGAGTAGCAATGATAGCGATGAAGATTGGGTTCCAGGATCAGAAGAAGTTAGAAAAAGGAACAAAATGATCAAAAGATTCATTCCTGGTAACGAAACATTCGTTCGGACGAAAACTGTCAATAATGAGTTTTTTGGTCGAGATTTTCCTTCCTTAGAAAATGGCTGTTTTGATTTTTTCCAGAGTTTAGACCCAAGCCTCAGATTGTGCCTACCATTAAAAACCCGAAGGAGCCAAACACGAAGGTAGTTAACATGTGAATGCTTCCATAAAGAGCTAGACAAAAAGGTCAGTCAGTTTTTAAAAGAAAATAATAAAAAATGGAATGCCCATGTGTCCTTGTTTTGGCAGGAAGAAAATGACTCTAGCGCATTTGATGAGTTGGGTCGACTGGGAGAGAATATGGAACTTTTGCCAGATGAGAATACTGCAATTACTAGGAGAGAAAGAACAAAATCTATCAATAAAAATGAACAGCCTTCTAAGGAAAAGCGCGAGCAATACGCCACTCGAGGAAAACGACACTCTTACTGTGAGGCTGAGGTGCCAGATGATGATCATTATATATGTGAGTAAAAAAAGATGAGATATTGAGGTGTCTTGTAAGGAAGGGGAGGGGGCGGGGAAGGGGCTCAATCCTTATCAACAAGACAAAAAAGCTGTCTTTGTAAGATTGGGCACTTGTAAGAAATCGCCTTTCTCTTTGTTGTCGCGATAAACACTTGAATTTAGCAAAAAGGAGCAAAGTCATTCAATTCATTCATGATCAGTTTCTTGCTTGATTATCAAGGCTCTGTATTTCATCTTGCTCAACGTCAAGTTCCGAGTAAGGATAGACTTACGATTGCAACAATAACCCTGAACGAAAGGCAAAAGAATATTAGTTGTTTTGAGCTTGTTGCAGTTTTGAAAATAAACGCCTCCTATCTATGTGAACTTTCGAGCTTGGACCCCTACAATTACATACCGTTTTCTTCCATTAACACTGCTTTAGTTTGCGAAGATTGCAATGATCTCCACTACGGTGACTGCCCTGTGCATGGCCCATTACAAATTATTGAAGATAAACCAAGGGAAGAAAACCCAGACGTGTCCGCAGCAGTGGCTTCATTACCAGCATCACTAAAGATAGGTGACTCGTCAATTCACGGGGCGGGATTAGGCGTTTTCAGTACGTCTGAGATCCCAAAAGGAGTGCAATTTGGCCCATACAAGGGATTGAAGATAGGCTGGGAGAATATAACAGAGGACAGAAATACTAGCTATTGTTGGGAGGTATGTTTTTATGAACATCTGAAAAATTTCATCAACTTAACATTCTTGATCGGATGAATCCTTACAATTATATGCTTCTTTTCCACACTACTTTCTATATTTTTTGACGCAAATGGTGGACAGAGTTTTGGGCCGACTTGGTGTGAGGGTATGTGATTTACAAGTACAGAAGTATAGTGGGGATGGTTTAGTCCGATTTTGCGGAGAAATACATAAATGTCCATGACGCCATACATCACCACCACCACATTTCTTTTGTTTTCTGTCAACCTGTAGCCTGTGAACAGGCCTTTGGTTTGCTATTTTTTTCCCCAAACAGAGAGCCTGTTCACAGGCTAGTCAACCTGTTAAGTATAAGACACTAAAAGATAGCACGTGAAGTCATCCTAATGAGAATAGACCTTTTCACGGTTTATGACGCCATCTTGGCTGGGGGGCAAGCACGGCTAAAATTACAGTTTGGTCCACTTGGAACCGCTATAACGCCGTTACAGAGAGGCAGATTTCCAAAATTTGCCACTACTTTAGATAGTTTTATTGATACCATTCATTCAACAAAAAATGAGGCTTTTACAGAAGGTAAGACGTCCGTAAATTCGAATTATAAATATTCTCATGTGGCTTCTAATTTTATGGTAATTTACATAACGTTGATTAGAAGGGTTTGCATGAAATCTTAAAAATTCGTTTACGGTCGTCGTAACCTGAATCTCTTCTTTCCCTTCATGAAAATAATCTCAGTACAAATGTCTTTTAAATTACATTTTCGCTGTGGAAATCCGCCTCTTTGTAGCGGCGTTTTAGCGGTTCCAAGTGGGCCAAAATCCCATACATTTCACTGTCATTTTAGCCGTGTTTGCCCCTATCCAAGATGGCGTCATAAATCGTGAAAAGGTCTATTTTATATATGACGTCATTTGTTTAAATGTATTCCTTCACAATTTTATGAAATTCCTCCGCTAAAAGCGGAATATAACCTTTCTGTTATGCTACTCAAGCTTTTGCTAATAGCGTTTGATTTCCTTGTGCATCAGTCAATTCAAGCTGCGCCCAGCCGCCCCTCCAGGGCTACCGCGGGGCATTTGCAAATTTTGTGCTGCCCGGGAGCCGGGCATTTGCCAACCCCGAGCTTTCAACACGCACGCGGCTTCCTGTCAGAATATAACTACACAGAGGATTTTACTGGAAAAACAAGCAGATTGGCTCATTTGTCAAGGACGGGAAAAAATTTAAGAGGTTTGTCAAGGCACGTTCTCGATTTTGTGCATGCATTTCTTTGCTGGGCGCAGCTGGAATAAACTGATACATTATTCTTAAACATTTCAACGGTTTGTGGCTCCTAATAATAATAATAACAACTACTTTGAAATTTAGCCAGGGAAAGAAATCACTATTATTCTTTGTTCTAATAGATTTTAAAAGATGGCAAGTTTAGTCATTTCTTAGATGGTCGAGATGAAAACAAAAGTAACTGGATGAGGTTCGTTAATTGCTGTCGCTGTGAAGACGAGCAGAACTTGGTGGCTTTTCAGTTCAGAGGAAAGATTTACTACCGCACGTACAAGCCTATAAAAGCAGGCTCAGAGCTATTAGTATGGTACGGGGAGAGTTACGCCAAAGATTTAGGAATATCGCTGGATGATAATCAAGATCGCAGTAAGACGAATGGTAAAACTAATACATTTTAAATATCTCACTTATGCTCCAAAATTTAGAGTCCAACACTGCAATAATATACTATCGATTGCCAACTTATTTTAAGAACTCGTTTTAGTAATTTGCTGAAGATGACTTTCAACCAAAAGAAGCAACATAAAGTAAACTTAAGACGGAAACCATCAGGAAATTGAATAATTTTAATTTTCAGTGGACAAAAACCTTGTACCAGAATAATTTTAACAATATTGCATCCTTTTTTACGTTTTTCAAGGGCTAAAGGTGTAATTAGTCATCTGTAATAACATGCACCAAAGAAAATTTCTTATGGGAGTCTGAGAAAATGAATGTCAAATTTCACAAGAAGTGTGAAAACACAGGTGAAATTCTGAAAATTTCATGTGTAACATATAGTTTTGTGAAATTTTACAGTTTTTGTTTTCTCGGGCTCCCATAAGAAACTTTCTTTGGTGTTCTTACAGATGACTAATAACATCTTTAGCCCTTGACAAAAGGAAAAAAGAATGCGATATTGTTTAAGTGATTCTGGTACACGGTTTTTGTCCACTGAAAATAAAAATTACTCAATTTCTGGTGGATTCCGTCTTAAAATCTGAACAGATGACTCGAGCAGTGTAACGCGCGCGCTGATTCAAATTATCAAGGTTCACGTATCTTAATATGTGATGTCACGATGCTACTCATTGTTTGCAATAGATAGAACACGAAAGTTGATCAACTGAAACTACAAAAAACGGTTTTCAAATAACGAAAATCAGCTGAAACCTGTCCACAACAAATAATCCTTTATTTAACTTTATTTTTAGGGAGACGAAACATCTGCAAGCATTGTGGAAAAGCGTTCGCTTTGAACTTTTTACCGAGGCACAAGCGGTTTTGCTTTTCAAGAACGGCTAAAAGAACATGGAACTGTGATCGATGTGAAAAGAAATTTGCATCTCCTGACTATCTCAAGGTCCACGAATGTATTCTTCCTAACAACAAGAGATCTCTTTTTCTGACCAATCATCTCCGTACTCACACAGGTGAAAAGCCATATCAGTGTACACAATGTAACAAGGCGTTTACGACCTCTAGTAAACTGACCAGGCACCTCCGTACTCACACAGGTGAAAAGCCATATCAGTGTACACAATGTAACAAGGCGTTTAACCGCCAATGGGTTCTGACCACGCACCTCCGTACTCACACAGGTGAAAAGCCATATCAGTGTACACAATGTAACAAGGCGTTTACGACCTCTAGTAAACTGACCAGGCACCTCCGTACTCACACAGGTGAAAAACCATATCAGTGTTCACAATGTAACAGGGCGTTTAACCGCCATGGGGATCTGACCACACACCTCCGTACTCACACAGGTGAAAAGCCATATCAGTGTACACAATGTAACAAGGCGTTTAACCAGTTGGGGAATCTGAACACGCACCTCCGTACTCACACAGGTGAAAAGCCATATCAGTGTACACAATGTAACAAGGCGTTTAACCAACTGGCTCATCTGACCAGGCACCTCCGTACTCACACAGGTGAATAGTCATATCAGTGTACACAATGAAACAAGGCGTTTACCAACTCTAGTTATCTGACCAGGCACCTCGGAACTCACACAGGTGGAAAGCCATATCAGTGTACACAATGTAACAAGGCGTTTAACCAGCTGGGATATCTGACCACGCACCTCGGAACTCACACAGGTGAAAAGCCATATCAGTGTACACAATGTAACAAGGCGTTAAACAAACTGGCTCATCTGACCAGGCACCTCCGTACTCACACAGGTGAAAAGCCATATCAGTGTACACAATGAAACAAGGCGTTTACCAACTCTAGTCATCTGACCAGGCACCTCGGAACTCACACAGGTGAAAAGCCATATCAGTGTACACAATGTAACAAGGCGTTAAACAAACTGGCTCATCTGACCAGGCACCTCCGTACTCACACAGGTGAAAAGCCATATCAGTGTACACAATGTAACAAGGTGCTTAATAAGTTGCACCATCTGATCAGACACCTCCGTACTCACACAGGTGAAAAGCCATAGGGCGTCGATAAAACCCGGAACACGGAACATTCCTGAACATTCCGGAACATGCCGGAACATTCCGGAACATGCCGGAACATCCTGGATCATTAAAAAAATTAAAATTAATTTTCATGAAAATAAAATTAATTGAATAAAATAATAAGAATAAAATAATTTTTAAAAAATTAATAATAACTTAAAATAACAACAAAAAACAAAAACAAAGGAAAACAAAGGAAAAGAAACTGGTATCATCTCCGAGCATGAGAAAACAATATTTTGTCGCAAATAATTTGTTGGGCGAGTGAGGGTCCATGCAAATGACAGTAATGAGTGAAGACTTGCTTCTAAATTCAAAATATGTTATCATGGGTCGCGAGGAGGGGGGTTTTCAAGCTTTCCTCGCACAGTTACCTCTTGTAATTGTTTTCCATGCGGTTTAACGGTTATCTAGCCTAGGACCAGGTTCCGAAGTGGGGGAAAAACGAAAAAAAAACGGCGTCAAGCTTTGTACTTTAGTGGATAAGGATTCACATTCGCCGTGAATAGTTGCAGTGGCAGTGGTAGCGCAGCGGTAGTTTCTAACTGTTATCAGTTAGCCTGAATTTTAGCCGTCTCCCAAGTCGCAAGTGAAGATTTCATTTTGGAAACAGAAATGGGCAGCTATTGTCGGCGACTGGTCTCTCTTGAATTAAATCCTTATGTTGATTTGCGTCAGATAACAAAGTTGACTATTCACCCCACATGATAATTACCAAAAAAAAAAATCTTGAGTTCCGCAGAATAAAATTATGACCCAATAATGGAACTACAACTTTTATGGGAGGGGCTGTAGTGATTTCCGTGATCACAGAGATCCATACATACTTCCTCGGCCAGTCTCAGACTTCAGACATGACAAGGACACGACGGAGCCAAATGCTCCGAGATCGATATATTTAGCAAAGTTTGGAACACAAAAACAAACAAACAAAGACGGACGGCTCCTTTCCTTTCTATTCACCTTTGACCCGGACACATAACAAACGGATACTGCAATATTCAGAGAAAAATGGCTTGAATTTCAGCCGTCTCCACGAGACACAAACTCCTCTTGCGACTCGAGGAGCCGTCTGAAATATCAGGCTGACTGTAAACAGTGTAGAAACTACTACGAATGGGAGTATTGTCCACTAAAATCCAAAGACAGGAGCCCCTAAGCTCCTCTTAAGTTCACAGAGCCTAGTCTATAAGTAATTCATGTCAACCTCAAGAACGCAAAGCACCTCAAGTAAGCAAATGCCGGTTATATATAAGGAGACTATATCTTGGCTAGACATGAGTTACTTACCGACTTGGCTTGACATGAAATACTGCACCGACGTTTCAGACCATCGCAGAGCCGTAAATGGATAACTGCCAAATGATTAAACGCATGGCAAATTAGACCCATTTTAATACATTTTGAATTTAGAAGCAAGCCTTCACTCATTACTGTCATTTGCATGGACCCTCACTCGCCCAACAAATTATCTGCGACAAAATATTGTTTTCTCATACTCGGAGATGATACCAGTTTCTTTTTCTTAATTATTTCTGTATTTTTCGTTTTTTTGTTATTTTATGCTATTTTATGTTATTTTATTATTATCAATTTTTACAAAAATTCTTTTATTATCTTTTATTTAATTAATCTTTTTTTCACGAAAATTGTTTTTGTTTTTTCATGTTCTGAGATGTTCCGGAATGTTCCGGAATGTTCCGGCATGTTCCGGAATGGGTTTTATCGACGCCGAAAGCCATATCAGTGTACACAATGTAACAAGGCGTTTAACCAACTGGGCCATCTGACCACGCACCTCGGAACTCACACAGGTGAAAAGCCATATCAGTGTGCACAATGTAACAAGGTGCTTAACAAGTTGCACCATCTGATCAGACACCTCCGTACTCACACAGGTGAAAAGCCATATCGGTGTACACAATGAAAGAAGGCGTTTAACAGCTCTAGTGATCTGACAAGGCACCTCCTTACTCACACTGGTGAATACACAATGTCACAAGGCGTTCAACAACTCTTGCTATCTGACCACGCACCTCCGTACTCACCCAGGTGGGTGAAAGCCATATTAAACATTACTGAAGTAAGGCGTATTAGTCGGGGGTTTTATTGACCATATGTCTGGACAGGTGAAAAGCAATATTAAGCATAACCGAAGTGTGCGTATTGCAACAAAGCGTTCAACTGGTTGCATCATATGACCTTGCACCTTCGTGTATTAGCGCCATATTAGTGATAGTGAAAACAATGCATCATCCTTTGGCATTTGGCCAGTTATTGTCTTTTCTCAACTTATCGAATTTAAAGACGAGTAGATTGTGATGTGATTTTTAATCAGTTCGACCCGTACTATGATACTGCTAGGATCGTGGGTTTACAATATTCCCGGGAAAATATTATGGAAAAGTGGTCTTGGAACGAGTATCCTTTGAGCATAAATACGAGGCTAATGCGGGGAACTTCTCGCCAAGAGGACAAACAAATATGAGAAAACGGCGGCTGAGTTTTCCGAATTTAAGGGAAACTTTTAACGTTGTAAAATTACGGACGGCTTACATACTTGAAAGATCATTATTTCAAACAACAAAAGAAAGATCGGCTCGTTATTATAGAGAAATTAACAGCGATCCTAACCTGATATTGGTGGGAAGAGTCAAAATCCCCGAAGCCATTTTAATTATAATTTTCAGTGTCTTTGAAACTTTTTGAAGAACACCTATGCGATAAAGTTGACAGAGATGTTATCACACAGCTTCACACCTACTTTGCAGTTTAAATTTTTTAATGGAGCGGATGCAAAATCACTGTCCAGTTGATAATTACTTTTTAACATCAAGACGGGGCTTAGTGTTCTGCACACAGGCCCTGCATTTTTTTTTAAAGAAACTTACGTCGGTTTGAACAAAGATGACTTGAAAGATAAAGTTTATTTATAGATTTAAGGTACATTATTTGTCAACATCTTCGATCACACAAAAACATGCAGGTAGTTGGACACAGACAGACTTTTGCACTGACGATCGATACTAAGCAGTTTTAACTCCATTTTACAGATACACACAAGTAAAAAAGAATAATGAGAAGTATAAAATGATATAAAAAGGTTTCGAATATTGACATTTTGACACAATTAAATTTACCATTTTCTAGATTACTTCTAGTTTCTTCTTTTGGCTTCGTCGCTGTTTTAAGACCATAATCTTTGCTGTTTGTTCGACCAGCTCTTCCCACAGTTTTGTTAATTGCAACAGGTATCCCTTTAGCTTACCTGTTATGTTCCCCGCATTAGCCTGGCAACAACAACAACAAAAAAACCGTGCTGCGAAGTCTCTCGTCCCAGGGCCGTCGGGGAATACGAACATCGTCTAATGGGGAATTAAAAACACCGTACTCAAATGACAACGATATCATTATTGTACACAGTTGACAATAGTTAACGTTTTCCATTGACGTCTTCCTCAACAACGACGGCGATGGTACAAAAAAAAATGATAAAATGGTAAATATTCCGTTAAATAATCATCTGATCTAGCGTAGAGGCTTTTTAGCTGTCTCGAAACCGCTAATCCATTCTGGGAAAACAAGTTTCAATAATCCTAAAAAAGGCGAATTTTGTTTTAAAAGTGATACTTGACATATTTCGCTGCCTTCGCCAGCATGGCCGCTAAAGCTCGCTAAAACATGCTAAAGAGATGCACCTCATGCAAATTCATCAGTTTGGTCAGCAGTTTATTCAACTCTGATCCCCAGCGCTAGGATTATAAGCGTTAGATATCGGTACTATCTAAAGAAGGGTTCATTTTTACAGATTTTTGTTTGTAGCCAGCTGATTTCAAGAGGCGTGTGGTCAAAGTAGTGGACGGTACGAAGAGTGGTCAGAGTGGTGGATGGTGGGGGTGGTGAAATGAATGAATGAATTGGAATTGTCGGAAGGCTCCAGAAATTGAGGGTTCCAGATTTCAAGTTTAAACGAGAGCCACCATGTTTCCTCAACGCGAAAAACGTTATTTGGCCTTTGATAGTTCAATCACTTAGTTCGACCAGGCATGCTGCACTTTCTATGTTCTTTAAGTGTTAGAGCTAAAACAGGTACGCGGGTGAGGTAAACACGCCTTCCCACATCAGAAAGCATCGAACAAATAAGGAGTGAACAGAGTCATTAACCTGAAAGCACCAACACCGCACATTTTTCTGTAAGCGGTTTAATTTATTTCGTTTAGAATTCGTAATTAAAGCTTCGTTAATAAAAACGCTATTGTCCAAAATCATAATCAATCTACTAATATACACGAGTAAAATCGGAACTAGGCTAAGTTACAATGGATTCAATCATGACCAGAACAGAGGGTTTTTAGCCTGTGTGCAAGACATCTATTTCCAAGTTTCACGCGTAAAAGCGGAAAAAATAGGAGACTGTAGGCGGGCTTAAGCCACAGGAAACCCAGACACCTTTAAAAGTCCTCTTTGGTGCAAAATATATCTTTATTTACCTCATGAAATGTTGTTTGCGGGTCGTTTCTAGACAACCATGTAATTCTAGTAAGTGACTGACATGTGGCTGCAGATTTTCAAGGTAGACAAAAAACAAAATTCAATAAAACTTTATCAGGTAAATGATCAGGTTAATGGATGTTACTTGTCATTTGTTATTTATCGTTTTTAAACTCTCACACAAATCTTTATATTTCGCAACCAAGAGTAGAAGCTTGGGTTTCCTGTGGCTTAAGTTAATTTTTTGACAGCCAAAATCCATACCTAATCTAAGGGGTTTCCTATTAGATCGTATGTTTCCTTCCAAGCTAATATCAGCAATCTTAGCTATAAATGCTTTCTTTCTTATCTCAAAGAGGTATTCATGGAGGATTATACAGTAGTTAAGTTCTGTACACTGTAAAATATATGATGACACTAACAAATCACCATTATTATCTCACTAAGTTGACCTGTTATAATAAGTTTTATGAAGAAAAAATTTACTTTATATGTCAACCTTTTTCAATAAAATGCTAAGAAGACAATGGGCTTTGCATTTCTTCAATTAGCTTAATATTTGAATCACAGAATCCAGCGAGTGAAAATGTTGCATTATTGAAAAAAATCTGCGACAGTAGGACATAGAAAACAAGAGAATATTATACAACTATCCCCCGAAGGGGAGGTGAATAATGGTGAATATACCGAGACGCGAAGCGTCGAGGCATATATCTAGCGCTGTTAACCGACCCTGAGGGGGATAGTCGTTTTAGTATTTACCAAATCAGTTGGATAAAAATGAAAAAAGCAACTTTTTGTAAATTATAAACGTCACTTAGTAGGAACTTTGTTTACAATTTACAAAAATTTCGGGGATATTGTCAAGTGCATTTTTACGATTTTGTTGCAAATTCAGCATGAAAATAATTTTCTACCCACCAGTAAACAGAAACAAGCTAAACTTCATCGCTTTACTGGTTTTGTTTGTACGACTGCTTCATTTATCGCAAAAATTTCGTCTTCCGAAAATGTCTTCAAACGAGACGCCATCTTGGCTCCAAAACAGTACTATACAGTGGATATCCAAGGATATTCCGAGTAACGGGAGCCAATCAAAACGCGCGAAAATTGCTAGTCACTGATTTGGTAAATACTAATACCAAGTATGGGGAAGTTTATATGTGACACTTGAGTAATTACTCTATACATTTTGTCCATCTCTAGCTGAAGACACTCCCTGCCTCATGAACAAGAATGTTTAAAAAAGAGAAAAAATTCGAAACAATGAAACTCATTATCAACAGTATTCTCCCTGCATGCGCCATTATCCCCTAAAATTCTATCCCTACTTCATCACTCTATTAGATTTTTCTACTATATAAAAGATTCAACAATAGTTCTCAAGAACAAACCATCAACCAGCCCTGCCGGTTGATTACAAGTGAAAAGCAGGTGATCATCACATGATGCCATGGTTCCAGACCACAGTAGATCAGTTGACGAGTTGGTAAATAACATTTACATACAATATGAGAATTTGATCACTTCTGTCAAAGGGAATCGTAAACCAATTTTTTTGCACTGAAGCGATGCTTTATAATTATCTCTGCAACAAATCCTAAAAAAGAGTAGAGGTAGATGAATCAACGCCTTTTTTGAAAAGGTATTTCCTGTCTATACTTTAATCACAGAAAAGCTCGGCAGTGCACTTGGATCTGCTCCACCTGGTATAAATTTTATGATTGTGAGCTATTAATTTCTCTCATAATCCTAATGATCACCTGTTGTGGTCATTTCCCAAAAGAAAAGACTGTAAATTTCTCGCACATCTTACGATAAGGCATAATAATGGTAATAATAATAATAATAATAATAATAATAATAATAATAATAATAATAATAATAATAATAATAATAATAATAATTTTTTTTAAAATAATAGACAATTTTATTAAAAAAACTATTAAAATCCTATTTACAATTAATTCGCTAAAAAAAGAAAAAACTATTCATTCAAAAACACTATTTACAATTTCTGTCGATTTAAAAAGCACTTAATTTAGCTTAAAAAAAAGTTAATGAAAACTAAGAAAAATTTTTTTTCGAATTAAAAATAATAATAATAATAATAATCATAATAAGATGCTTTATTAATTGTCTATATTTTATTTTATTATTATTATTTTTTAAACAGTTGAAAAAACTTTTGAATTTTAGAGGCTGACAGTTGTTTTTCTTATAATAATAATAATAATAATAATAATAATAATAATAATAATAATAATAATAATAACAACAACAACACAAAGTATGCTGGCAATGCCCAGAAAACAGGCTTAGGGCCTTAGGTTGTTCATTTAGCTCAAAGGTTTACATCCAATTTCATATCTTCATCAATAATTTACATATTTGATTTATTTCACATATTATTCCAAGTTAACTAGCAACATTTTTTCCTAAGAAGAGTCCATTTACAATGAATGGAATACTTTAAAGCAACATTTGGTCAAATTTCCAAACAATATTGAACAGAATTAACAGCTTTCCTTCAAGTTCCGCCTAAAACACGCTCAACTTAAAATTAAAACAACAACTGAACTTATCAATTACCTGGGTGGATATTCATCTCCTCAGAATCTTGTGGTGTCTGAAAAATTTAATTGAACACTGCAAGGATGTTAGAATCAAACTACCAACTAGACAATCCCCATTAACTTCCTCACTTGAGGCAAAATGATACGTTAGGAAAGACAATTCAAACTAGACAGCTTTAAATTCTGAGTTTTGAGGTTAAGATAAAGCAAACACAACGCCCGCACTTCCTGGGCCTCATTATTGAGCGCAGTATATGCGTTTCGGGTCAGGAGGTTCGAACGAGTTTTTTTCCGTTCGAAAGATGATCCACAGAAATGCATTGACCCAGACGACGTACAGGGACTAGGCAACGCCCGTATACAGTAAAACGAGAGAATCTCAAAACTACCCTTTAACTTGCACATGAGAGACCTTAAAAATACACCGTCTCCGTGTACGGGTAAATTACGCGTACGCTTACCCGTAAATGCGAAGAGATTGCCTCTTAACCCCTAGAAACGGCTAGGCTACCGTGTAGAAAGGTAATGCCATTACATCATCTGGGAAATATTGGTTGTCTTTTGTATAACTACGTGGCGAACATGGTAGCCTGCCCGTAACCGTAGACAGAAACGGTGTATCTTAAGGTATGAAACTATAATTATATAGTCTAATAAACAAGGGCCACAACGTCGGCCACAACTTGAACAAGTGATTATTTCACCACTACCAGTCAAAAGCAAGTAACTTCTCCATACGGAAAGGGAATCACAAGAATCAAGGGGGTTGGGGTCGGGGTGCGGGTGGAGGTGGGAGTGGGGGATGATTGTCTTTGTTTCGACTCTCGACTCTGCTGAATCTATCCACTACGAATAGCGAGAACTGGCTAAACGGAATCGACATCGCAGGCGCGAGAACAAGGCAATGTCTTACAAACGTTCTCAATTCCTCACAGAAATCGGGTGGTAACATCATATGCACAAGCGCCATTTAATATGAAGTTTCGCAAACAAATAAAAACAAACGAACGAACGAACGAAAAAAAAAAAAAACGGGGAAAATGAGACCAAGCAAACAGATAATCTTCACTAAAGAGTACTAGAAGTGAAGACTATTTTTCTGTTTACAAACACACAAAAAAGAAACGCTCTCAAATACTGTAAACGTTTTATTTTTTCAGTCCTTTTTACAATTCAACAATTCTCTGATTTTGTAAGTATCAGCCAATAAGAACAAACCAACTACCCTTAGGTAGTTGGTGCACGGAGCCCAAATCTCGCCAAAAGGCTTGGCGTTGGAATATAGACCTAAACCGATAATGAAAAAGAAAAACAGAAACATCTACATCATATGAAGATATACACCGAAAAAAGAACTCTTTCACTGCACTGTTTGCGCAAAAATGATTATGACACAACCCAAAGTCTCCTCTGAACAAAATGCTTAAAAAATATGGAAAAATTGCATCACCTACGATAATATGAAATATAGAGTAAATTCAAATTAGTCCTAAATTCAACCCTCGTGGCTTAAGCTTTTTTCTCGTTTCAAGTTTAACAACCTTCAAAAACTATAGCTGTCTGTCAACTAAAAATAATTTTTTCACCTTCGATGTTTATCCGATTAATAAGAAAAAGTTAAGTTTTAAGCGTTTATTTCTTCATTAGCCTTGAGGCAGAGTAGAAAAGCATTTACAAAATAAAAATTAATTCGATTAATAATATTATTCAGCCATTGGAGTCCGCCAAGCGGCAAAGCATCTTCCATTCTGTTGGGGGAAATCAGAAAAAAAGCTTAGCAACTTCGTTCCCAGAGTTCTCAGCTATTCGTTTCCTGTCCCCCTCGTCTCTCGCAGAAGGGACGAGTAGGAAACCCTGGAAACGAGGTTGAAACCTCCCAACCAATTCTTTTTTTATCTAGTCAGAACCGGTTCGATAATGACCAGCTATGAGATGTTATATTTTTTACAAAGTTAGGTGCATTGAATTTCCGTTTGTAAATGAAAGAACGTTTACGGTTAGTCCTCTAACACTGATCTGTTTGAAAGAACTTTTTATAACAATTATAATAAAAGAATTCGACACGATTAAACTAACAGGGTTGAATCCGCTTTGATACAAGTCTTTACACTTAATCAGTTCCCGAAATGTCAGTTATATTTAGAAAACAGCTGTATGAAAACTGTAGGTTTACTAAAGAAACTATTCAACAGAACAAATTGTTGGGATTAAAAAAAAGAGAGAGAAACAAAAAAGATTATATCACTGCAAGACTAACGCGCTAAGTGCAAAATTAATGACTAAGCTTTAACATTTACATTGATTTTAAGATTTTAGGTGCATATTATTAAAGCCGTTTTAATTACTTCATGTGAAAGAATTTATTCTTAATTAAAATCAAAGTAAATTCTCGATATTCAAGTTAGGGTGACTTTTTAAGGAAACAAAACATAACGTTGACTATCGACTCCCTCCCTCACCGACTCGTAATGAAGGTGAAAACCATGGAACATGAATATACTAACACATAAAGGTTTCCTCCTGAATGACAGAGTGAACTTCAACAGGGAATGTGAACATCCATGTTCAATTTCTGTTTACACTGTAGTACTCTAGCGTTTCAGTCGAATCAAAAATCTTGTCTAATTGCAGTTAATTATCTTTTACTACAAATAACCGTAGTTTTTCGAATTCTTGTCAAACATTTTTCAGCCGCAGAGAATTCGATCCATCCTTTTACAACGAAAAAGTTGCAATACGCCGGCAAAAAGTGCTTTAATTACGCGTCCTTGTGTCAGTCTTGAACGGAATAAGCCAGATATGGGCAACGAGACTTCAGGCTGCACAGAAAACGACCGGCAACTGAGAGGTTACCAACCCCCGAGTATAGTAGACGAGGGCGAGCGAGCTTGGGGAGCGACAGGGGAGGGGGATGGGGGGGGGGGGGGAGAGCAGGAGTAAATTAGGAGGGAAAATACGGCATCCGCTTTTTCCCTATATTTACCTCCCCTCCTTTATCATCATTTTAGCCGCTGACAAATCAGCTAAGAAATTATAGTGATGCTCAAGGTAAAAAGTAATCGAAGGCCTGGTACCTACCAATCAGGTGACGTCACGCCCTCTTCTTGGCTTCCCAATGGCGATACACTCAGACCAGAGCTGGATCCAGACCCTACGATAGATACACGACAACGGCGTTAAGCTGAAATTTCAGGTACTTATGCTAAGAGTCTATAAAGAAAACGCTACAGCTACCTTGTCTCATATAAAAGCTACTAAGCGTTCTTATTGTCGTTCGGTTTGTTTCCAGTTGTACGTTTTGTAACCAACTAACCTGAAGAATGTCTCGGTGAAGATTCTCCTTCAGGAAGATTTAACAGATCCTGCGAACGAAGACGAAATATTTATTAGCTGGTAACAAACTACACATTATCTTCTGAGTCCTCCAATCTCTATTGTAAATACAAGTTTTAGTAAAAGTTTTTTTGCCTAACTCAAAGATGACATAAGTGCCCACACTAGCCTTACATGCAAGACCGTTACAAAAAAAAGTGCTTTGGGGAAATGAGGGCAAGAAGTGTTCTAACTATACGTGCAAAAAGAAGAAAATAGTTTATTAAACTCAAACTGAGACAGCAAACCAATAGTGAACAATGAAAACAGCCCGAAGACTGCACAGCGCACAGAAGCGAGGTTAGCAATTCGGTTAACATTGTTATATAATTACTGCGTGCAAGCAAAGATAAGTATGTTGAGAATGCAGCTACGCTGGTAAAGCCTTTTCAAAAAGAGTCGATTAATCGTCTGTTATGGGGTTAGCAACACGAACAGCATTTCCTGCAAAATAGAAAGTTGAAAATGCGGTTTGAAAAACGAACCAAAGAAACGGTGTTAACGCAATCCCAGAATGCCTCAAAACAAAGGGACAATGAATAAGGAAAGTTTTCAAATTTGATAACATAATGCATGGCCGGTCACTTGATTAGGCACTAAAGGCGTAAGTTAGGTTTTATAAATTAGTTGTTGGTAGCTAAGAAAAATTAAAGGAATGGACTCTTTACGTGATTAACCACGTAAGAACATCAGAAATTCGTTGCCTTATCTCCAAATACAGCGAGCTCGTTAACGCGCTGGAGCACTTAACACAGTGATAAAAACAAAACGCGACGTTCGATAACTTTTCGACCACACTCGAGTAAAATCGGACAATCTTCGGAATAACTTCGGGCTTGTCCTCAGGATTGCTGCCTCAGCTTGAAGGCCACAAGTAAACACAAAGCAAAGATACAAAATACGAGTGCCGACCCGTGAACTTCTGCGCCCGCCAGCTGCTATTTCACGTTTGCTCAATTCAAGAGCGAGAGCCAACTGTCTCCGTTCGTCTGCAACACTTTTTGGTCTCATGGTATGAAAGTACTAAACGAAAAAAACAGCGGTAAAATCTAATCAGCTGCAAGTTCCCACTAATGCTCGTCAATAGAGTTTTGTGTTTCAGTTGTATGGAAAGAAAGAGCTAAGCAGTGAAAAGGTCGAGATAAGCTATTAACATAATACTTTCAAGACGCGGCGTATGCAGAGAAGAAAAATGGTTTGAACTGTAAATAGGTCCAACAAGAGTGTAACCACCGAAAGTCTTGAAGTAGAACGAAAATCCAATATTACAAAGACGGAGGATGTTTAAGGAAGAGTTAGGTATGCGTTCCTCGCGTTTAAGTAAAGACTTTGTCACGAGTCAAATGCATGACAAACATCAACACGGCACTTTCTACCTTTAGAGCCCAAACATCTCACCTACCTGAGCATAGTTATCGAGGTCAGCGGAGAGTCGATTGGACCCATTTGTAACATGCGCGTCGTTTGAGAGATCGTCTGCTGACCGTGTTGACGTAGAACGTGGTCTATTAGCTGGAGGCGAAGACTCGTCGGATCTACGAATGATGTAACAAGTTAGAGGCGTTTCTTGAACGTTTCATACATTTTGAGAGCGTTTAACAAAAGCGGGAAGCTCATTGATTGGTATTGCAGCAGTTGGGAGTGACTGCAGTCTTAATTAGAACAACAATGACACATCAAATTCATTAATACCTGTTTACGACATTCGTGGACCCTGATCGGCCATTGAGTAGTCCTGGGCCTACACCTGGTTTCAGTCCCTTTGCGGCCAGGTTTGGCCGACTCATGAGATACGGGTTAGCAGTCACTGCTCTCTTGGATCTCGGACCCACTGAAGTATTTCGTGGTACAACGGCTAGAAAACAAAACACATCATGTACAGTCAAAACATCGACAGTTCGCATCTGTTTTGTTTCCAGTAATATAACTTAGAAAACAGTGGATCCCACTCAACTGCACTATGAATCAGTTATTCAAACTATTTTCTACCAGGTGTAGATTTACTAACTAATCTGCGTCTGTTTTACGACAATTACCATTCACTCCATTCGCCACTTCAGAAACGAGAAGGGAACTGGGCCGAGTTAGTTTTCGCAAAGACTTCTGGGATCGTTACAAGGGACGCGCCGGTCAGCTATTGGCCGATCATTTTCCCTGTCCCCAGTAACAGTCCCAGAAGTCTTTGCGAAAGTTAACTCGGCCCAGTTTCCTCGTTTCTTCAGTGGCAAATTATGACAGAGCTGTCTTACCTGGTGGTGGTTCATCTTCAGAGCCATGCTGCTGTGCCTAAAAAGATTCAAAGAAGGCAAGCATTGTAACACCAAATGTATTTTGCCATATTTCAATGTCACAGCCAACTATCGTAGGGTGACCGCAGCATTGGTAAATCAACTTCTGCGGGCCCACAATTGCTCTGACCAACGATAACAAAAGCCTTCCACCGCGTGAAACATTAATATTACTCAGTAGATGTAACAGGCGCCAAGCGTTACAAGCGAAAAGTCGAGAAGGTTACGATTGCCTTTGGTTTTACCCCTGATTGGTTGAGAAAACGGCCCGAGATCTCTCACCCAATCACAAGGTGCTTTGACGCTAAACCAAATAAAAATGAACGGAAGGATTATTTTTCACAATTGACAGACTGAGAGAACCGGAGATTTATCAATGAATCTAAAACCAACCTACCGTTGGCAAGTCTTTGATGATCTGAAATCCATCACCAGGCCCCATATGTGAGATATGGTTGAAATTAGTTGGACCCGAGATGAGCTTAGAGCGAATATCTGCGTCCAAGTCTGCCAGGCCACCTTCCTTTGTCTTGAAACCGAACCGGTAGGTACTACTGTTGATGGAATATCAAGGCAACACTTAGCATGAGAGGAAGTTAAATTAAGGACAAAACAAATCAACACGAAAATAAAACAGCTTGCAAACCTTCTTTTGCTTTTCAATCTTAACATGGCAGCAATTGCCTTCTTTCCTTTGTTTGGATCAGGAATAATCAACTCTTCTTCTACGAGAAAACAGAATCATTTCGGGATTAATAATCAACCTCTCTCGCGTTGAAAAACGTGTATAGTGTGCGAGGTTTATCAGAATAGTCGGAGACCCTTGCAAGTGCTGTCAGCTCTACCTACAATCAGGAACAAAAATGTTTTTAAAAAAATGGACGTTACCATGACTAGTTTCAAGATAAAGCTCCTGAGAGCACTAGGAACTACAAACACTGCCCCCCTCCCCCCCAAAAAAATCAATGTTGAAGTTCGGCTGGATCATGTCTGACCTTGACCAAACGTCCTTGATCAGGGTGGGGCGAGGGGAGGGGCCATAGCGGTAAAAAAATCCGCACCCTTAGGAGGCAGTTACAACTGCACAACTGACTTCATGTAATCATCCCACCACAGCAACAGCCAGTCAGCTGTCCATTTGAGAGCAACCAATACGGTAACTTACCTTCGTATAATTTATTTTTAAGGTAAACTAAATTGAACTGTTCCAAGGCCGTGCATAAAGCAAGAGAGCCATCGCTGATCAAAGCATGGCACTGAAATAAAAACAACATAAAAGGATTATAATTATTACAGTTTATGTTTTGACACAGTTAACTGGCATTATTGTTTCAAATATTCACAATGGGTGTAAAGTATATTCTGAGCTCACGGGAGGTCTACTCTCCGGTTCGTTTAATAACAGCTGTATTTCTAAAGGTTTATGACAATAACACTCCATTCGTAACATTACATTCATTTTGTTTTAAGAACTTTTACATTCATCTACCTTTTTAAGGGGGATAGTCTGAAGCCATTCCGCCGAGCCAGAATCGAACACATCAATAGCTCTCTCGCTGAAGGATATCACATAGGGATGAGAATAAGCTGCAAATAACAAGAAATTTCATTAAAGTAAATATTGTCATCGGAACTACACTCCTAGGGCAAAATAGAGCAAAGGGCGATAAATTCAACCATTCTCATTAAGTACTCTAACAAGCATTTTTTCACGACAAGATCACTAGATACTGGTAGCAAGAACGGTTTGAACTTTTAAATTGTATTGCCTGAGACGTTACACAAAAACAACAAATGCTTACCAATATTCGTAGGTGGGGAAGGCCACATTAATTCATAACGTCTCGAGCGATATCCACTGGCCTCGACAAAGATACCAAGTACTAAAAGCAATAAAAATCATAGTAGCATAAACTTGAAAAAAATACAGCACGTAGGGAATTATCCTTTTTTCATGGACCAAAAGAAAAGCATATAACGTTATTCACGTTTATTTCTAGTCACCGGAAATCGAATGAGGATCTTCCTTTACAGGTACATTTCGCCAAGTTAGAAACAAGGTTAACTTTCGCAAAGACTTCTCAAACTTATTAATAATTCATAAAGAAAATACAAAGGAAATTGATGATTTATGAGTGTTTGGAAATCAGATTAAAAAACTGCTCATTTAATTTCTCCTACTACAATCATTTTGTTTGAGAAGTAATATAAAGCATTCCACACAGTGTTTCATCACCAGATGAAACACCTCGAAGTTCGTCAAAAATACTCCGCTGCGCGTCGTATTTTCAACTCTCTTCTCAGTGTTTCATCTGGCGATGAAAGTATATTACTTCTAGAACGGTTACCAGAGAAAGGGGAAAAGATCGGACAATACCTGGCCGGCGCGTCTCCAGACACGACCCCACAAACGATTGCGGGACGCATTTCGGCTCCAGTTCCATCTCGTTTCAAAAGTGGCGAATTCGGTGTCCACTACACTACTAACATGATAACTTACTTAGAATGGCTCCCTAATGACAAATTAGAAACCTTTAGATACTAAGACGAGTACGTCTACGAGACCGAGATTTACTCAATACTAAGTAGTGCACGCGCGTGAACCAGCGTCAGTTTGGCGGGAAAACGTGGTAGCCGTCATCATTCTACTACGAGTTTTAACTAGAATGTCGAAGTGACGGAAACAAGTTATCAAATGTTAGAAGTTTTATCATTTTGCGATGGAGAGAGGGTGTAACCACCGTCACTAAAGGTAACAGTGCTAACTTGTCTTATGAAAAACGGTAAAATGAAGCTTTCCGGGGAGTATATTTTTTGAGAATACACGAAAAAACTTTAAGTCAAATCTCGTACTAGTAGTCGTCCTCGTCATGGAATCTAAAGGCCTCTATTAAAGTGAACAGCAACAACAACTTGAACTTACAATTGAAACATAGTAGAAACTCTTTTTGAGGTTCGATTTCCACGGCAAGTAGAGCGTCCAGTGAATTGTTGGTGATGAAATTGAGAGTAGGGTCATCTGAATTCACCAGTTCTTAACAAAGAGAACAAACACGGTTAATTCTAAAGCAACGAAAGAACACTGAAATTGTATAAACAGCAGTGCAATTGAGGTTTTACACACCCTAAGGGGCTATTGCAAAACGAGAGGTTTTATTTTTGAAAATATCAATCTTAAGCTTAAAACTAAGTGTTAGAAATTCCCACAGAATTAACGCACGTCATTCGTAGTTCTACCGAGAGCCTAACATTACGAATGGATAAATGTTATATCCACAAGCGACGTTCTTTGTTTTGATCAATATACTCTACAACCCTAACCGTTATTATCCGATATGCTGAAAGAGACTAAACATTGCAATCAGTAAAAGCTTACTCTGAGGTCTTCCTTCTCCAGTTAGACTGAAAATATAGAAGACAGATCCAGATCCTACAAGGAGTTTGCCAAAGGAGACACCGAGCCACTGAACATTGAAGGTCACAGGCATTTCCTAGGCAAAGATAGCGAACGTTTGTGTCAAATTCAGTGAAAACTTCGCATTTAATTTCCTGATTTTTTTCCTTGAACCTGAGGTAAGCACCCTAGGGTGGGGAGGGGGGGAGGGTATTCCTTTCAATTACAACTAGAGTAGAAGGGAAACTAAGCGATAGATGGGTAATAATGAGAATGTAATTATAAATCTACCTGGTTATCATAGAGACTGTACGATTATAACAATTTTTTATTAGGGTACAAGAAGTGAAAAAAAAATTAAACTTATGGGTATTTGATAGTCTATTGTCTATCTATCGAATACAAGGGGCAGAGGATCAAAGAATTGTGGACATTATACTACTACATGAGAAATTTCTGCAATTTGATTGGCTAAGAGCAGTGGAATTTCAGCTAAATTTGAAATACTTACATGTGAAAATTACAGACCTTCTACGGGTAGAAGTATAAACAATTAATAGCATGATTTGTAGGTGATATTTGGCATAAATACCACTCGTGATATTTCAACCTTGTCTCAAATTCCACTCGCCTAACGGCTCGTGAAATTACGTATAACAATGTTGAAATATCACTTGTGGTATTGATGCCAAATATCACCTACAAATCATGCTACTACCTGTACCAATAAAGAATTAGAATACTGAGAAAGTAATGCCACCCTGCACGAGCAAGGTTTCATTTGAATGATCCCATATACCCAAATTGTGCAGCCACAAATTCAAGTACCTGTCTTTAAGTACTGATATTACACGAAAAATGTGAAAAAAAAAGTTACCTTGAATTTAAGATGTCTCTGCTTTGACCGGTTGAATTCGTAGACAATTATTTGACGCTTCAACGCTACACACAAACAGCTCGCACTGTTGTCGTGAGAGCCAGTGGCAAACATTAGACAGTTTTTAGCTTCGGGAATTTTTATAGGTTCTGTGTCATGGCCGTCAACAGCTGACAATGGATATAGTCTTATTTGGCGATTTCTCCCTGAAATTTGAAAGTACGAGAAGTGTGCATAAGAGCAACTCTACTAGAAAAAAAAGCTGAAGAACACAAACTTTCTAATTATGTCAGACCAATCTCCATAAGTGGATACTTTAATATAAGCAGCATAATAAAGAAACATAGAGAATGTAGGCGCTGAAATAAAACTCCTTAAGGCTGAACTAGTTAAGTTACTCACTGATGGCAAAATAAATCAATTTTGGCCAAGATGGTTAAAATTGATTCCACTTTGCGAGGGCTTTTACGCCTTTCTGCTTTGAATGCAAGGTAATGTTATCCACCAGCGCAGAAGATTTAAGGACGTCTGTCAACTACATAATCCGCTTGCATGAGTGCCAACGCCTTACTTGCTTGTGCGCCTTACCTGATATAAGGACAAGTAGTTGTTCATCTGGTAACATTTCTATTTGTGACACTTTCTTGTTATCACCTATGCGCGTAACATCTAAAAAGGATAATGATGAAATAAAATTAATCCCATCAAATTCAATACAGCAGTCTTAATAAGTTCTAAGCTAGAAAGAGTGTAAACTTACTTTCTTTCATGAGTTCAAAGCAGAACAATCCGTCCTCAGTTCCTAGACATACTCTGTCCGTGTCAATAATCGTTGCACAAAGAGCCTGTTTTATCTGAGGATTCGATTCTGAAGGAATGACCTCCTTTGCTTGGTAAACTTGCTGCAAAAAAATATTGAAAATGATTGAGAGAAAATATTGACAAAACGCTGTAGGGCAGAGCATTTCTGTGGTACTATTTCTCATGCTTATAAGGTTTTTCCAACTATCTGGAAGTAATACAAATGAAAAATACTTAGCAAACTACAGTACTGCAGTTTATTGCTGAAATATTGTATGCTCCAACTTACCATCTTAGATAATTCTTGGTTCTTCTTAAGAACTTTGTGTAGCTCTTGCAGAGCGCTCACCCATCTGACTCGGTCATTTTCACTGTCTGTTAGTATTAGCTGTGTTAGTGATTCTCCAGGTGGGTTCATCTGAGATGCTGTGACCTGTGGCACAAAAAATGCATTCTTCATTGTATTGTAATGGGTGGATCAATCTTTGATGCGCTATCACAGGTGCAAAAGAAAGTTTGCAGAGAAGTAAGGCTGCGTGCAAACGGGCACAACAACTCCCAACATTGTTGCGCCAACAATGTTGGGAGTTGTTGCGTGCGTGTTGGCAGTGGTGTGCAAACGGATGCAACAACTCCCAACAATGTTGGGACCTGCAGTGCATCGTGGGAAGGATACAACCCATAAGTCTTTGTAATCCATGCGTAATGAGCGTCCGTGGCCCCAACAATGTTGCGCTACGCTTCGGCGATCACGGAACAAAAGAAATGTTGGGAGTTGTTGGCTGAAAAGTTTGACCGGTCTCAAACTTTGCGCAACAACACGCAACAACATCCAACAACATGCAACAGGGTGTGCAAACAGAGGCAACATGTAACATCCAACAATGTTGGGAGTTGTTGGCCAACAATGTTGCGTCCGTTTACACGGGGCTTTACAGGTGCAAAAGAAAGTTTGCAGAGAAGTAAAACAAAAAACTTACCCTAAAAATGCAACGTAACTCTTTTCTATTCGCATGTATAACATCTGCCGCAAGCACACTACTAACTGAAAACTCCTCATCTCTATGTAAAAAAAACAAAAAAAACAAAAAAACAACCAGAAATATAACGGTTTTGACCTGGTGATTTGTGTAACTTATGCAAACATTATTTATCTAAAAAATACACTAGTAGACCCAGGGTTCGCAAATACGCCAAATTTGGCGTATTTTACGCCAAAATTGTTCAGATGACTCCACTGAGGTTACGGAGGGAGTAACTTCAACTCCAGAAATTTTCGGTAACAAACAGGGAGCCACTTCTACTCCAGAAATTTTCGGTAACAAAGACAGTTTTGTCCTTTCCTTATTCGCAACAAATACAATTTACGTTAATTGTAAACCTTAATTAAATCATCGAAATTAAAGAATTATGCCGCACGACGAAACAGGAAGAGACTAAATTACGATCAAACTTTATTCGATGACCGCCATCATGGATTTGAGCTTTCCAGGTCAGCGGACTGCCACAGCTACTTCGTGTATCCCTCACGAAAGTGTATACATGCCAGGACCACGTGCTGGAAAGTCTGAAAATGGCTCTTTTCGTTGTGATACTTGACTCCAAATATTCCAAAATGACTCCAAAATTTGTGAACCAGAAGTCACACTGACTATACTCATCAATAAAATTTGCAAACCCCGGTCACTGACCCCTACCTCATATCAATAACTTGCGTTGCTGATTGAGAAATTTGGGGAGGTTTGTCACCAGTGACATCAAAGAGAAATAATTTGAAATCACAGATGACAGCGAATTGTCGAAGCCAACCCTTCTTGATACCACCAGGTTTGGGAATCTAAAGAAATTTGAGAGAATAAATGCAATTCTGTAACTATTGAGAAAAATAAAGGAAAAAAGTAAAAAAATTTTGTGCAAATGTTCATTAGAAACTGTGACATTAACCATTGCCCAGTGAGCTCAGTTGGGTAAGTGCCGGTCTGCTGAGCAGGTGGTTGCGGGTTCAAACCGCGGCTGGACCAGCACTCAGGGTCTTAAAATAACTGAGGAGAATGTGCTGCCTCTGCAATGACATCTACAAAAGGTTAGACATTCTAGTCTTCTCGAATAAGGACGAAAAACCATACGCCCCGTCTCACAGCTCTTTCACTCTTCTGACTCTTGTGGGACGTAAAAGAACCCACAATGCTGTTTGTAAAGAGTAGCGTGCATAGACCCTGGTGGTGTGGTACAACCTTGCAAAGACTGGGTGGATAATGAAGAGGTTGATATCAATTGGGAAGTTAGTCCTGTTTCATCCCCTGCCACCATGTTGAGTCACCGTGACAGATTCATAGAAAAGTAATAAGTTTTAATCACCTTAACAATTCCCTCCATGGCAGTTCCAATTCCACTGTCAGGGTCAATCCCAAGTGGTCTTCTACTGGGTGGCACAGGACAGATGGGTGGCGCTTGATCAGTGCATGACACATGGCATGCATATTGACAGACTGAAAAAACAAAGCAAAACAAAGACAGTTGAATTAATGAAGCAATGAGCACACATTGGCCATTAAACCTCTGCTGAAAACCTTAATATTTAATTACTCAAAACTGTGGGAGAGGTGCTATATTAATTAATGACGCAATGACCACACAACCGCCATTAAACCACTACTGAAAACCTAAATATTGATAAAAAGAGTACGAGAATAAGGAGCATCTCCCATGGCCCACTGTCCGAAAGCCCCAAGATGAATACTCTTTAAACTCAGACACCAACTTAAATGACGAATTAAACTCATCATCAATAGATGAGCTTGTCTTCTGTTTCCCACAAGGTTGTGCTGTTGCATGAGGAAAGAGGTAGTCATGGCCACCCTGCGAGCAGCCTTCACTAGACACTGTCACACTAAACTGCTATGAGTTCCAAATGTTCAATTTTTATTCAACTTCTATCTTGCAAGATATTTGATAGTCTACTAACACTCCAAAATACATGTTTTTTCCTTACCTTCACATATAGAGCCTTGCCTAACCAAACCAACCATGAGCGATGTACATTGGTTGCATTTTGTTGGTGTAGTAAATGTCCTAACAGAGAACTTGTGCACACGAGGCTGTTGGATAAAGGGAGCATTGCCTCTGTTAGTAAAGGTGGGAAAAGGATTTAGGTCAAAAACGAAACCAATAATTGTTTTAGTAAAATCCAACTAGTTGGTCAAAAATAACGAGAATAAAAAAAATTTAGCTAGTTAAAGCTAGACTTTCATCCTTTTTTGCTGCCAAAAAGCCTGCGCTTTTCGCCACTAGTGGGCTATAACATAAAATAGCCTAGTAGTAGCTCAACCAATCAGAATGCAGCATTGATAATAGACCACTAGTTAGATTTTACTAAAGTGAGATATGAAATAAAACAGAAAAAGTAAATGACTTTTACTACAATTTTTAAATTTTCATTTTATTCACCTGTGGTGGAGCCATGGATGAAGTTGATGAGATGGAAGATGACCTGACTGAAAAAGACTGAAAGAAAAAAATAAAACTATTCAAAACTGCAGCAGAAGTGCCACAGTAGAACCTCGATAACTCGAATGTGGATAGCTCAACTTCCCTGCTAACTCGTACTAAGTTTTCTTTCCCTTGTTCAAAATTTCACTGAAAGTTACCCCAATAACTCAAATTCTCTGCTAACTCAAACTGTTTTTCGTTTCCCCTCAAAGTTCGATTTACCACAGTTCTACTGTAAATCTTGCATTTCAATGTACTTAATGATTTTACTAGCTCTTCTATTCCAGCGGGAAAAAAGAATTAGGTGGTCACACAGTGTGTCAAGTCTACACATTTCCAACACCCTTGCCCCTTTTTGGATGATTCCGCAATGTTTCAGGAAGTTACTCACATCAGGAGACGTTGAAGGAGCCACAGTAGCAATGGGTCTTCCATCATCACTAAGCTGACTTTCTGTTTCCTGTAGCACGGAAGAAAAGATACTGTGTAAGCGACAGGGCGGAACATCTTTAATACAACTTGTAGACAGAATCTTGTATAATACACTTGGTGTTGTCATTTCAGTTCAAATCAATTCGGAAGAGGCTTTTCTTGCAAGTACAGTCGCCTCTTAATGCTACCTGTTATTTCATGGGTCTCTCTCCTAAACGTCCCACCAACAGGGAACAATGAGACAATAATAATAATACTAATAATAATAATAATAATAATGATAATACTACTACTACTACTACTAATAATAATGATAATGATAATAATAATAATAATAATAATAATGATAATGATAATCATTGTGTTAATAATATTAATATTTATCTGTTGACAGTTTTTTGAATGGATGAAATGTTTTTAGGAGAAAATTTTTCTTAGTTAAATTGGGACTTTAAAGGGTTAAATTAAGTGCTTTTTAAATCGACAGGAAAGTTCAGTGTTTTGAATGAATAGTTTTCTTTTTTCAAGCCCTTAATTTAAATAGAATTTTAAATTAAGCAAAGAAATTAATGTAAATAACAAAATAAGAGATAATAACAAATGTTTGTCAGATGAGCATTGTTTTTGATGGTCTATAGTGAATTAAGAGGGACCAAGGTTTGAAAAATTGTTAAGGCATTGAACAGTTTTCAAAAACCCAGAATAATTTGAATGGGTTTCAATCTTCTTCAGTTTTGCCCATCCATGGCATCTGTTTTGTTGCCTGTTATGTCGTTTTGAACCTTGGACATTTAAAGTTTTCGGACTTGTTCCTTTTAAGACCTCTTAATTTATAGTGGTCAATTTGGGATTTCCTAATCTGGCTGGATCAAAGTTTGACACAGCGGAAAGAGATTTAATACTGATTTGTCATTTCATGGGTGGTAGAAAGTAAATGTCCTGACCAACAGGGAACATTTGTTGATGCGACCGTCTTCCCATGCTATGCTAGAACAGACTGTGTTGTTTAAACTGTCAGATTGTGTAAGAGAGAATACAAAAGAAGCCAATAAAACACATTAAAACAGGTACATTTATAATTTACACCCAGAAAATTGGTATGTGAGCTTCAGAAGCTTCACTTCTACTTCTTTGGCTTTAGGGTGATAAATAAATTTAATCAAGAGATTGCTCCTGATTTCTACTCAGAGTGTGAAAAAGTTGTTAACAAAAATGTTGAAAAATGCAATCCCTGCAAAGTTAAAAGGAAGAAACTTTTGGACCAAGTACATGTAGTTTCATACCTCAGCAAGCCCCTCCAATCGTGAATCTCTTGAGGGTTCCTTCACGTACAGGAATGGGAATCCAGCTGGAATACAAAATTGTAGCTATATCATCTGATACAAAAGTACCATCCAATTGGATTACACCCTACAATGTCTGAAGGGAATAACTGGTAAATTTCCCACACTCATCAGTCACGTTATTCCCATAGCCTAAAATTTAAACATTTATTCTAAGTAATCTTCCACATGCACAAGGTGAATCAAAATTCTTAGAGGCACTGTCAGAGTTTTCTCGTTGGAAGAGCTGTTATCTGTGTCAAAAGCCTTTTAGGCGATTCAACAGGTGAATCAAAATTCTTAGAGGCACTGTCTATGGAGGTTTCTTGTTGGAAGTAAACTACCGTTTTGGCTTTGTTTTACTTTTTGTATTTGTTATTCTTATTGTCATGTACTTGGTTTATAATTTTGTAATGTAAAATTGACTCTGAAAAAAAGCCAATAAAGTATGTATGTATGTATGTATGTATTTTTGGCGATTCAACAGTGATTCAAGTTATTTATGCTCACAAGTATTCAAAATGCATGTATATCCTAAACATACTTGCTGTCTTGCCGCCAAGTCTCCACTGTTCAATTTCTGCCTTGAGTTGCTTGACTTCTTCCCGTAAAGTTTCACACTGTGCTTCTGATTCACCAAGTTTTCTGAAATGAAAATGATAAAAACATTAGGAAAGATAAAATGGTAGCTTTCACATCCTTGTACACGATGCTTCTGTGGATGAAATCCTATGGTTTGACCATTCAAATGAAAGCTATTGAGCAGTACTTTCCAGTGGTACGGTCAATTATGTTGTTTAAGGTAGTTCTAATGTGGATGAAATCCTATGGTGTTACCATTCAAATGAAAGCTACTGAGCAGTTCTTTCCTGTGGTACTGTTTATTACGTTGTACAAGGTGGTTCTGACTTTTGAGTCTGTGGATGAAATCCTATGGTGTGACCATTCAAATGAAAGCTACTGAGCAGTACTTTCCTGTGGTACTGTTTATTATGCTGTACAAGGTGGTTCTAACTTCTGAGTCTTTGGATGAAATCCTATGGTGTGACCATTCAAATGAAAGCTACTGAGCAGTACTTTCCTGTGGTAATGTTTATTATGCTGTACAAGGTGGTTTTAACTTCTGAGTCTTTGGATGAAATCCTATGGTGTGACCATTCAAATGAAAGCTACAGAGTAGTTCTTTCCTATGGTACTGTTATTATGCTCCACAAGGTAGCTCTACCTTTTGAGTCTGTGAAAGCAATCCTATAGTGTGACTACACAATTAAAATTAAACCTCTCTGCCATTATTTTCACAGGCTACTTAACTTCTCAGCATTTTACATTTCAAAATTTATTATTTTCCTTCAGTTTTGAAACAATGCAATTTGATGTGAAAAGTCTAACAGTAACGCCTGTTTTTACCTCTCATTTGCCACATTTGCAGCTTTGATCTTGTTCATCTCCTCACCCATGAGTTGCTTCGCTTGGATTTCAGCCTGCAGATTGGCCTGAAGTTGTAAAATTTCCTGTTTATCCATCTTCTGTGATCTTCTCATCTGCCACTGATTCTTCTCACCCTATGAAATGAACATCAACACGAGTCCAGTAAGTATTGACGATCAAGAACAAACATCACACATTATTCTCACACGATCACTGATCATGCAAGGAAAATGTTAATAATTAACATCATTGTCTATTAAAAAACAAGGGAGTTTGTGAGATGCACATCTCACCTGTCAAAGTATTTCTTTATGTATTAGTTTCTCTATCACCCTACATGCATTTAGCAAATCACTTAAGATTTTCTTCCCATCTCACAGCCTACATGTGTTCATTGAGTTCCTAACCCTTTAAGTCCCAATAGTGACCACGATCAATTTTCTCCTAACAATATCCATACATTGTCAACAGATAAGTTATGAGAATTAATAAAATGATCACTTAAGTAAAAATGCCTTCATCGATTATCAAATTCTCTCAACTCATTCTTTAAGGAAATATATGGAGATCAGTTTGGACAATTTGTATGTGGATACTGGGGCTTAAAGGGTTAAAGAGACTGCCTTTTAGACTGGTCTGTACTCCCTGGCCCCACCCATACACTAAGCAATAATGTCAAAGGTGACTTATCATTCAAAAACTCATTAATAATTGAAAAAAAGACAAAGAAAATTAATGCTTGATGAGTGTTTAGAACTCAGATGAAAAACTTCTCATTTTTGCATCCTTAATTTCTCCTTCAAAAATCATTTTGTTTGAATAGTAATATCGAGCATTTGACATAGTGTTTAATCATCAGATGAAACACCTCAAAGTTCTTCAAAAATACTCTGCTGCATGTCGTATTTTCAACTCTCTTCTCAGCGTTTCATCTGGTGATGGAACATGGCATCTCATGCTTGATATATTAGTTACTCTTCTACCCACCCTTGGTATTGTTGCATATCCAGAAGACTTGAGTCCCTCTAATTCTTCAGTCATCTTACTTGCTAAAGCCTGGAGATACCCTCTTGCTTCCTTTTCATCACTCACCCTAAATAAAATATTTAAAAAAAAAGGTTGTAATGATTAACCCTTTAAGACCTAAGAGTGATCAGCATGAAATTTCTCCTTATAATATCAATGCTTTAGAAAACACAGCGATCATGAGAATTGAGGTCAAGATCAAGGAAGACGATTCTAATTGACATTTCAACAAATTCTCCCCACTACTTCTATTGAAAACGTAAAGGGACAGTAAATGAGAATCTCAATTTAAAAATTAGGGCTTTAATGATTAAGACAGAATCCATCAGGAAATTGAGTAGTTTTAATTTTCAGTGGACAAAAAACTTATACTAGAAAAATTTAAAGCATATTGCATTCTGGGTCTCATGATTTTTCACAAGATGAGTCCCAGGACTCAACATAATCATTTTTATTATATAGACACGAGTGTTTTACTGGACTATATACCACTCGTAAAATTCATAAAAACTACATCCGGGATCCGAGTGGTTTATTTTCCATAATCAAGATGAGTTTATCAGGACTAATTTCCTCTATTATTTTAACATGTCATTTTTCTATATAATAAAAAATCATTACACAAGCTTGAAGATATGCCTGGCTAAAAACAATATTTGTTTTGCCACAGGGCAACATTAGTAATATCCTCTATGTAACAAAATCAAGCTGCCTCTAGGATTCAAATCCAGGGCAACATTAGAGGGAAACGAGCCTTCTCACCACTAGACTTCACCCTCCTTTTTCCTCCTGTGATCAAGATCAGCATGGAGGCTTAAAAGTACCATAAAATTAACAATCCAAATCAATTTAGACTAAAGAAACCATACCATTGGATAATTTCAGCAATTTGTGCTTCCCAATGAGCTACAGCATCTTTCTTTTCATTGCTGTCCCTCATATCTTCCTCAAGTTTTCGATGAGCAGCAATGGTTCGATCTAAACTCTCTGTCATCTGCAGATCAATAATCACATTTCAGTATAACTGCGGAGTAAAAAACGGCCAATATAGCAAGTACACAATATTGATACGGGATTGTAATGATTTTTTCTCCACCACAGTGTTCTAATCATTCTTTATAATACTAATTTATGGAACTAACTATTGGTTTATTACAACTGTACTCTCTAAGAGCTACTGATGAACCAACAATGCTTAGTAGTTTCAAGACATTAATCTGTTCAATAAAACTTACTTCCAAGGAATCAAACACTGGAAGAAAAAATGAATTTGCACTAATTTGCTCTTGGCAAATATATGCTGCAAATTTATGACAACTGAGAAGTAAATCTGGGGCAAACATGGTAAATGCAACATTTGTCTCTTTATTATATTTACAACCCATATTTTTGGTATACAAACGTGGCATTTACCACCTTTGCCAAATATTTTACATTTTTGGGACATATTTGCAAGCAGCAAATTTGTGCAAAACCATTTTTTGGTCCCATGAATAAACCACACACAGATCAGTGAAATCAACAGCTTTGCCAGGGTACTTACCTTATCATTGTCAGCCTGAAGTTTCTTATTTTCTTCTTCAAGAAGAGATATTTTTCGCTCACTCTTCCTCTTCAGTTCTTCAACTGTTTCTTGGTGTTCTCGATGGCTATAACAAAAAAAATTATTATTCCAAGATGGAGAATGACGTGAAAAATTAAGTTACGTCATTTCTGTGACAAGAATCGCAGATCTAACTTTAACCTGCGATCAGGCGTCTTTTTTTTTTTTTTTTTTTTTTTTTGCTTCTTTGGCTCAAGAGGGAAAAAAAATAACGCCTGATACATTTATTTAACAAGCAGTCAACCGCCCCCTAATTTACGCAATCTAACGTTTGCTTGACCTGTCATGTTTTTAGCCAATAAGCGTTTACCAAACGGGAATCAAATTTTGGTGCGAATAATGTCTCTTTTGAAATCAGTTTTAGGGAAAAAATTTTTTTAAGTACGTCCGTGTTCAGATGGCGCTTCGTAAAAAAAAAAAAATTATGTGTTGTTTTTGTGATGAAATATACTGCTAGCTGGAGCTGTCGTACCTTTATGAATAGCTACAAATAATAAAGAATTTACTGGTTAAAGCTCGTTGACTTCGTTCTGTACCGAAAGCAGTGGAAAAAAAATTAGGCTGAAGCACCATATTTCACGAACTGAAAGGTGTTGTGAAAGCGAAGATCGCTCAGAATAATTCGCAGCATGATTTCTGAAGGAGGAAATACAGTCAAACCAGGTCAAGATTCCATTCATGAATTGATTATTTGAAAAGTGAACCCGTTTGTCGCTTCTGTAACTTGTAGCCGGTATCAAATTGCATTCAAATAATCGGTGAAGTTTTGACTGCAACTGTTTTGGTATACGATGAGATGGTAAATATTTCAATGGATGAAACTTCTATTTAGGCATCCTTCAAATTCAAGAAAACTGAGCGGGCAGAAATTTCATAACGAACTCGCGTGTGTATTCACTGCTTATTTCGCAAGCAAAAATGCAGACTGAAATCAACAACAACTAACGGATGGCATCATTTTGGCCAATCGGAACAGCGCAAATCATCCGCATTGTTTCCTATCCAATCAGAAAAAAGTCCAGATTCTGGCATTTTTACATATGATCCGACAAAGAAATGTATCATGCCCTCTTCCCGTGAGAGACATAAAGGGATAATAGGGAGAGGGCATGATCTCAGGCTAATCTAACTTAAGATATCTGGATAAGATTTTAACATGGTGATACTAATAAAATTTTCAGCAGAACTTCCAAAGTGTGTTAATTCTGTTTTGTTCTTATCTCTCCTTCTTTTTTCTCTATTGACAAAGTGTTATATTAATCATATTTGAGAGATGTTTACCTGTCCATTCTTGCTTCATTCACTCTTGCTGTTAATGCTGCTACCTGTAAAATAAATTGGACATAAGCAAACCAGAAAAGTCTTTTTGTGCTATTTCATCAACTTTTCAGGAGCTTTTTTTTAATAATTCCTTACCATTGCAGAACAAGACATATGCAAAACCTATGCTCATGCTACTGATTTACTATGTTGGACTATGTTTCAGCTATGTTACGTTCACTACTACCTATGCAGTAACTATGTAACATACCACATAACATAGTCCAAAGTATGCAAAATCTATGTTGAAACTATGTTTAGGCTATTTGAAAAGTACATAGCTTTTTAATACCTACGCAAATACTATTCAAAATCTTTTCATAGTCTAGACATAGCTATGTATTTACTATGCAACAGAAAGTTCTGCTTTTCCTTCTGATTTGCATCATATGTATTCACTAAGCATCAAAGTAAAATAGCTTTTACATAGCATCTCAATGTTCACTTTTATTTCCAACAATATTCTTAGCTTTTACATAGTGCTATGTATATTCTATGCTATGTGAATGAAACATATTTGCAGCCTACGTTTTTACGGTGTGACATTTTAATTTAGTTTTATCATGACAAAGGCTACATAGCTTTTACATAAACATATTTTTTCCTATGTCACTCATATAATGATTTTTCTATAAGGTTGACTATGAGGTCTAAAATCTTTTCCAAAAGTTAAGTAAATTGTATGTATAGGCTATGTGGAAACTATGTCATGCATTTCTTCCTTTATTCTTACTTTTCAAACCTGCATAGCTTTTAGGTAGGTTCCGTTTGACTAGCGAAAACATAGCATTTTCAATACAAAAAAAAAAATTGTACTGTCATAGAAACAACATAGGATCTGGTTGAAGCAATGTATGACTCATTAACATAGGTTTTATACAGCTTTGTGACATAGCATTTGCATAGATTCTACAGATTATTGTCTGATTCTACAAGGGTTACTTAACTACTGCAAAACTCTGACTGGAGCAACTAGGCATGCCATTGATCATTAAAAAATAAACAACTACATGTATTAGTATTTATGGCACAGTGTATTTACACAACCATGAAATGTAATGAACAAAATAATTACCTCATTTTTCAAGGACATCCTGCCTGACTCAACATCAAGAAGCTTTTCAGTAAGTTCCTGTAATAGGAGATGATGAATTTAATATATAATCCCACACTTAACGAGCACTAAATTATAAACATAAAACAGTAATGATCATTTTTTTTAACAATTCACCTTGACTTCATTTGAGTGCTTCTGTTGTTCTTGTGTTGTAGATTCCTCATACTCTAACTTAAGTTTTTCAATTTCACCTTTAAGCCTGCAAACAAATGCAGTTAGAGTCAAGCATATGTTTTGCATCTGCAATTCTAACTCATGCAAGCAGCTGAAGCACTTTTACTGAGTACACGTACTTTAATATGTAAATAAAAGCAACGTAAAATTAATAACTCACCTGGAAATTTCTTGTTGTTGGTCTTCTGCTGTGGTATCACTAGGAAATGGTCTCCCTAAACTTCTTTGTTTAGCCTGAGTCAATAAACAAAAACAAACATAAATTGAAAACTACTTTCAATGTTTAAGTTTACTAAGACCATTTTAGTCATAGTGGTGGTGGTGGGGGTTATTTGCAAGCAGCAAAGAGGTAAAATGTAAAAGGTCAACACATCAAAATATTCATCAGATCATCTGGCCAGCAAACCTAAGGCTGAAGGGCAGCTCATTATCCTCTTGACTCTTCATCAGCGCTCAGTTATACAGAACTTAAATCAAAGAGACATGGAAAGGAAAGACGACTTGAAGCTGATGGAAATTATATTTTGGATCTTCCTGTAATTGCCTTTAATACTTTTGATATCTTGAGATCAACTGAGAAGTTTATGTTAGAAGTTGTTTTAAAGTTCTGAAATTACCTTTAGGTATTCAATTTCTTCTTCAAGTTGCTTTGCATACTAAGAAGAAAAAATAGCCAACAGCATTAAACAGAGAAGTAGGAAATAATCACTTGTGTTTACAAACAACAAACAAAATATCTATTGTAGACTGATAGTGCATCCTTCCATGGTAGACATTTATTTCTCTCATTCCAAGAATATCTTTTATTTTCAAACACAAGACAAAGGAGGTCCAATGTACCTGGTCACTTCTAGCTCTAAGCTTTCTTTCTTTGTTTGCTTCCGCAGACATTTCCTCCACTTGTGAAGCAATCTAAACATTAAAGAGAAACAACAAAAAAATAACTTCACCAGATGCACATGGAAGCATTGTTAGAATGTTCATAAAAGAAATGAGCTATAGCCCCCTGCATGGTGATAAAATGTGAACTATACATTGCATGTACAGGGGTTTCAATAAGCATAGATGGCTTCATCAGCTACTTTACTCATAGAAGTTGCCAGGCTACTTTTTCCAGGAAAAAAGAAGCATCTAGTTTAAAAAACATTGTAAACAAAAACTATGTCAAAAAATCTGAATGAAAATGTTCTTATGATGTGCTTTCATAAAGGCCCACTGGTTTTACATTATGTTTTAGTGAACGCTATACTTCAGTCAATTTTCACAGTTTTACACAGAATTTGTTTATGTGCAAAGGTACATAATTTAGTTTTCATTATTTGTCCGTTGCTTGTAGGAATTTATTGTGTAACTTATAAATCAAAAGTTGTTGAAAGCTACATTTTCTTGAAAAAACTTTTCTCCTCAGTTTGGTCCCCAGAATGCTGAACATGACATTTTAGGGCCTCGAAATTTCAAAATTCTCTGGGGAAGAATGCCCCCAGTCATCCTCCCCCTAGTAAAAAAGGGGACTAATGGACCATTGTTGATATTTACCTTATTCAAACCTGCTGACTTATTCAATTTTTACTGAAAACTTGGCATGTAAATAAGCAAACAATGGCACATCTATTCAAACAGAATAATGACTAATCTGAATATTGCACTGTCAATCAGGACCACACATGCTACTGTACTAGAACTATTAGTTAGTTTGAATACTACCATGGCCAACAGAAAAGAGACTCACTTCTCTTTTCTTTCTATCAGCATTTCGTACTTCCTGCCTCAAGCCATCAAGCTTTTGTAAAGTGGATTCTGTTTAGAGAGAATTAGACAACAATTATTAACACTACATACTACAAAAGATCAAAATAAAAATGAAAGGGAATATCGTGAATGCATGGGAATGTGAAAGAATACCCATTTCTTCTTCTTTTTCTCGCAGCATTCTTGACACCTTGGTCTTGGCAGACCGAATGTCAGCTAGCTTGTCATTTAATTCACTAAACTCAGCCATCGCAAGTTTTCTTGCACTGTGGGCTTCTTTCAGTTCTTTTTGCTGTGTGGTGATTTTTTCATTTGCCTCTTGAAGAACCTGAAATAAACAAGAAATTAGTATAATAGTAGTTTATAATAATACATGGATTTGTCTCGGAGATGCTTGTCCCATTTTGCTCTGATGACTCAATACAAATCCCTCTAAATTTGACTCTGTTTCTAATGTTATGAATTGAGTCAAATTTAGAAGGATTGGTATGGAGTCATCAGAGACAATTTTCCCCGGAATGCTAATTTTTAGCGAGTAGGCCTTTCAGTCGTTGTTTTTTTCAAAATACCCCGAAAAATCCCATAATTTCCCAAATTTAATTTTTTTTATAGCATCACACTTTAGGACTCTATGGCAACACAATAAGTTTTCCTTTCTTACTTGTGAGTTTCTTTCCAAAAAACTTCACTATGAATGGACACTGTTAATGTCATTATAAAAACAAACAAACAAATGGAAACAACTATAACATAAGTGATTGTTGACTGTTCAAATACATGTACAGTATTTTGATTTAGGAAAAATTAAATAAAACAAATGAAATCAACACTAACTCTTTCAATGTCTTCTTTTTCCATCCTTAATCCTCTGACTTCTCTGTCTAGAGATCGCATCTTTGCACTCATTTCTACAAAGATAACAGAGAAAATACTAAGCGAAAAAAAAAACACAAACCAAAAAAACAAACTCCTGGCCAATAATATTGCATGGTGCTATAAACTTTTGTTTTTACTGTGTGCTTATATAACTCGGGGACATCAAAACGTTTTGAAGTAGCAGGTGGCTTTGCACCAAAGGCACAAGTTCTTGAGCACCGAGGCATCTTGGGACAATTTGAAATTTAGAGTCTTGGAAATGGCGTTTCCAGGGGTTTTCAAGAGGTATTTTCCACTGCAGATGCCACGTTGTTTCGTCAAAGCAACAAAGACTGGGAATGATGCAGTTGACGTGTCCCAGATGTTTCATGACATTGCATGGTTTGAATGTTTCACAGATCTAAACCTTTTAAATATGCATTCAATGTCATTTGATGGTGCTTAATTTTTGTTAGCAGCTATGGTAAAGGGAGATGAAAGTAGCCAGCTAAGCAAGGCTAACTAGCCGGCAGTTTTGGCCGAATACCAGCCCTTATTCAACAGCCCTGAGAACTTGCCTTCATTGGTGGATTCCAGTTCTTTTCTTGAAGTTAAGGCATCTTGCAGTTCCTTTTCTAGATCAGCAGACTGAGCTTCATACTCTGAAGAATAATATCAAATAAATAATATTGTAAATATATTGTATGTTGTTCATTTTTTAGTTGTTTAACAGCAAAAATGGATGGATGGATGGATGCACAGACAGATAGATGGATGGATGGAAGGATGAATGAATGAATGAATGAAGGGAGAAAGAATGAATCAATCAATCAACCAATCACTCAAAAGACTTTACAACAAATTTATGCCAATGACGAGCAGCAAAACATGTTCTGTAACTGACAATAAATCTTATGGTTCAGGCAATTCAAAATACACTGACTTACCCATGATTTTCTTCTTCATTGATGTCATATCATCTTTTAACCTCTTCAGTTCGATAGAATCCACTTGATCACCTTTTGGACCATCAACAGCCAGTGCTTGATCTTGTAATGCTTTAGTAGAATCTATCATAGCAAAGTTAAACAAAGGGTAAATTGCCATAGTGAATGCAACAGTTATAAAACTAAAGATCATACATGAATTTTTGTTTACAGTGGAGGGCATCTAGATACAGCTGTATCTCATCTAGGCCATTCATCATACAACAGGGCTGTCACCAAGATATCAAGTTACCAGGTACATGCAATTAGTGAAAAAGGCACTTTATTTGAGTGTCAGTGACTGTATTATTTTAGCTCGTACTTGAGATGGGATCACGCAAAGGTCTAGCTGTTTGCAGAGAAAAGTACCCTCATATCTTAGTAATTTTAAGACCCTGAGTATTGTTCCAATCCCAGGAATCAAACTCACGATCTCCTGCTCTACAGTCAAGCACTCTAACGACCAAGCTAATTCTGTTGCAGTAGCCAGAGAATTCCTTTTGCTTTCGTTTTTCCTCCTTTCCGATGAAAGTAGGCAGGGGTCACACTTTTGGTAGCCAGGGGAGATCACCAGTCCATAACCCTTTTGCAAAAACAAACATGAGAGGCAGGAGGCAGCAACAGGGACTTGACAACAACCACATTTTTTATCACAAATACATGCCTTTAATTTTTGCATTTTTATGAACACACCCACAACAATACCTGTCAATTTTCGAGCGAGCTCTGATTTTTCCCTTTCGAGTCTTTGAATTCTTCTCTCATACGCTTCAACAGACAATGAGCTGGGAACTAAATAAACAAATAAATACAAGAAAGATTAAATAATTTTATGTGTCCTGCTGAAACTGTTTCTTATTGAACGCTACCTCAATGGCCATGGACACTTAACATACTGATCAGTGGTGTTGTGTAATTTGGTCTGAAATCACAAATAATACTCCAGACCAAATCGCGCCTACCGTGAAATAATGACCTTATAAATGCCCAGGGAATCTATGTAATTTTAGGGGTCCAAGCAGGGGCGTTTAATAGATACCCTAGGAGCCATTTAAAATAGAGACACTTATTCTCATAACTGTAACAAGCTCAACAAAACCATTACATGTATGCTTCCCGAGAAAATATCAAGAGAGTTCGAAAATAGTAGAATATTCACTCCATCAATAATTTATTGATACATCTAAAAGGCTGTCCAGAGATCCATATTACTTTTTCAAATCCCAACATTGATGTCAGAATCTTCACTCAGGGTTATTGTGTTGCCATCATTAATCTATCCTTTCTCTGAACTTGACATTGAACAAACAACTGAATGAATTTAAAGTTATCTTTCTGTTGAAGTGGAGGTTCCCTTTAAAGGCTGTCCAGAGATCCATATTACTTTTTCAAATCCCAACATTGATGTCAGAATCTTCACTCAGGGTTATTGTGCTGCCATCATTAATCTATCCTTTCTCTGAACTTGACATTGAACAAACAACTGAATGAATTGAAAGCCTTTGCTCCTTTTTGCTAATTCCTAGTATTTAGGAGTAATTCTCATGGAGGCATTCAATATTAGAAAGGGGCATCTAGTACAATTTTAATAGTGTAGAGGGGGTGTTTATAAGATAAGAGGCATTTATATGGAAGTGGGTGTCTAGTTAGGTCAATTATGGTATTCAGTTCAATCAACATTATCAATCACCCCATCTTATGATTACTATCTTGAGTACATGTAAACGTTCATGAATGAACAAAGCTCTACCATTGTTTGATGCGACAGGCTCCAGTGTGATGTTCCCAGATTCTTTAGCAACGGAGTGTGCCTTATCAGACAGTCGACTGAAGCAAAAAAACGTTACAATATCAGTCATACGTACACCTGTATGTACAGCAGGTAAATGACTTAGTGAAAAAAATCCTTATGAAATATTTGTCACCCACTCAACACTTATATGAATAACAATAAATAAAAACTAAGAAAGTTTAGACCTTTGCTAATTGCTACTCTGGTTATCCTGTCTGCACGACCACTACAAAACAAGTAACTCGTGGGCTGCACCAACATACCTATTTTCAGTAAATGAAAATCCTATAAATGGTAAGTGATGGCCAGTGAATGGAGACACAGAAGATGGCCGCACTGCATCCTGTAAAAAAACATATTAATATCTTTTAAAATCTACATTTTAAATAATAACATTTTTAAAAAAAGTTTAGTACGTACATTTGCTCTAGATTCATCGATATCCACATCAAAATTTGATGTATCAGACGCACTACTGACTTCTGGAATGTATGGAGGAACAGCTGAAAAATGGAATGAAAAAAAATTAAGCATGATCTGACACAAAGAATGTGATTACCAAAGCAAATAATTAAGTTTAACTGGTCAGCATACCCTGGCATATACATGTACACAGTCAAAAAGGATATAATATAATGTAATAATGCAATTATGCAATAATGTGTTGCTCATCCAAGAATCTAGCTTTAGTGTTATGGAAACTTTTTAAAGAATATCTCATAAAATTGCCATCAAAACTGAAGTAAGGTTTTTCTGCAGAAGCATAAACACAGACAAATTTTCACTGTAAACAATGATAATCATGGAGCTACTAAAATGTGGAAGGAATAAATAAATAATAAAGCAAAAAAAGAAGTACAAAAAACTTACTGTCCCCGATGTTGTCCCAGTCGATTCCCTCAAAGAAAGGGTGATTTCTAAAATCATCAATTCCATTTTGTCCCAGTCTCTGTTCTATTTTGCAACAAAGTCTACAACACAACAAAACAGATTTTCCTCTTTATGATACTTATACTGATACTTATCAGTTATACTACTACTGAAAATGAATTAAGATGGAAAACATAAAGTACAATTACATGACAGTAAGTTTTTAGCACACTTAGAACATTGTACTCCTTAAAAACTTTATTTTATTAGATTCGCCAATTATTGGCAGGGTCACCGCAACAGCATGAAGAAAATTACTGCGGGCACGTAACAGTCCCTTCCCCCATGAGAGATAGACCAACACACTGGGGACTATGTCCCCTACTCTTCACGAACAGTCTGTGGGTTCTTTAACATCCCACAGAATTTATATATGCAAAGGTTGTGAGAAAAGGCCTACGGTTTATCGTCCTTATCCGAGAAGAATCATACTATCTAGAGAGTAACATTAACACAGTTGAACCTTTCCACAATAGCTACCTTGGGGATAGAAGAAAGTGGCCATCATAAAGAGGTTTAAACAAGAGTCAATGAATGGATTATTTGTCCACTGGGGCAAAACAAGTGGCCGTTGTAGAAAGGCAGCCATTTTGGAGAAGTGGCCATTAGTGGAGATTAGACTGCATTACATTGTCAAAGCTTTAAGTCCCAATAGTGACCAAAATCAATTTTCTCCTAATGATGCCCATACATTGTCAAGAGATTAGGTTATGAGAATAAATATAATGATCACCAAAGGGAAAATGCGTTGATCTTTTATCAAATTCTCTCAACACATTCTCTAAGGAAATGTATAGAGATCAGTTTGGAGAATTTGTATGTGGATATTGGGGCTTAAAAGGTTAATATTCACTTGCTTTTTGTTCCTCTAAACAGGTAGCATTTCTACAAGAACAATTTTTTACATGCTGATATTCTAATAAACCAACCTTTGCATCAGATCTTTTGCATCATTTGAAACTTCTACATCAGAGGGAAAATTGAATTTACCCTGAAAAAAAAACCATGCAACAAATTAATACTAATCTTTGCATGGCAAAGATTAATCATCTTGCTGTTATGAACACTTCTAAAAAAAATAAATTAAAATTTGGGCATCAAAACTTAACCAATAACTAAAACATTAATTTCATCTTACCATATGGCTCATGATTTTGCTGTATGTTTCAACCAATGATTCTGCATAAAACGGGGTTTCACCAAACAGCATCTCGTACATACAAACACCCAGAGACCACCAGTCGCATTCAACACCATACTCGCCTCGTCCATCTTCCATGGCCTAAAGAAAGAGTCAATGAATTTAAGATTCTGGAAAGCTGTGAATTTTTCTTACATCACACCCCACCATGCTCATAAAAAAGATATATATGCACTGTACAAAGAAGCCAGAAACACATGGAACTTTTAACGTACGTTAACTGAAGTTTTTTTTAGAATATAATATTTACCTGGAGGATTTCAGGAGAAATATAGTCAGGTGTACCAACTGCAACAGACGATCTAACCTACAATAGAAAGAAAACATGTGAACTATAATTCTGTAAACATTATTATTTTTTACTAATATTTTATTACAGAAAGGGTTTATATCTTCAAGGTATTTGTGGAGCAATATTAGCTTGATATTTACATGTACACATATGACATGAATGTATCGGAATGCAGGGGATGAATCACTTACAGTTCCTTTCTTGCCAAGTTTTGAGCAAGATCCAAAATCTGCCAGCCTAACATGGCCACTGACATCAAGGAGAACATTGTCAGGCTTGACATCCCTGCAAAAAAAATATGCACATTTTGGATCAGTAAAGGCTCCTAAAACTGGTCATCCACCCACCCACCCAACCCTCCAACCCAACATTTCCTAAAGTGAGAAGTTAGTAGTAACGTTGGGTTAATTATGGGAGGGGTGGGTAAGGAGTTTCCCAGAATCTTATGCTGATCCAGTTTGGATAGACAAAAGTAAATGATATCTGTCACTTTCATTAAGTTTTGATGATGAACTGGGACCCCAAGTTCAAAAATTTAACAACAGTAGACACAAATTACACTGGAGTGATTTGGTCTTTATGACAATTACTTAATTTCCTGTAGGATAAATTAACAGCAAAAAATAATGCACAACCTTCATTTATTTCTTCAGAGCATGGAGATTTAATTTGCTGCCACTGAGAGCAGCTTTAAACTTGATTTAAAGAAAACAAGAAGTTTAGTTAATAAGTTGAAGTTTATTGACCTCCATAGAAGTTTCAAATTAAATGAAATTTAGTTGAAGCGTACATATACACACAAACATTCTCTGGTTCCAAAAATTTCATAGCTTGGCTAATCAAGAAGACCTACCTATGGACATAATCCATTTTATGGATAGAATTCACAGCCAAAACCACCTCTGCCAGGTAAAATTTGGCCATTTCTTCAGGTAAATGGTCTTCATATTTGCTGAGGAGAGTCAGCAGATCTCCACCACTGTAATAATCCATAACAAAATACTGGAAACAAAGCACAAATGTGATATTATTTCTTCAACATTGGAAATTGAGGTGCTCTAAGAATTAACAGCACCAGGGATTCAGCTTAGAGTGCTTCACATTATGCTGAATACAATGAACTGTTCCAGGCCTTTTACTCTAGCCAGCCTTTTTGCCTATGACCTTCTTGTGTGTGCAGCTGTAGATGTACAAATGATGCACACAGATATTTCGATATATCATTAACTTAATTTCATGACAATTTAATAAAGTTTTCTTTAACGACCACAAGCTATGGCTGCAGCCTCTTTGGCTCAGTAGCCAAACCTGCAGGCTCATGTGGACTTAACCCTTTAAGTCCCAGTAGTGACCAAGATCAATTTTCTCCTAACAATATCCATATTTTACCAAGAGAAATGGTTATGAGAGTTAATAAAATGATCACCCAAGAGAAAATGCTTTGATCTTCTACCAAATTCTCTCAACTTATTCCTTAAGGAAATGTATAAAGACCAGTTTGGAGAATTTGTATGTGGATATTGAGGCTTGAAGGGTTAATCAAGGTACAGTATACTGTGAAAGGTTTGAACCCAGGAGTCATTTCAAAAGGTTGAGTTTGATCGTCCGGGTGAACGTAGTCCTGAATAGGACTGTTGTTGTTGACAGTGACTGATGTTTTGACAACCTGTGCGGTAGTCATCTTCAGAGTGAAAGTGAGTTGTATCACGTCAGTTGATGGTATTATACTCTGGTTATTGATCTGATTGGTCAATTATGTCGTGATGTTATTGGTCGTCTGTCAGTTAAGCCGTGATGTCATTGGCTATGAAGACTCGTAATCAGTGATTGGTGCATTTCGATCCATCTACTGTCGCAGTTAAACAGTCGTCTATTGTTAGTCAAATTGTTAGTTCTCCAGTTGTTCTCTCGTAGTTAGTTTTGCTTGATCTCGTCAATAAGTCGTTTGTACGGTGCTGGTAACTGTTGACTACGATTCAGTGGCCAACAAACCGGAGGACAGACAGGGAGCAGTATACAAGATCAAATGCTGCGACTGCCAGGCTTCTTACATTGGTGAAACCGGCAGAAACCTAAGCATGTGACTGACCGAACACAAACGCGCGACGAGGAATGGTGACGTCAACAATCACATTGCTGAGCACCGTTTAAAGACGAAACATCAAATTGACTGGGACTCTGCGACATGTATAACGTATTCTACAGACTACTATCAACGTCTTACTTTAGAAAGCTGGTTTACTAACTTAGAACAAATGCCACTGAATCATAGTCAACAGTTACCAGCGCCGTACAAACAACTTATTGACGAGATCAAGCAAAACTAACTACGAGAGAACAACTGGAGAACTAACAATTTGACTAACAATAGACGACTGTTTAACTGCGACAATAGACGGACCAAAACACACCAATCACTGATTACGAGTCTTCATAGCCAATAGCATCACGGCTTAACTGACAGACAACCAATAACATCACGACATAATTGACCAATCAAATCAATAACCAGAGTATAATACCATCAACTGACGTGATACAACTCACTTTGACTCTGAAGATGACTACTGCACAGGTTGTCGAAATGTCAGTCACTGTCAACAACAACAGTCCTATTCAGGACTACGTTCACCCGGACGATCAAACTCAACCTTTTGTACAGTATACTGTAACAACTGTAAGATCTTTTTGAGGTTTTTCAGCAGTTTGTAGCAGTTGTGGAGCAGGTTTTGTTGTGATTGTTTAAAATTCAAACTCAGCCCCACCCAAACTTCTAATTTTCTTTGTATGGATTCAATCTGTGTGACAGGTGCCTCGCTCCCAGCCACATTGGAAGCCCCTGGATATTTCAGGCATTCACGCACCTTTCATTTAAGGAGGGCAGTTAATGCAGAGAGAGTTAGCCTAGCAGTTATTCAAAGTTCACTTTTGTTGTTTGTAATCCGCTTATATACTGTAATGCTTGTCAGACATATTTGTTTGACATGAGGCTGTGAGTTTGACCTAAGTAATCTCTTTGCTATAAAAGGTTATGTTCCATAGCAAAGAAAGATGAGTAACTGGCAAAATTAACAAAAAAAAAGAATAAGACAGCAATGGCATACATGTAGCCCCTTTAAAGAGAGAAAAACAAAATGCCATTTCTCACCAAATAATCATCATCTTGAAACGCATAATGTAATGTAGTTATCCATTGTTTATCTCCATACACCAAGACATCTCTCTCTTCCTTGAAGCAAGCAGTCTGGAAAGAGAAGGTTGAAAGTTCATGATGGAAAACTCCTTTTCACTGCACGTTCCCTAATCAAATTGTCAAACAAGTTTTCATAATGAAAAAATTGGCTGAAACTACTTTTAACTGAAGCGTCAGAAAAAACTTTATTGTGACAAAACTGATTCTTCTTTTCAGGACATCATTCAAAACTCCAATTTTAGACATGCTTACTTAATAAACTATCGACATGCTTTTATTCTCTCACTTAATATATTCATAGACAATAATACAGAGTGACCAAAAAATTACATCCAAGGTCAGGAAATATTACAAAAGGATAAAATTACAGTGAGCTATGTACTTGACTTCAGTAGTAGGAACAACAATGACCCACTTGACAGTCACACATTTGTAAAGTGGTGCTATACAGCTCTAGGTATACGTAGAAGGGTGTATTTTTCCTCTGATCAGGATCAGTTTAAGTGGAATACATCTCTAAAGGCAAATGCTAAAAAGCTATAGCAATAACTTGATGAAGACAAGCACATACAGCACTGTAAAGTGCTCAGCTTGAGCATGGTATATCAGTATAATCAATCTTGGCAGATGACCCATTGTACTGTAGACTACAGAAAAATTAAATTACAGTGTGGTAAATAATTGCATGTAATACCAAAAAATGAAACTTGACACTAAACTATGAATAAACAAAACCTTCAGCCATTTAATTTTCACATAATCTTATTGGCTAAAACAAATCATATCTTATCGCATCAAAAGTAAACAATAGAAATCTGAACCTGTACATATATAGTCTAATTTCAATCAATCACAGATTTAGGGATTACATGATGGATCTTATCAACTTGACAAGTTGAAGCTACATATACTGCCTCTACGCAATTGTTGGTTCAAAGGCTTTAACTTAAATCAAACCAGATACTAAACACGAGTATGGTGAATTTTTATTAGCCAACAATACAACAGCCTTGGCATTCAACAAGATCTGACAACCTCCCACAGGTTTTCTATCATCAATCCATCTACTTTGGCTTGATTTTCATTTGAATGCTTATAAGAATTGTATCAAAGCTTCACATACATTGGCTAGCTCTCACATTATTGAAACCCTGAGCATACCATAAATCATGTTCAATAATAAGAATATACTTTAAAGCAGTAATCTTACCAAAGGAATCTCAGCAGTACAAATGTATGCTTTAAGAACATTCATTTTGTTCAAAATCTTCAAACTTCAATTACTGCTACAATCTCAAAGGAATCTGCTATAAAATGGACACCTCCCAAAGATGGGTACCTAGAGTTACTCCCCAACATTAATTTTTTCAGACAGTGTTCTTGTTGACTCCCTGTGATTTGTAGACAGTTGGTCAATGCTGTCTGAGAGGGGTGAATAGGGGTATGCAAATGCACCGATCCATTATGATTTATTAAACAAATCCGCCAATACAATTTCCCTCTGAATACGAAATACTGGCAAAATAGTTTTTAAAAAAATGCACAGTCTAAAATCAGGGTTCAAAAGATGGATGATTCCGCAATCCGCTGCCATTGCCGCATCCGCAATTCCGTTAAAATTTCACTCTGAATCCAAAATCTGGGAAAAAATTTTTCAAAGTCCACCAATCCATTGGCCTATTTATCCCCCTCCTCTCTGGTCAAAACATTAACTGTCTTACATGCATGTAGAACACGTAATCAGTGATTTAATGTTAATCAGAAGGGTCTGATAATTCTTATGATATTTCACATCAAATTTTCCGATATTTTAATCCAATGCAACCTCCTTCATGTATATGTAGCTTCCAAAAACTTCTACAACCAACAAACAGTGGCAAATACTAAGGATAATGCCATTACAATATGCTTTAGTTCAAATTTCTTTTTGAAATTTTAAGATTTAAAATAGCAATCTGCTACAATTTTGCCAAAAAAGTTTCATTTGAATGGTAACACCATAGGACTTCATCCAAGAATTACAATACTTTTTTTTAACAGGGTTTAAACACAGCTTGATTCCCTTTGACTAAAAATAGAACATTTAGTTTTTGAATGCAGAAAATCTATCATATGCTAGGAAAATACTTGTCTACAGACAATCAACAGAACAGAGGGCTACCAGTAGATTTATACATGTACAATGTGCTTCTCTTGAATAGCATCAAAGATTTATTTCACCAAATGTTGGTATGTGCCTGACCTAACTATAAATGCATTACACCATATTTATATCAAACTAATAAATTAACACCAGAAATTTAAGGCATTCCAAGGAATACTAGAATAACATGATATTATGTAAGTGATAATCAACTTGATATAAAAACAGTTTGTTGAATAAACATTATCTGATGTGGCATTGATTGATGATTAATAAGCAGTGAATCTGGATGATATAGTTTAAACTAAATGCATGTTTCAATGACCAAGAAGTTAAATGTTCTAAATAGTTATAGCAGAAAACATAAACAGAACATTCCAGAAACGTTTTCACCTTTTGCTCTCACAAAAGAGACCGGAAATTAAATTTGATTTAAATTTTAGGTGATCATTAAAGTGAGTCAAAAGTGCAATTTCAAGCTATTTTCATGCATGGATCCCTTTGCCTTAGGCAAAGTCTGCAAAGGTCAGGGAAAATAATCTTTCTTGTCAGACTACTAAAGAAGTATACAGACCATTAATTTTAGTATGCTAATCCTGTCAGTCCCCACAGCGGTCAAAGTCAACATTCAACAAAAATGACAAATTTTATTTTGTTAAAGCTGGAGAACAAACAGGAAAGTACTGCTCAGTAGCTTTCATTTGAGTGGTCACACCATAGGATTTCATCCACAGACTCAAAAGTTAGAACCACCTTGTACAGCATAATAAACAGTACCACCGGAAAGTACTGCTCAGTAGCTTTCAATTGAATGGTCACACCATAGGATTTCATCCACAGACTCAAAAGTTAGAACCACCTTGTACAGCATAATAAACAGTACCACATAAAAGTACCGCTTAGTAGCTTTCATTTGAATGGTCACACCATAGGATTTCATCCACAGACTCAAAAGTTAGAACCACTTTGTACAACACAATAAACAGTACCACAGGAAAGTACTGCTCAGTAGCTTTCAATTGAATGGTAACACCATAGGATTTTGTCCACAGATTCAAAAGTTAGGACCACCTTGTACAACATACATGTAGTAAACAGTACCACAGGAAAGTTCTGCTCTGTGGCTTTCACTTGAATAGTCACATCATTGGATTTTTTCCACAAACTCAAAAGTTAGAACTACCTCACAAGACTCCATCATTAACTCTGGAAGTGAAAGAGTTCGCTAACACGTACAGGGCTGTGCTCTAGCAGAGCCCGGTGGCTGCAGGTACCTAACTTTTGATCTTGGGTGACTTAAAAATCTTACTTTTTTCGTACAAATCATCCATGTATGCTGGGCACCCTAGATTTTAGAGGTTTATAGCACTGGGCTCCCTTGGATTTTCCTTAGAGCACAGCCTTGATGTAAAGGAGTTGAAATGATAACTTAATTTCTGAATAGTAAATTAATTACAGTTGAACCTCTCCACAACTGACGCCTTGGGGCAGATGAAAGTGGCTGTTTTAAAGAGGCGGCCATTGTAGAGAGGTTTAAACAAGAGTCAATGCATGGACCGTCTGCCATTAAAAGTGGCCATTGTAGAGAGGCAGCCATTGTGGACAGGTGGTCATAAGTGGAGGTTCGAGTCTGTCAAAGATACATGTATTACAGTAGCTGTTGAAGTAAAAGTTGGTCATTGAGAATGAGTAGTTTTTTTCTGAAAAGAAAGCACTGCTCTTATAGAGTCCTTTATGGAGACACATAATATAACTCTATTATAACTTTGCAGACAAAATGTCATGGTGTCACCATTCAAATGAAATGTCTTTGATAATAATTCATTGTACTCACATACAAAAGAAAATTTTGACTTTTATCATAAATATTTCTTGGGCTGAGGGTTGATCTAACATTATGCTGGGTGGATGGACGAAAAGGTGCTTAATAGTACTTGCATACGTTGATGTCTGTGTGTTTTCCACTGATATTGTTCGGGTGTATGAAATCTGACATGTTTCATATCACAAGTATTAAATCATTTACCGTTAAAATTGCCTTAGGACTGATCTCACCTGAAAACCTGTGGCATAATTATCATGACACGTTTTGCTCAAAATTATTGTCATTATTTTAAGAAAAAGAACTTTGAAATATCTAAGAAACGTGACAAGAACACAAGGCGGAAATGAACCCAACGATTCCCCAGTCTCTTTAACTCCAAAAAAATTTAGCTGCCATTTAAATTAATACCCCCATTGAAATGTGCTACAAATTAATTAATGCCAAAGGGGAAAAGGCTTTGATTCTTTACCAGTAAACTACACCTTTTGTTACACTTAATAATCATTTGCTACCAGTATTTAGGCATTGATGGTTCGTACGGTGTAAATATATCTCATCAACTGTACCTTACACTGTAAAATAACAAATAATCGAATCGACAGGTCTCTTCACGTTCACCTTCGATGTCTTTAAAACTGACACCGATGACTCGCAAATTAAGATTTATACAATTCAAGTTGTGCAAAAACCATACAAGGAGAATGTTTTTTTCTCCCCTTAAAGTTTCGAAACCTGATCTGGCTAGAAAATAAACTGTTCATTGAAAACAGCTGAACTGAAGGAGTAATGAAACGCCGATCTTTATCGTGAATATATCTTTCAAAACAAACACTGCAAATATTCCGAACTGAGTAAACTTCTATTGAAATACATTTGACGTTACGTGTGTAGAGTGAGCATTGCATTAGACCGATCTCTTGTTCGATTCGATCACACGCATTCCACTTCTCGTAGTTGTACATTTCACTCTCACAACACCACATTCGTTCCTTTCTCGTATCTGGTATAAAAGATAAACAATTTTACCTCCCGTCTACAGGGGACATACGAAAGGATAAAGTTGACCGGAAAATCAACATTTGATCAATAGTAAAGTCGCTCGGCAAACGAAAAGAGTTTGTCGATGCGATCTGTTTCCAGACGGACTTAAAATCTTCGGACCCACTCGTAGCTACAATCCTGCGATTGATTCACGCATTCCATTTAATTCCCACAACTCATATCGGGGCCAATAAAAAGATCGACGGTGACCCAAAAGACTAAACAACGCTACAATGAAGGCATGAATGACTCGAATTAGTTCAGCTGGTTGGTTAGCAAGCTATCAAACTTACCTCAGCTCGCTTTAACATTTCCCATTTATTTAAGGTCTTCATGGCGTAGATTCTATCGTTGGTTTTCATTCGAACCACAGTTACCTGAACAAAAACAGGAACATGTTTGTAAAGAAACGGCGATACCCACTTTTGACAAATTACATTATCGCTATTACCTCTCCAAAGGCCCCTTTGCCGATTAATGTTAGGGGATCAAAGTCTTCGCGCCGGAGTCGAAGCTGTTTTATTTTTGAAGCCACTGGCTTTACTGCAAATGAAGCAAGACATTCGTCTTAGTAAAAAGGAACCAACCCCAGAGCTTATCTCGCGATCGCTACAAGCATCTTACCATTTTCAATGAATTCGCTGACGTTCTTGTCTCTTCTAAGCGTAGAATTGCAGCATTCATCGTAAAGTAAGACCAAAACGTCCAGCAGAGTCTCTACGCTGTAAGAGCCTTTCTCACTGCTCCCACAAGAAAACAACACCTCCAGTTGCCTCAGCCGTTCTTCGGCTGTTTCGGTAGCCATGATTTCTATCGTCCTTCACAGGCAATTAGCAGGTTTTGAACTCGGTGGACTGGTCGCACACATTCAGCGAAACAAATATTTCATCCACAGTTTGCATATATTTCTCACAATCTTCTACGGCATGCTGAAATGAAAACAGCTCACAAGCCGCAAGAAAATTCTTCCAGTAATCCTCTGTTTAAACAATTTCCTGAAGCTGAGAATCCGCTTGGAGTATCCTGTCGTTTAAAGATATCACAAACTACCTAAACCCGGTATTTCAACCAATCTTCTAGCGATATTCTTGCGCAAAACAATGCTTATGTTGGAGAAAAGTTGGGGAAATATGGCCGATACCACCCCAGAAGCATTATGGGAATGCCAAGCCTTGCATACCGGTGACGTCATGCTATTAGAACGCAAGGATTTATGAACTGTGGGTAATTTCAATTCATACGGTCAAGGCAGAAAGAGCATTTTCATAGCCAAATAATATTGAGCAAGCGTTATATAACCCTTCAAGAAATTTCATATTTCTTAACTATTTATAAAGTAGAAACTGAATCGTGAGAAAATTCAGTAGCAGAAGTGTTACTTCCGGTGAGGACATCAATAAAGAACTTACTTCCTGTATTTACCACCTGATTATACTCGTCACGTAATCAGTACTGGACTACTCGCTTGGCAAGTGATTGAGTACTGAGCGAGAACGTGCAAGGAAAAAGGAACGTTCTCTTCCCTCGCGCGATCGCGCGCCTCCGTGTTTCACCCTGAACGTCGGCTCCTGTTGATACAGTTCAGGCTTTGTAAGAGCCACGAACGAACATCACCACCCCCCACCCCCTCGAACTGTCTACCACCACCACCGCCACCTATTTTTGGAACGCTAAGGAAGTTTTACATTTACAGGTACTTGATTAGCGGATACACTAATGTAATAAAATCAATAAGACCCCAATTAAAATGATTCTAAAAACTGATCTTACATATTGCTGTAAGAGATCAGTAAAATTTATAAACGATACCAATTGCAATTCCATTTTTTTTTTTAAATTCATGCCTCTATGATGTTTGTTTGCCAATTCTCGCAATTTCTTTAAATAAAATTTCAATTACTAGAAGGTACGAAACCATAGTCTCCGGGGAGATGCTCCGGTCTACTTGGGATAAGAGCTTTATCCCAATCAGCGGAGCACTATAGGTAAGAAAATTTCGTTATAATTCTGGTTCTGAGAAAATCGTCCGTACGTACAGAGGCGGATCTAGGGGGAGGGTGCAGGGGCTGCGCACCCCCCCCGAGATGACCTGCGGTTTTCTAATACAACTGGTATTCTGCAAAAAAAAAATATGTGGTTTATTGGTGTTGAAGTAGAGCAAGAGACGAGTGCACCCCCTCCTAAAAAAAATCCTGGATCCGCCTCTGACGTACAGCACCCATTCATGTGAGCCGGGTGAAATTTTGAAGTTCAAGCACACGCGCGTTTCGGCAGTAAATCGCATGGCCACCCGGACTTTTAGAGAGAAAAAATACAACAAGAACAAAGCCGATTCTTTCTTTCCACTAAATTTTAATGTCTGCCTTAACGTGGATAACAGAGAAAGAGCTAGGGCGAGGGATAAAAAAACAAAGGAGACCAATTTCGTTGGAAGAAAAACGTAAACATTTTATAGCGGCGGTTAGAAAATGAGACATGCTAGCAGCCACCAAGGAGAAAATGAGCGGCAGCGAAAAAAAAAGGTTAACAGGAACACATACGACATCAATCCTCAAAAAAACACGTAACTAGGAAGCTTCTGGAAGTTTCACGTTGTAGTCGTGCAAAACAACGGTAAAGAAATTTACAAAAAAAGTGTACTGCACGTGCAAAGTTGTTTTTTGCTAAAGGCTAGACCATTTTCGATATATTAAAATTCATACTTGGCTCCGAGGCTTGGGGAAATAAAACATAAGAAATGTATTATTCATTGCTGAGCTACAAGACGATTTCTTTTGGTTTATTCCCCTAAGCCTAGTATAGCAGCCAAGTATGAATCAGGTTTAATATATCGGAATTGGTCAACTAAACCTACGTTTCGCCACTTAGCATTCACGTTTTATTTGAGTAAACTATATATATTAACGAGAGCTTCGCCTTTAGCTCTGGTTAAATCTATATATTACGGACACTGAAGGGGGGGGCATAGAAATCCGTATTAACGTCGTGTACGTATTAAGGACTAAAGAAAAAAGAAAAGGAAAACTGTCCGTAATAACGCGGAGGCTAGGTGTTGGTAAAACGAGGTTTTACTCTTGTGCGGTTTTTTTATGATCAGCAAAGTCGGTGCCATCGTGTTAGGGCTCTGCTAAATTTCACTACAAAAATGAATACCGAAAATATAATTGGACGTACTTACGACTGGAAGAGGTCAAGGTCGGCTTGCCTATCGAGGTTCCAAAACAGGTCAGTTTAATCGACGATTAATTTGCCTTGAGTTTGCTACGCTTTAATACAACGGTGGAGATGCGCCAATAAAATCCTGATCGGTTTCAGTCGCTTGAGAAACTACTTCTGCCACGATCCTTTTCACAGTTTTCCACTCTTTCAAAAAAATTGACCTTCGCAGATGGCCCAGTTCTATTTAACTAAAAGCCCACTCTTATGGATTATATGTAGATGGCATTCATTGACAGGTTACCAAAGGCATGCGACAATAATTTCATTAGAAAACCGGTATAGATCTACGGTCTCCTGGGTTACTAATGGATTTACTGCTCGGGTGAGATATATCCGTTTTGCGACGTTGTACTTTCAATAATGGACTCCCAAATAATGGCCTATGCGGGAGGGAAATCCGTCATTTCGGTCTGTAAAGGGGCTTTAAAAAGGGCTAACAGACTAATCTTGCATTGGGCTGTGAAAAGGCCAAGAAACCTTCCTGGTTTTTAGTGATTCATTCAAGCGACGGTCCGTTTTAAAGTAGTAAAAAGGGATAAGTGTTCTTTCTGGGTATATAAAAGGGATACCAATTTTCAAGAGAAGATAAATGAAAGGCATACCTTATCTGTCAAAAATAGTACATAATAGGGTAAGGGGTTGGACCTCGGAGCGGAGACCAATTTCGTTGAGTGCCGCCAGCCCCCGGAGCGTTGTACATTACCTTCATGATTCATCAAACACTACATAAATTTCCTTTATTTCTGCTTTATGGGCATTGACAGTGAGAAATTTTAAACAAGACATCACTGTTACTTAATTGTAATGTAGATGGCATGTGAATAGTTCTCTTATTTTGTTAGCGTAAGTATTTAACTTTATATTGTTTATGGTAGAGCAAAGATTTTTCTTGTTTTAAAGGTAAATTTCATTTATACACGCTCCACAGGTTTAAGTTTTTCATTCATTTCATCACTCACTAACTCGTTTGAACTTCCAATATGGCAGATCAATAAAATCTTCCTGCTTCCGAGGTTCTCCCAAAGCTTTCATTGATCTCCGATTTATTTACCACCCTTGAAAATTGCACCCTACCCTCGGTCGTTCTCGCGACTTCGTCGTTCAAAAAAGTCGACTTTCATCGTGGGCAAGTCGAAACTGCACGCAGAAAAATATCGAATTTCCATCGTCCCCTTTTGTTAAAGGCTGGTTTTCCCTTACGCAGAGTGGGAATCTTGAAGTCTCAATCGCAGTAGAGTGATCTAGCTAGTGAAAACAGCGTTCTGATTCCGCTTACGATACGATCCACTCAGTATAGAGTAGTGAAAACTAGCAGTAAAAGAATCACAAAGCGTTGGAAAAAGCATTGTGTTTGTTTTTACCTTCCGCTTCTGCTTCCGACTCAGTCATTCCGATACGTTCGGATAAGTTCTTCCAACTCCGATTCGGTTTCTCTTATCGCTTTATATTACTTAAGAGCCCGATTTTTATTTCCAGTAAGTCATAATTAGACGACCGCTTATAGTGAAAACCAGCCTCACCGAGTCTAAGAATAATATTTGTTCACCAAGCCAGTGAAGCCGACGGCTGATATATAACCACCAGAAATTTACCTCTTTTCGTCTTGGTCACTTTCGCGATATCTACGTGGTAGCATCTCTCTAAGGCATGGAATTTTAACATCTTACGCACGCTACAAAGTATTATACCTTTGTGGGGTATTTTTACAAATAAGTTTTCTTTTAGTGCTTTTATTTTTTCCCTTTTCTGTAACCAAAATACAAGATTGGAGATCTACGCATCTCCACTTCATGTATGTATGCAATGTAGGTATGTATGTATATGTTGTGGTTCAATTTTATCCTTGGTTTAAATTTTATTTCCCTTTGTTTTTGGGTATGGTAATGTATGATAATGAGTTTGAAAGAAAGGAAAATAAAATTTAAACCAAGCATAAAATTGAACCACAACATATATCTTTATTCATACACGGAAAAATTGTAATTGTAAGTAACAAAGGGCGGAGCCTTTCATGCGTCGAGGGTCCCGTTTGCACTTGCCCTTTTGGGGATCCGCAATTGTTTTTTAATTATTCTTGTCAGCTATATTATTATATTAATTCTTTCATGATTGCACTTTTGCCCCAATAAACAGGGTGTGAATTGGGTTAACCGACTAGCGACAAAGGGCGAAAAATATTACTGATTACCGACAAAACGAGTAAAAAATTACCGACTACCGACAAGAAAAATATTAACCGACTACCGACATGGGCTGACATTATCAATACTTGTTTCAGAAAAAAAGAGCATTTTGCATTTTTTTCCAGCCGTTAGCAAGTAACCTCTTTAAATTTATGACTCATCAGATGGTCTAACAGAAAGAACTTCCTCTTTTGTTGATAAGGCTACATTACTACAACCAATGTCATAATCACAGAAGCCACAGTCCTTAAAGATGCTACCGACTTAATATATTTTATTGAAAAGATAAAGGTGAAAAAACTGAACATTTCTTGTTTCGGTCCGAGAAATGTCTAGATTAATCCTGAAAGAAAATTATTTCCAGTTTAATGGAAAGCACTATCAGTAAGAAACCACAGTACCGCGATGAGCACATACAGCAGTTTCCTTTCCAACATTTTCATGGCCGCATATATTGAAACACAAAGTTTAAGCAAAACCGTCTTTAAACCAACTGTTTGAAAATGCTACATAGATGATATTTTTTCCCTATCGGACATAAGTAATTAAACCAGACATGCTAGATTTCTTTAAATTCACGGAACAAGTAAACTTACTTCACCCTACTGCTCTACTGGCTATGAAATTTACGCCCGAAATATCTGACACTGAGACAATATTATAGACTCCGTTGTATACCAAGGCACAACATTCAACGAAAAATGAGAAAAAGCTATCATTGACGCAAAGACAAATTTAAACGGAAACCTTCCAGTATATACATTTTCACCTCTTACCACCCACCGAATATTAAAATGGATTTGATCAACAAGAAGCCTTGAGTATCCTACGAACTCCTGTGAGGCTGGCCACACAATTTTGAAATAAAAATTGCTATTAGAAGTAAAACTCACAGGAGAAAAGCAGCGCTCCTGAAACAAAACGACAAGGAAGAAAAAGAAATATTGCCTTTCGTGACACAATACAAGCCCTTAGTGTCTATTATAAAAGAAACTTTAATGTAAAAGTGTAATCGCATACAAAACCAACTACTACCTTGCCAACTTAACCCTCAGACGTACACGCAAAATCATACCCCCACCATGGTACGAGAGGATGGTAGATGGAATCCCTCCCCAGAGTTTTTGATATGTTGTAGTATTTCGAAGCGATTTTGCCTTCACTGAAAAGCCTTTGATCTTCTTAACAAGATAAGGTATATTTTATGAATGGTAGCACTGCTGGAGGCCTGTTACGTCACCAACAAAGGTCGCCATCTTTGGCGCCATCTTGGATATTACAAAGAATTAGAAATCAGGTTAAAACAAAGAGAAATGGTAATTGCTTGACATGAATAACAACGCATAAATAAGCACTTTGCATGATTTTAGCTACAAGGTTTTTCTTTTATTGTTGAAAAAAGTTGAAAAAAACATATATTTTCACTCAAAATGGCTTGACAACCTGCTAGTTATTACATCATACCTCGTAACCATAGAAAATGATCATCACTGAACTTTTCTCAAAATGCGTGCGAGGGATAAACGAACATCTTCTGAAAACTTCAGGTGCTGATGTTTTATCCTCTTGGGTTATGAATCCCAGAAAACCTAAAGGGAGGTGGGATTCACCCCTCCACCCCTTGTATGTCCGAGGGTTAAAGTGTTATTTCTTTGAGGAAGGAAAATTATGGCAAAGGATAGATGTGCAGCCCGTCACCCCTTGCACTAAGCTGATAATTTGAGTATCCAAAAGGCTGGAGTCCATTAAAAGTGCAATCAAATGATGCACTCTTACAAGTTTTACTCTTTCCGTAGGGATCAAAGTCTTGAAACTTGGTGAAATACATAAAAAATATTAATAATTAACAAGCGTTTTTACTTATTAACTGAGATTTTCGAACAACCGACCAAAATCAAAAAATCTAACCGACTACCGACAAAGATCGAAAATTTTAACCGACTACCGACAAAGTAACTGAATTTTAACCGACAACCGACAAATGGACCCCCCCACTCAGACCCTCAATAAAGTGTCAAAAAAAAAAAACCCTTGGGGTTGGAAAGAAATGCAGTGTACGTATATCAAGCGCATTTCCCCTTCCAGGAAAGCAAGAGATAGATATAATGACATTTTAAAATAAAAGGGACTGAACTGTACTTGAACTGGACATACAAAAAATTCAAATGGCAAAGAATACACGATTGCTTTGAAATAAATTCAATCTTTTGTACTGCAGTAGACTTTTTTTTTTGTTGGTTTGTTTTGTTCGTTTTTTCAGACTTTTTTCGCACTTAAAACGTGGTTCGAGTTTTCGAGGGTAAAATTATGTAAACATTATCTAAAGGGAAACAAAAATAACTTCGATTTAGCGGGAAGTTCGAGTTCTAGAGAGTTCGAGTTACCGAGGGTAAAATTACAGTAAATGTATGAAGGGGATCGAAGCCGGAAATCGATTTTGGTTCGAGAGTTAACGCGAGGTTCGAGTTATTGGGATTAGACTGTACTTAAACTACGGAATTTATGAGGAAAATCTATTTGCTTGAGTACCAGATTAGGTAAAGTTTAAAACAACTCGATTTTGTATGCGTTAGAAATGAGTCTGAACGGCACAGAATAGTGCAAAATTGTAAACGTTCTTTACTTGTAAATGCACAAGAAAATCCAGTAATAGCTCCCAAAACTTGTATATGTCTTCTCCGAATAGATTATTAGGAATCTTAAGATCCGAGGACGGCGACGGAAGAGAAAACGTCGCTGAAAAAGTGAATTCGGGTTCTTTCAATCTTCACCACGATTAGTCCAAGTCACTAACTTTGTCAAATGTAGGCGAACCCTCCTAAAACTGAATTCCTAAGAACCATATCCAAGTTCAGAAAGAGAGAGGAAATTTCGCCGTCGCTTGTGTACTTCCTCTGTAAATTGTGAAATTAGACATTTTCACGTCGTAGTCGTGCAGTGACGGCAAAGAAATGTACAAAAAAGGGTGATACAGGTGCAAAATTGTTGTTTTGCTAATGAAGGTGACTCGACCCATTTTTTATTAGGGGGTACCATCCTACTTTGAAGCTCTCTGGTATCCCCACCTTTACTTTTATCGTAAGTCTAACACATAGAACGGATAACATATAGATCAATCTACAATATAACTTAAAATTTTTGGCGATCGGAGTAAATGTCACGTGGTTATAATGCCACGCCCCTTTGAGGTCTGAGTCCAAAATCTGCTGTTGCCAGCATTTTGTCGTGAAAATCTCTCGGCTGCACTTAGTGCGCATTAGTGCCTTGCGCTGAACAGAGTTTCACCAAAATCGCAAAGACCCAATTCGAGAAATTCAGCGGTTTCCAAATTTAGGTCATAATTTATGCGAAAATGATAAGCAAACTTTACACGGATTATATCTAATAAACTATGAGATTCATCTCTGTATTTTGGGCATCCTTATAACAGATAGGTCCTTGCAAGTCAGCAAAACGCTTTAGGGCCTTGTAAATGGGCGCGATTTCGAGCAAAGCAAACATATAGAAATTATAGTTTTCGCTATTTGTTGACGTTTGTCGGCGTTTAAGAGTCACTCTCACGAGAAAAGCATTTTCTTAAAAATTCGTAGTTTTTTTTCCTTCAAATTTTTTTCAGGGCCACAATTGATTAACTAACTACCCGGACTCTGAATTTCATGGTCATTGAAAAACTGTGAGATTATCTTCTATAAGCTCAAACTTGAGTAAACATTGAAGATTTTTAGCGTTTTGGCTGAGTTTGTGCTTTGGGAGTTGTCTATTGTTTCTAGTCTGTCATTATACAGCATTCTTGTTCAGCACGCGTGCAATGACCGCGCTTGGCTGACTTCCGAATGCTCACCGAGATATTATAAATTTGGTACAGTGAGACATGTCATCGCGTGATACATAGAGGTTTAACTAACAATTTTTAATCAATTGTCGTGCTTCTTGTGTTGTTGCAAAAAAATCAAGAAGTGCTACACACTAAGTCTACTTACTATTACAAAAATATCATTTTTTCATAGGTTTAATGCAAGCCAATAATTAAACCAACTCGTGACGGGAATATCTCGGTGAGCATTCGGAAGTCAGCCAAGCGCGGTCATTGCACGCGTGCTGAACAAGAGTGCTGTATAATGACAGACTAGAAACAATAGACAACTCCCAAAGCACAAACTCAGCCAAAACGCTAAAAATCTTCAATGTTTACTCAAGTTTGGGCTTATAGAAGATAATGTCACAGTTTTTCAATGACCATGAAATTCAGAGTCCGGGTAGTTAGTTAATCAATTGTGGCCCTGAAAAAATTTGAAGGAAAAAAAACTACCTATTTTTAAGAAAATGCTTTTTTCGTGAGAAGGACTCTTAAACGCTGACAAACGTCAACAAATAGCGAAAACTATAATTTCTATATGTTTGCTTTGCTCGAAATCGCGCGCATTTACAAGGCCCTAAAGCGTTTTGCTGACTTGCACGGACCCATCTGTTATAACGATGCCCAAAATAAAGGGATGAATCTCTTGGTTTATTAGATATAATCCGTGTAAATTTTGCTTATCATTTTCGCATGAATTATGACCTAAATTTGGAAACCGCTGAATTTCTCGAATTGGGTCTTTGCGATTTTGGTGAAACTCTGTTCAGCGCAAGGCACTAATGCGCACTAAGTGCAGCCGAGAGATTTTCACGAAAAAATGCTGGCAACAGCAGATTTTGGACTCAGACCTCAAAGGGGCGTGGCATTATAACCACGTGACATTTACTCCGATCGCCAAAAATTTTAAGTTATATTGTAGATTGATCTATATGTTATCCATTCTATGTGTTAGACTTACGATAAAAGTAAAGGTGGGGATACCAGAGAGCTTCAAAGTAGGATGGTACCCCCTAATAAAAAATGGGTCGAGTCACCTATTGCTTTTGTGGCGTTCCGGTTGTGGGGGCGTCACGGTCATCGGATCTTAAGGTCCCTAATGAGCAAGAAACGCTGGGGACATCATGTTCCCAAGGCAACAAACTATCAGAAGCTTAAATTAAAAGGATTCAAAAGTGTCTTTTCTAGTCAGGATTCAGCTTGAAAAAGGCTTTTGCTCAATTAATGATTAATTTGGTCGGTTTCGCAGTTGCCCATAACAAGATATTTACATAGTTTATTCCAACAGCAAATTCCACGGATGTGTTAGTGACTAAGGTAAATGCAAAGAAACTACTTGAATAAATAGATACTGAAATAAATAAATTAATTAAATAAGTTTATAACTGCTACCAAGTTATTTAGGCTAAAAAGTTAATCGACAATTTCGTTTTTAAGCTTGAATGTACCAGATAATCATTTTCGCATAAACATAAATAAAAACAGCTGTTATTACTTCCATGTCATTAAAACATGCCTGATATTAGTTATTCTCTCGTTGTTCACTGCAGGATATCTTTGCTAATGTGCTTTTAACTGCTATTCTAAGCTCACGAAGGCGCCAACAATACAACAGTGGATTTATCGCGGAATTAGCAAAGATCAAAGTTGCTGTGAAAATCCAGGGCGTGTTAGAATCGTTTGCGTCAGAGTTATCGCGGCGAGAGAGAAAATACATGACTCTTGGGAAGTAGCAGAAACACGCGCATATGTAGAACACAAAAGTGTTAAGAGCAGCGTATTTTATTGTTGCGATATTGCGTATATTTATTTCCGTGTTAGAACCTTGAGCGGCCTGTTGTTGAATCCGAATCTGTAACTGATGACGACGAACGACACGATAAATATTAATATAGCAAATTATCGAAGCTGCGTTATAAGCCCCAAGTAGAACGTAAGCGGCGTGTTTAAGAATCGTGTTGAGCTGTAATCTAATACACGACACAAAGAAGTGAAGAATCCAAATAAAAACCAAGATGAAGATAACTCGAGGCGTTGTGACCACAGCATAGTAAGACATGTGACATTGAAGAGCCAAGACTCGGTCAATACTTATCAACGCCATTGTAGCGAGGGATATTCCTATTAAAGACGAGGACATCGTATATGAAAGCTTCGCGATTAATCCATTTAATGAAAGTTCTTGTGCGATATAAAAAGGCTGTGTAATCAAGCCCACTGCCAGATCTGAAACGGCTAAACCAGCGAGCAAAATCATCGAAGCCCTGGAACGAAGAGAAGGAGAAGTTAAAATCGCTGCTAACACGAACGAATTGCCTATAATTGCTGCCAACATCAGTGGAATGTTTATCAGGCAGTTAGCGACGACAATGGTCGAACTTGAAGTTGTAGAGTAGTTTTTGTAAACTGATTCATTCATTTTCCAAGGAAAGGCTGAAGTTTTCCAAAGGCGAGTGCAATTAAGTCACATAAGATTGGTCTTTTGACGACTCGTTGGAGTTTCGTTATATTTGTGATTTTAGCTATGCAAATACAATGACTGTTTTGTAGAAAGTAATATACTTTGTGATTTGCGATCAATTAATTTTCTTTTATGCTTACCGGCTGGCAGATGGCTGCTGGTGACACAGGAATAAAATATCAGTTCGTTGTGTGGGAAGGAAGGGAATATTAATTGGAATTAGAACTACATCCTACACATTTTATTTTATGTACTTAGCATGTAGTTAGCCATAATAATAATATATGTTTCCTCAAACGTCGATCCAATTCGTAATTACATAATCCTTTTACTGCTTAATTAAATAACGAATGGGAGATTTTTTGGGACGTTTGAAACAAAATGCGCGTTAGACTTGATAAAACGCACACTGCAAATTTTGTCATTTTGACGAAACAATTGAAGGAAAATTTTAGCTAAAAAAATTAGTTAACATTAATTCCCTTTTACAGTTGTTTAAAAGTTTCTGATGAAGTCCAAAACAATAACATGCACTCACATCCTAATATATAAAATCTCTTACTGACATTGCTTGATCACAGGCTCAGATAGCCTCACTGTCGGTTGCACACATATTTTTAATTAAGAGCGACGGCCAATAAAAATAGATCAAAATCTTAATTTCGTGTGAAGAGTTGGAAAATCAATTTCTTTCATTTTTTGTTCATAGATAGCTTTTAGGTAGATAAGAAACCTAAACTAGATTGTTCGTGCCAAAAGCCTTTTATATGTGAGAAAAAATAGAAGATCGGTTTTCGATGTCGGAGTCTCAGACTGTCCTAGTTTTTAACCTGAAATTCTCTAACATTAACTTTCCTTGCGTTCGCAAACGAAGCCGCATGGAGAAATTTGGACACTTTCGATGCCGACAGTATTTTGAAGGAGAAAAAATCAAACGCTCTAGTATTCTGGTACTCATTTTTTATCAAAAAATAAGGACTTTAACAATCATGGTAATTTGCTAAGGATGACGGAAGAGGAAGATATTTCGTCTTGTTACTTTACAATCGAGGAAACCTGGAGCCGTTAAATAATTAAGTTATTTTGGTCATGCTTTACTACTATATTTACAGGACTTCGATGCTTTCGTTTGGAGACTGTCTTCAGGAACCCAAGCCAATTCTCAGGTATGCTTTAGTTGAATATCTAAATGTGTGAATAAACGAGGAGTGGGGAAATTTGGAGCTATACCACATCAAGAATAATGCCAGAGTTGATGTTAGCAAATACGGCCATTTTGAGACTCCGACCACGAAAACTGACATCGTGACGTCGACATTCTTACTTTTCTCGAACATAAAAGGCTTTTTGCGAGAACAACTTACGTCAGATTACTTATCTACCTAAAAGCTCTTTATGGAAAAAAAATGAAGGAAATCGATTTTTCAACTCTTGCCACTCGATGGTCGATATTTCCTGAACGTCGCTCTTAATAGGTGTCTAGCTGTGTCTATAGAGGAAAAGCTAGTAGTACTCAATTTAATGAATAGATTAACGACTAAAAGCGAAACTCTTGTTATCTTGTTAATATACTTAAAGTTTACCAAAAAAAAAAAAATGAACCCGTGTAATGCTAAACAATGACAAGAAGGAAAACTGCAAAAATTTTCGCCCTTTGTCTTTTCATAAATTATGCGTACATATGCACGTGAATGCTGAAGACGAAATCTGAAAGAAACCAATGGCTCTAGAGTATTTATCACATGACCTGTATTAGGAAAACAAAACTTACAAGCTAAAGAGGTCTATTAGCAAAATAAAAACACCCTTGCATGCACGTGCAGCACACTTTTTTGTACATTTATTTGCCGGTTGTTTTGCTCGACGACAACATTAAACGTCCTAATTTATAGACGTTTTATGATGGAAATGCCGCATGAATTCCTGTGCACTTTTTTTTCTCTGCCGCTCATTTTCACCTTAGTAACCGCTAGCATTTCTGGCATTTCTCATTTTCTGGCCGCCTCTTTAAATTTATCATTCTTCCTCTCAACGAAATTCATCTCCTTTGTTAAGGTGTTACGATACAGTTTTTCAGAGGTCATACCGATATTTTTCAGTAGCACTAAAAGTGGTTTTTTCCTTGTCCGATCGCTATAAAATTTTGACCAGTAACTGGTTATGGATTGAAATTCGTGAAAATGTAGTTTTCAGTAAAATCGATATTACTATGACAACAATAAACAAAAAACTTTGAAATTGATAAAAACCGAATTTTGTGTGATCTAGACCTGCTACTGAAAGTCCAACACTAAGAACTTAAAGTTTGGTGTTTAGCAAACAATCTCCGTAAGAGGTAAAAAATTCGGTATGCTTGAATTCGACTAAAACGAAAATATATTTCAAACTTTAAATTTTCAATAGCCGTGATAGATTATTTAATAAAAACGTTATAAATGACTCAAATTATTCTTAATTAGCGAGTTGCACCTATCAAGAAAGTGTCACTACCCAGACTGGAAACAAATTCGTGGCGAATCGAGTGGCAGAAATACAGACCACGTGGGATCCTGGTTGTTGTAGGTACTGTACTAGTAAGGGAAATCCTGCCGATTTGTTGACGCGTGGGTTGAGTTGTGGTGATATGATTGCCAGTACCTTATGGTGGAATGGACGTTGGTGGCTGTCTTCGAGTGACAAACCTATACCCGTTCAGTCCCAAGGTGGAACTGTTCCCTCTGGAAATACGCGAAGAGGAAAGGAAAATTGCTCATGGCTGTACAGCTGTCGTTAGAGAGCCGTTAATTGATATGTCGCGCTACGGGACATGGTTAAAGTTGATTCGAGTAACCGCTTATGTACTGAGAGCAGTCAAGTTGTTCAAGACTAAATGTAAGTCTTCTGAAAGCAAACTGTCGGCAGAAGAAGTGAAGAAGGCGGAGATTTAGTGTTGTAAATGGGTACAGGGAGAAGTCTATAAAGAGGATTACCACTTGCTGAAGTCCTTCCCAAGAACAGTCGCCTTCTCAAACTATACAAGTATTATGACAGCGAGGATCAGGTTATAAGAGTTGGTGGCTGACTGCAGTTTGCTGATCTGCTTGAACAGACCAAGCATCAACTAATATTGCCTCACGGACATCTCGAAGTCGCAAAGATGGTACTAGACCTACACAAGATCATGTTACATGCGGGCCCAGAAAGCATATTGTCAAGCTTAAGACAGAAAATTTGGCTGACCCAAGGAGACGAGAAGTCAAACGTGTTATCAGAAGATGCGTAGCTTGCCAAAAACAGCGAGTTGGACCTTGCGCAGAAAATGGGCCCATTGCCGGAAGAGAGAGTTTCATGTTCACCAGCTTTTGCTTATGTTGGAACTGATTTCGCAGGACCTCTCTATGTAAAAGAAGGTTCAACCATACAGAAAGTGTACCTTTGTCTATTCACGTGCGCATCATCTCGTATGATTCACGTGGAACTAACACACAGCCTTACCACTGATGAGTTCCTACAAGCCTTTAGTCGCATGACAAGCCGCAGAGGTCTTTGCCATACAGTGTGGAGCGACAACGCAAAAACCTTTACGGCTGCAAGCAAGGAAATCCAGAAATTGTGTGATCCTAGTACTCAAAGTTGAACGGTGTGGGATACATCGGATCGAAATTGAATTAATTCTGAGCTGTCGTCGAAAGGGATTACCGTACGTGGAAATTCATCACCGAACGTTCACCATGACGAGGCGAATGTTGGGAACGATTTTTCAAAGCAGTCAAAGAATTACTGCGTAAAGTGCTTGGAAAGGCACTTCTCACTTTTTCTGAGTTGAACGCACTATTAATTCAAATTGAAGGCATCATCAACTCGCGACCATTGACGGCAGTGAGCGACGATTGCAGAGAGCCTTTGCCGGTTACACCTGCTCATCTTGCAATTGGTAGACCAATTAACCAGTTACCTGAGAGTAAAGAAGAAAGCTTGGAGGAGTCTAGTAAAAGAACTGTCGAAAGGTATCTTTACCTACAGAGACTACTTAACCACTATTGCAAACGTTGGCAATGAGAACATCTGCATCTGCTGTCCGTGAGAAGTAAATGGCAAGAAGAAAACGCTTCCATTTGAGAAGGTGATATCGTATTGGTCTCTGATGATAATGTGTGTATCGCGTACCAAGTGGCCATTGGCCAGAGTGGAAAAGGTTCATCCTGGTAAGAACGGACTCGTGCGAACGGCTACTGTGAGAGTAGAGAAAGGTGTATTCAACAGTCCTGTTCAACGCTTACACGGATTGGAAATTGATGAAGCAGCCCCACAAGTTACCCGTGAAGGTGATGTTCCTGTTGATGGTGGGGAGAAGCCGCGAACAAACTCTGTTAATGTTAAAAGTGTTCCTGTTTGTAAGCCTAAGAAGAGAGTTCTCCTCCCTGAAGGACAACAAAGTGGGGAGAATGTTACGGCCCATCGTCGTACTCGCACTCGGGTCATTAAAAGCCCCGTGAGACTGTACCTGTGAGAGTAGAATAAATTATGTATATCAAACGTCAGGTGACTTCCTCGCTAGTCGCTCGTAGATTTGTTGTAAGTCGGGTTTCCTGGCAGTACATCAACCTGTTGTAAATCGGTGTATTGTTAATCGAGCGGATTAAGGTTGTGTTCAAGCGTTCAAGTTTGTATTGCATCACTTCCGTAACAACAGTGTTCTATGGTGTTAAAGGGTGATATACTGTGTTACATGGTGTTACACGGTGTTACTAGGTTTACACGGTGTCACACGGTGTTACATAGTGTTACATGGTGTTACACGGTGTCAGATGGTGTTACATGGTGTTTCACAGTGTTGAAGGGTGGTACACGGTGTTTCATAGTGTTACAGAGTGTTACATGGTGTTACATGGTATTACATGGTGTTACATAGTGGTTCACAGTGTTAAAGAGTGGTACACGGTGTTACATAGTGTTACGGGGTGTTACATAGTGTTACACGGTATTCAAGGGTGGTATATATACGGTGTTGCATAGTGTTTCACAGTGTTAAAGGGTGGTTCACGGTGTTCCATGGTGTTAAAAGGTGATATACCGTGTTACATGGTGTTACATAGTGTTTCACATTGTTAAAGGGTGGTACACGGTGGTACATGGTGGTACATGGTGTTACACGGTGTTACATGGTGTTTCACAGTGTTAAAGGGTGGTACACGGTGTTACATGGTGTTAAAGGGTGATATACCGTGTTACATGGTGTTACATGGTGATACACGGTGTTACATTGTGTTACACGGTGTTTCATGCTGTTACATGGTGTTACACGGTGTTTCATGGTGTAACAGGGTGTTCAACGGTATCACATAGCGTTACACAGTGTTAAAGGGTGATACACCGTGTTTTATGTTGTTACAGGGTGGAACACGGTTTTTAAGGGTTCTACATTGTTGTACATGGCGTTACAGGGTGTTACACGGTGTTAAAGGGCGATAATGCCATGGGAGACCCACGGGACAGACTGCAGACCTTTATGGGGAGAAATATGATAGGTTCGATATTTTGCCTCAAGTGATTTTAATTTCAGCTTTTTAGGACGATTTCTCTAACGGATAATAGACTAATTTCAATATTCCGTCCGCAAACCTCAATGTTCGACTCCTAACTCTAACAAGGGACCATCTCACATTTCATTTCTTTAAAATCTAGGCTTGTTCTCTTTACTTTTGCTGGCTGAGTACACTTTTGAATGATTTTACTGTTTTTTTTTTTGTTTTTTTTTGTCTTCAAAATGTTGAACAAGGGACTGGAAAGAGGTTGCAGTCACCATATATTATCCCGGGGGTACTCGATTTATCCCCGGGTGGGGAGGTGCGGCGCGGCCCCTCATACCCTGATCCTGTTTAAGACAAATATCGCTGATTTTCCGGGCCTGTTTAAGACAGAATTCCGATTTTTAACACCCTGTTTAAGACATTTAATTAACATTAGAGCTTGTAAAAATTTTGCTGTTTATCGTCCAAGAAAAGAGATCCTGTTTAAGACAAAAATTGATAAATCGATACCCTGATTACGACAAAAAATGATAAATTCGATACCCTGTTTAAGACAAAAATCCCGAAAAACATACCCTGGCTGGCCGCACGTCCCCATTAAGCCCTTATAAGGGAGTACCCCCCCCCCGGGTATATTATGTGCTACACTTTCAACTGAAACGTCATAGGGGCGCTAACCTCAAAAATTGCTAACACCAGTAGAAAACAGGCGAATTCTTCTGAAATATACTTACCTAAAATAATAATAAAAAATAACATGATTTTAAATCCAACATGCGGGAGGCAAACCAAGTTGTTATTTTATTTTAAAGTTGATCAATTACAAATACATAGTTATAAATGTACATACAAAGGTCACTTCGACTCCATTTAACAATCCATTCAATCCATTTTCGCCCTCGACTGAATGCGAAAAAAATTAACATTTTGCAAGCTTGATTCCCCTAGGTTGTTGACATGTTATCTTTGTCATTAATAAGTTTTTTGACTTCTGCGCGAAGTTCATGGAGACGCCAATGTTACCCTTGTTTCATGAGTCCCAAATAAACCGTAAAACATCTTTACGCTTCACATGCTTCACATGTTTATTCCGTTTCTTTTTCTCTCGTCACTAGTTCAGCTCGCGCTCTCTTTTTTGATAACCCGGATGAATACGTCATACACAAGACTCGTTTCCGCTTCCGGTTGTTTTGTTTTTAGTACAATCTCTACATGTATTAAACACCAACAATACTTACAAATATCAAAGTGGTTGTTAAAATGCAAAGTGAATATGAGGTAGGAAGGTTGCCTTCAGTAAACAAACGACAAACAAACCACGAAAGGTAACATAAACATGTACAAATGTAAAATATAAAAGTGTTTAGAGCCACGCGTTTTGCTGACACTATGTTGTGAGTTGACTGATGGTGACGAACGATGCGATAGATATGAATGTAGCAGACGGTTGTAACCGCGCCCTACATGCCAATTAAAGCACAGCTAACGAAAGAAGATAGTTTCTTATCGAAGAATAGAACACTCGACAAAAGGAAGTGAAGAAGACAATTCAAACTAATGGTACACATTACACGAGTCGAAGTAACTACAGTTTCGTAAGACAAGTGAAACTGAAGAACTAGGACTCGATCCATAATTATCAGTGCGCAAAGCAGTGGCGATCATACGTGACAGATTCAATATAAAGTCATTAGCTGAAAGTTGTTGGGCAATATGAATCAGTTGGATCATTTTTTTGGCTTAAAAGCCAACTGTAAGATCTGAAACAGCCAGTCCAGACAACAAAATTATGGGAGGCAGCGAACGAAGAGAAGGAGAAGTGATGATGACTGTTAAGACTAACGAGCTCCCGAAAATTGCGACCAACACAAGTGGAACATTTATGACACAGTCAACGATGAGAATGGATGAATACAAAGCAATTATTTAAGTCTTGTCATTCAAAATATTTCCCCTACTTTGATTGGCTCAAAGCACACGTTTAATTCACCATAACCAGTTACTAATGACGAAATTTGGAAGAATTTTGTGGTTAACGAGGAAATGACGTCAAAAATGCAGCGTTCTTGCAGGTTAAGGCACCGTTAACCGAGAAGACCTGGGAACGAGGTTGAGTTGTTTTGGTTGTGAAAACAAAAAATGGCGGACATTTCACTCCTTTCAAGAGTAAGAACTAGGCGAAATTATGGCTAAAAACATGGCAAGAACAGCAAGAACACAACTCGAAGGGCGACATCTGCTATTTGGAGAATATTTGTGGAGCTGAACCACCCTAAACCTGCACTATCGAAGGTGAACTTAACATCGATGGAGCTAAGCATGTTTTAGCTTTATTTTTAAACTAGGAATTGTTTTGAATAAATAATAAAACAATCATTGAATTAGGCTTTCGTATCATATGAAGAATTATGGAGATCTCGGAGGGTGTTATCCGCCGATAACACCCTCCTCGATCTCCATAATTCTTCATAAGATACTCAGCCTCATTCATTAATTGTTAATTAATGTTAATATACATTCATTTCCAAACTTGAAATCGATTCCAAGGTGCAAGTAGTCACATAAGTCGTTACTTCAGGCTCACGCGATGCTGGCTGTGAGTTCTCAGTTGACTAGTGGAGTTTGGCTTTCTTGATTTTTAATCATGAGCTTTTATTACTTTATTTCACTATTTAGTATGCAAAAAAGGTTTGAAGATTTACTTAGAAATAAGAACATTACAACAGAAATAAGAGCTCAAGCTTTAGAAAATATCTTCCCCTTATTAATTCTGATCGGACGTGTTGTCCGCGTTGTTGAAATAACAGAGTGATTTGGCATCACGCCTTTTACAGCAGTGGACAGTTTTCGTCGTTATTGGACAACGTGACCAAGATATGCCCTCAGTCATTTCGTTTATTTTTATTATTGTTATTTTTTAATTCAATATTTATCCAGGGGCATTCAAGTTAGCAGAGCTAGTTTACACACTGTAATTTTCAGGGAGTTATAATAACTCCTCTAGTGGGGCTAATTTAACTCCTTACAGTGGAGTTATTTTTCGTGGAGTTATTTTAACTCCAAAAAGGAGTTTAAAGAACTCTTTTTCAGGAGTAAAAGTGACCACAGATTTTGAGGAGTTAAAATAACCCCAAAAAAGGAGTTATCCTGTACCTAAAATTTTTACTCCACTTTCAGAGTTAAATTAACTCCAAAAAGAGTGAAAACAACCCCTGTAAGGAGTACAAGTAACCCCATTTCGGAGTAATTTTAACTCCAAGACTGGGAGTAAAAAGAACTCTTTTTCAGGAGTAAAAATGACCCCAAATTCGGAGTTAAATTAGGAGTTAAAATAACCCCAAAAAAGGGGTTATCCTGTACCTAAAATTTTTACTCCATTTTTGGAGTTATAATAACTCCCTACAAATTACGATGCAATGGAGCCCTGACACAACACAAAAACAAAGACATTCAAACATTACGGTTCTTCATCATACATACTCAAAAAAGGAGTTTCATGGCGGTTTCATCCGTAAGAACTAAATTGGACTCTTTTTATCTACACATTTCTTCATTTGAAAAATTGCCAATCTGGATATGATATCCAGTACCTTTTGTTGTGAACGCGATTTTGAATCTCTTTAAAACCCATGAAATGTTATCAAGACAATAGCATCATTAATTATTAATGATCTTCTTATTAAGCCCAGAGATAAGTAACAACACTTTTTTATTATTTTTTAAGTTGATCAATTACAAATACATATTTCTAAATTTACATACAGTAAGTTAAAAGAAACTTTAATACAAAGGTCATTTCGACTCCATTTGGCAATCCATTCAATTAAGCCCCCGAGAATGCGAAAAAAATGAACATTTCACAAGCTTGATTCCTCTTGATTGTTAACATGTTATCTTTATTATTAATATCTTAATAAGTTTCTTAACTTCTGCGCGAAGTTCATGGAGACGCCAGCAATACAAAAGTGGATTTAAGGCGGAATTTGCAAATATCAAAGTGGTTGTTAAAATGCAGAGTGAATATGAGGCAGGAAGGTTGCCTTCAGTAAACAAACGACAAACAAACCACGGAAGGTAACACAAACATGTACAAATGTAAAATATAAAAGTGTTTAGAGCAGCGCGTTTTGCTGACACTATGTTGTGAGTGTTCGTTTCCATGTTAACAGCTTGTCGCCCTTTGCGAATCTGTAACTGATGGCGACGAACGATGCGATAGATGTGAATGTAGCAGACGGTTGTAACTGCACTGTACATGCCAATTAAAGCACAGCTAACAAAAGAAGATAGTTTCTTATCGAAGAATAGAACACTCGACAAAAGGAAGTGAAGAAGACAATTCAAACTAATAGTACGCATTACACGAGTCGAAGTAACTACAGTTTTGTAAGACAAGTGAAACTGAAGTGCTAGAACTCGATCCACACTTATTAGTGCCATTGTGCTAAGAGATACACTGCACAAAGCAGTGGCCATCATACGTGACAGATTCAATATAAAGTCATTAGTTGAAAGTTGCCGAGCAATGTAAATCGGTTGGATTATTAAGCCAACTGTAAGATCTGAAACAGCCAGTCCAGACAACAAAATCATGGAAGGCTGCGAACGAAGAGACGGAGAAGTTACGATGACTGTTAAGACTAAAGAGTTGCCGAAAATTGCGGCCAACAGCAGTGGAACATTTATGACACAGTCAACGATGACAATGGATGAATTCGAACTTGAAGTTCCAGAGTAGTTATTGGAGTCATTAAATGTTGAGGCATTCATTTCCAAACTTGAAATCGATTCCAAGGTACAGGTTCTCGCGATGCTGGCTGTCAGTTCTCAGTTCACTAGTGGAGTTTGACTTTCTTTATTTTTAATCATGAGTTTTTATTACGTCAATTCACTATTTAATATGCAAAAAAGGTTTGAAGATTGACTTAGATATTAGAACATATGACAGGAATAAGAGCTTATCCTTCAACACATAACTTCCCCTTATCATTTTCTGATCGGACGTGTTGTCCACCCACTTGACGGTGTGAGTATAAGAATAACGCAGCTGAAACTAAAAACAGTGATTATTTGACATCACGTTTACGGCAGTAGACGTTTGTCGTTGTTGTTCGACAACGTGACCAACATTACCCTTCACCCATTTCGTTTACGGTTCCTCATGATCATACCTACCCCAAAAACCAATTTTATTGCAGTTTCATCCGTAAGAACTAAATTGAACTCACATTTCTTCATTTGAAAAATTGCCAATCTGGATATGATATTCACCTTTTGTTGTGAACGTGATTTTGAATCTCCTTAATTAACAATTACGCTCAAAGGTCGTGTAATTTAAGGTACAATGAGACAGCTAGTGCCGAGATGTCTATTTGACTCACAGACAACTCGAACTTGCGGTTTAATTATTATAGTATAATCTGAATATCAAGCCGTTAACCTTCTGTTGTTAACGTGATTCTGATTCTCCATCAAAGGTCCGTCATATATTTTACCTTTTCGTGATAGAAATTAACGATCTCCTAAATTGACTTGAGAATGTATGCTGATGATAACAATATTGCTTGGCTGCGCCTTGACATTAATAAATTAAGAATTTTGAAAACATGTGGCTTATGGCGAACAACTGTAATGATGTCAGTTGGCACTCGTCAAAGATAAGCGCTGCAAAGGAGTGAGCAAAGTCGAATCCAAATTGAAAGCGAAAATATCTTCCACGTTTTAAAAGAAAGCTAAATCATTGGGTGTTCTTAGAGATGACAAATTGACCTGAAACAAAGTCAGTCACGAAGACGAAATGTCTAAAGAAATATCCTCTGCCATGGTTACGGTTCCCATATATAAAAACATTTAGGCCATTTGTATTATCGGATACAGCTGAAAAGATAATGATGATTCGATTCCTCATTCAGCCATATTTTTATCACACTCTAGGATTACATAAATAATCAATTAAGTGAGAAGCTTCAAAAACTCAAAACCTTGGTCTTGCTTTAAAACAGAAGAAAGTGGCCTACGTTTTGTTAGCCAATCATGTCACTAGAGAGCAAAAACAAAGCAACTGCGAAATTGCAGTCGGCACTCACTAGAAACCACTTCAAAAACTTATTAATAATTCCTAAAGAACAAACAAAAGAAATTAATGTTTAGTGAGAGTCTTAATATCTCATAAAGACACGGCTAAACTTTACGTCCAAGTTTTTAAACCAAAATAACCCCAAATCTAAATATTGCAGAAATCAAATTGCAGAAATTTCTCACGTAGTAGTATAAAAACTGAAAAAATACTCTGAAGTATAACTTAAAAGGTATTTTTTTGGGTGTCGTCAACGTTTTATGTGAATCAAGTTTATATAGAAATAAAAACCCATATCTTTGGATTATTGTGTAGTTTTTCATAAGTAATGATAATGACTTTGTTAACTTGTCTTCCGTTCTAAATCTAGTTTATAGGAAACTAATTGGAGACACCTAACTAGGAGAACTAACAATGCAAGTCAATAAGAATAAAATCCCTCCCATCCGTTTCCAGTTTAAGCTCAAATATCTCTAAGATATAATTATGAGAATATTAATAAATATTAGAAATACAAAGAATACAAGCTAATAAATAAATTAAAATCCCTCCCATTCGTTTCCATTTTTACGCTCAATTACCTATCATAGTCTATACACGATCACGAAACATATTTAGCCAAACTAATGAGGGAAAGCTACAGTGGTATCTAATTGTTACATAAATAACAGGGATGCGATTTCTGTCAGGTCTACCTTTCTTATTTGTCTTTTAAAAGCGCTAGCTGATTCAGCCGATTTGATGGACTTATGCAGTTTAGACCAAATAAAACGTCCTGTGTACCTTCTACTATATTTGCCATCATGACACTTAAAGAAAAATCGTCTGCCTTTCCAAGATTATTCTTACTCGTGTTACAATGATAAACTGTCTGATGCATATGCCGGAACTAAGTTATTTTTGACTATTATGCATCTATTTATTTCCATTTTGATATCAATGATTTAGTTTTCTACTCGTTGGTGACATGTTGCCTTCATTAACAGATTTTTAACTGCTGTTCGAAGTTCGTGAAGACGCCAGCAAAACAACAGAGGGTTTAAGGCAGAATTTGCAAAAACCAAGGTTGCTAAGTCAAAACATGGTGCTGAAGACAATCGACAAATGAGCCATGGAAGATAACAAAAACATGTACAGATGTAAAAGATAAACGTGTTTACAGTAGTTCGCTTTCCTGTGACCATGAAGCGAGTATTCGCGTCCGTCATGTTGGAACCTTGAACAGCTTGTTGCTGAATGTGAATCTGCAACTGATGGCGACGAACGATGCGATAGATGTAAATGTAAGCAATTGCGGCAACGATGCTGTAAATGCCAACGAGAACGCAGCTCAAGCAAAATTGTACTTTCCAATTGAAGAATCTGGTACTACAGGAGAAAAGAAAGTGAAAAAGCCAACTTAAAATCATGGTGACTATAACGCGAGGCGAAGTAACTACGGTACTGTAAGACATGTGAAACTGAAGAGCTAGGACTCGATCTACGCTTATCAGGACCATTGTGTTGAGAGATATACCACACAAAGCAGTTGCCATCATTCCAGATAGAGTATTTATAAAGTCATTTGGTGCCAAATTCTGCGCAATAAAAACTGGTTGGACTATCAAGCCAACTGCGAGATCTGAAACAGCCAGGCCACACAGCAAAATCATTGAAGAACTCGAGCGGAGGAAAGAGGAAGTTAAAATAGCCGTTAACACCAACATGTTGCCGCAAATCGCCGCCAGCATCAGTGGAATATTTATGACACAGTTTACGATGGCGATAGTAGAACTTGAGGATCCAGAGGAGTTTTAAACATTGTCGCATTCATGTTCAAAGCCGAGGGGAGTTCCAAAATGAAATGTAAATTACGTACTGAAGTACTGTTGATTAAGTGAACCCTTAAAGCAGGTTAAGTCATACTTGCGTTATCATTAGTCTACTCATATCTTCCTTGCAAATGATAGCATTTCGCTTTGGTTACTTTTTACGAGGTTATTTCATATTTTGTGATATAATTTCATGGAATAAATTAAGCAGTTAATTTTTCCTTGTTTACGAAGAGACGTTTTGGCGCCCTCTTTGAACTGTTTGGAAACATCTGGCCATTCGCAAATTAACTGACGATTATGCTCTTGAGGCACCAGACAATTTGTCATCCATCAGAACATTCAAGTCAAGTAGACACGTAATTTTGCTGGTGGGTAACTTGATGATAAAATAAGTTGGCGACAAATTCTAATAAGTAACCAATTGACGAAACATTTCATTGTGTAACAGTGACAATGCAGAAACCTAGTTCTCTACTAATGTTTATTTTTAGTGCCAGTCTTGCTGTGAACAAATTAAACAAGAACAATATAAGGGGCTTTGATAGCAGCAAATTTTCATTAATGCTTGCAAATTAGAAAAGTTGTCTCCTAGAGCTGATAATTGCAAAGTTGCTACTAGTTTTATTCAGGATTGCATCAGAGAATTGACATTAGAATCTCAACATCGGAATAAAAAAAGGCGAATTCATGGAAACCGGCTATTGGTGTCGGTCGACTATGTAAGATTTTCATTTTAAAATTGTTTCTGGTTCTTTTTATGGCAGGGGCATAATTCTGCTTTTATCAACTTTACATCTGCTTCGCCACATCACTTTAACTTTTTAGCTCAGTTTTTAGACTAAAATTTATTCAACTGCCAATAAGCTTTTTTAAATTCAAGGTTCAGTTCCCGGCTAACGGCGGGGCTGCAGAAACTAAAGTCTAAAGCACTGTAAAGCTTTTGTCATTAAACAGATTGAAGTTTAATACATATTTAGGTGTTAATGTATATTCATTGGACTCCTAAGATAAGACGTTTCGTCCGTCCCAAACAAGAAAGACAAACAAACTCAGTTGCAGACAAAATATTTTTCCTAACAAATGCCGTTCGTGGGTCGCAAAGACGACTGCCGTGCAGAGGTGGATAGATGATATTTCCCAGAGGAAGCTTATTTTGAAAATGAATTTGGGTAAAATGTTGCTTCCGGTAAAAGACTGACAAACAGACCCCAGAATATAACAGAAACAAAGAAGAAATGTAAAATACAAATGTGTTACGTTTAACGCGAATTTCAAGTCTCTGACACTCAATACGCGGAAATTAAAGTCTTCACGTTTTACATGTGCGAAGATTTACTTCGTCACCTGCTCAGGCGAAGACATTCAGTACAGAAAATTCCGAGGCTCGGGGCAAAATATTAAAAAAAAAGAAATGAAACGAATATCTTGTCCGAATCACTCAGACTTAATGAGCGTTGTAAGGTGACAGGTTGCGTAACAGAAAGGTTACGAATCCCCGACCACGCTGAAAAGCCTGAGTGATTCGGACGAAATATGCTTCTCGTTTTTTTTTTAAGTTTTAGCTCTAAGTTTTGGAATTTTCTTCACTAAAAGATTTACTTAGTTATGCTATGTAGACAATTCAAGAGGGTAATTTTCTCGACTTAACAGCTTTTCATTGTCTATGGTCAAACTTTTTGGCTCATTTATAATGCATAAGGTGCTTAAAAACATGGCTTTTCGAAAAATAAAGCTAAAGAATACGCGCGTGTGAAAAGGCCATTCAAATTTGGCGACAATTTGGCTGAGGATTTAATGAGTTCGAGTTGTATAACAATTGCAATGTACGCTCAACAACATTTATGTCTTGGGAAAGTCATCTTTAGTTAGAGTTAGAAATAATAATAATAATAATAGTAATAATAATAATAATAATATAATAATAATTGTCAATTAGGTTTTACGTCATGTAACTACACCCTTTCTCATGTTTCGAAGTATTATTTCCATCTTCACTTGTTTTGAAAATTTTCCAATAACTATATTCATACTCCGCCTACATATGCCTGGATGAGGCCTTTCGGCGATCTCGCTATTTATAAGTTACTTAAATCTTTCAAGATTCAATGTTTAATTCCCTTAAAGGAGGCTGAATAACCTTGGCTCCAAGCCACCTTGACGCCTTCTTAAATAATCCTATTTTAAGTATTTTGCTATTTACAAAATATTAAAACATATAATACATAGCACTCTCAAGTTATATGACGTGACCTGAATGAAGGCCGTCCCACACAAGAGAAACATTAAGTCATTTTATCCTTGTTTTTTCTTACAAGATATTTTCGCCAGAACGTTCTTAACTGCCGCTCTTAATTCACGGAGACGCCAATAGTACGACAAAAGTCGATTGACGGCGGAATTTGCGTTGATAAGGGTTAATGTAAAAATGTTAGCTGATGAGTTTTGGGGAAAAATGTTGCCACCATTAGAAAAACGGCAAATGAACCACGGAATGTAACAGAAACAAGTACAAATGTAAAATGTAAATGTGTTAAACGCGATATGCTTTTCTGACGCCATGTTGTATACGTTCTCTCTTGTGCTTGTGCTGGAATTTTGAACAGCTCTGTGCTGCATCCAAACCTGCAACTGATGGCGACGAACGATTCGGTACTAAATATAAAATTAGCAGATCACTGCAATAAAACTCTAGATTCCTATTAAAGCATTGGCAATTTAAAGAGCTACAGCCATATTTAAAATCCAAATACAAGACAGAGCGACGTGAAAGAACCAAACAAAAGTAACTGTAACTATGGAACGAATTGTTGTAACTAAAATTTTGTACGACATGTGATATTGAAGGGCCAGGACTCGGTCCACACTTAAGTCATCGTAGTCAGTGATATTGCACACAGGCTCATAGATATCACTCCTGTCAGACTTACCAGGAACCAATTAAAAGTTAGCTCCCGGGCTAAGAAGTCTGGTTAAACTATCAACCCAACTGCGAGATCAGAGATAACTATCGACTACACAGCAAAATCATCGAAGGCCTCGAACGAAGAGAAGACGAAGTAAAGATAGATGTTAAAACTAAGCTGTTGCCAATCAATAGAACATTTGTGACAAGATTGACAATAACAACGGTTGAACTTGAGGTTTCAGAGTAGTTTTTAAGTGTTGACTCATTCATGTTCAAACCTGAATCTAATTCCAGGATGAAGGTAATCGCATGGAGGCAATGACAGTAAACCTTAAGTTTGTACCGCCTTTGAAAAAGCAGCTTAATCTCGGTTACGATTTACATTGTTATTTTACTTATGTACTGACTCGATTTATGAATTCATGATGGTAATTTTCTCGACTTAACAGCTTTTCTTTGTCAACAGTCAAACTTGTTAGCCCACTACATAAGGTGCTAAGACACAGGCTTTTGAAGATTAAGTAGAACAGCGCGTAGGGGCACGAGACAATTTTGCGACAACTCGCATTAGTCCTCATTCAGGTCTAGTGGAGGAATATTTATTAAATACCGTTAGTTAGGAACAGTCATAATAATTAAAAATTGAATAAATAAATAAATAATATATTAGATAAACTTTTTTTACGATATATATATAAATAAGGCTCACTTTTTTTACAATATCTAATCTATTTTCATCAGCTTAACTTTAGGTTGTTTTGAAAATTGTCCAATTTCTGGTACTCTACCCATATATGGAGCCTCTACAATAAGGCCCCCTAAACATTAGCCGACACAGTATTTAATTTTTTTTGAAGTGCTTTTGAGCTTGAAAGTTTATTCAGCTTGTAATAAATTCTTCAAGACTCAATGTTCAGTTTCTTGAACTCACAAGATTACAGAGCCTTTGTCTTAAAGCACCAAGCCCCACCTAGATCAGGATGATACGTAAGGGGTACTATTTACATGTAATATATATTTGATGTTCATAAAATATTGATTAGAAGCATATTCGATAGGTGGGAATCCCAAATTATTGAAAGCCGCCCCTCAAAGATTTTATCCTTGTTGCTTACAAAATATTTTCGCCAGAATGTTTTTAACTGCAGCTCGTAGTTCACGAAGACGCCAACAGTACAAAAGTGGATTGATGGTAGAATTTACGTAGATGAAGGTTACTGTAAAAATGCAAGCTGAATTTTTGGGGAAAATTTTGCCGCCGATAGAAAAACGACAAATGAACCACGGAATATAACAGAAACAAGTGCAGATAAAGAATACAAATGTGTTAAACGCGATGTGTTTTTCTGACACCATGTTGTGTGCATTTGCTCTTGTGTTGAAACTTTGAACTGCTCTTTGCTGCATCAAAACCTGCGACTGATGACGACGAACGATTCGGTAAATATAAATGTAGCAGATTACTGTAACAAAACTGTAAGTTCCTATTAAAGCGTTGGCAATATAAAGAAGTGCAGCTACATTGAAGAACCAAATACACGAAACAACAACGTGGAAATGCCAGACAAAAGTAATTGTGAAAATGACCCGAGAAGTTGTGACCAAAATCTTGTACGACATGTGATATTGAAGGGCTAGGACTCGGTCAACACTTATCAGTGTCATTGTCGCCAGTGATATTGCACAGAGGCCAATCGATATAACGCCTGACATATTCACTATATACAAATTAAGCGTTAGTTCGCGGGATACGAAGATTGGTTGTCCTATCAACCCAACAGCAAGATCGGAGAAAGCCAGACTACACAGCAGAATCATTGAAGGCCGCGAACGAAGAGACTGCGAAGCAAAGATGGATACCAAAACCAAGCTGTTACCAAGAATAGCTGCCAACATCAGTGGAACATTTATAAAGCAGTTAATGATGATGATGGTTGAAGTTGAGGTTTCAGAGTTGTCTCTCAATGTGGACTCGTTCATATTCAAACTTGAAATCAATTCCAGGATGATGGCAATCACAGAGGTACTGAAGATCAACCTTGCCGCGGACTTTTCCTACGTGGCATATAGACTGAACTTCGATTGCAATTTATCTCGTTATTTTATGTATGAAGTTGCAATTGACTTCGTTATTTTATGTATTCTATTGATATTATAATTTTTCTCAGCTTAACAGCTTTTCTTTGTTTATGGTCGGACTTTTTGGTTTACTGCATATGTTGATTAGAAACATAGGTTAATTAGAGTATAAGCCGTCAGGCCATGAATTTGCAAACACTAAAGCTTTTGGCGGTGAAAGATGCAACGAGAGTTTGGCAACCGAAAAATAAGCCAGAACAGAAGATGAAGTCAATGATAAATGAAAAATACAAACATTTTTACTGACAACAGCGCGTGTCTCTGACACCATGTTACGTTTAATCTGAATCTGAACAACCTGATGCTGGATGTAAATCCGAAGAAACATTGAATTTGATCTCAAAAGGACCGTTCACAGTTCTCATGGCATGAAACGTTTGATGTAAGTCTTCAGTAGTAGTTTTTTATTTCATTATGGATGACAGGAAGTTTTCGCACTGATCATTCTTCAACAAATTTGAACTAGCTTACGATGGCCATGCAAACTTACCGTTAGAAATTAAACCAAACCATTTTCATCCCCTGCTTCTTTCATTTTCCAAAGTACTGCTGTTTTTCCAAAACTGTAAAACAAATCTCGCTTTGAAAGGACCAGAAAGGAAAATGCCTTCTGTACTATAAAAAAACACAAGGTAGTTCTCTCTTATATGAGTGTTTGCGAGGGAGATTGGTGGGCAAATTTGGCATTTCAGTAACTGAAATTGCGACCGTAATATTGCCGGTATCGCACAGTTTGCCATCCCAAAAGCGAACAAATGAGCGTGAGGTTGAAAGTATAGAAATTAATTTCCCTTAACGTTAATTAAGGGTGTCCCTGCCTCTGCGATGTAGGTGAGAAAGATGTGCTTTGATGGTATTTTTTGTGTCGAGATGCAATTAAAAATGCTCTTTGTGTCCTTCCAAAGAGATCAATATTTGAATTGGAGTTAGAAGGTACGTCCAAAGGGAAGACAGAACTTGATAGCTATATTTGGTGGGATATTATTTGTTCTGGACGGATGGCTTCGGTTTTATATCGTGTTATAAACGAGTTGGAGTGTTTTAACATTGTTTTTTAAAAAAATAAAATGTGCGTGCGCAGTAATTCACTCCCTTCTATTTTTATTTATTTTGACTAAAAACATCACAGGAAAAATTCCTCCATGGATAGACACTCATTAATTTGAATTTACTTCGTGTGTTATTAAAACTTATAACGAAAGGCAAGCGCTGGTAAAGAGAACTAAGCAGTATTGTGTAGGCTACCGCAATGAGAGCCGTGTTTCAATTGTTTCAAACTAGTAGGAGGGATAAAAGTACTGCTGCTGTAGAAAGAATGAATTATTTATTATCCTGCTCTATAAGTGAATCTGTCGGAAAGTCGAAACAAATACACAAAGCTGGCGTCAAGTGAGGAAAACAGCGTGGTATGCGAAAAAGTACCCTGCACTGACTTTGGTTACTTATCGAAATATCTTGTGTGAGTAATATTTTAGCTTTTGAATTAACACAACCAAAACGGCATTCAATCCTCTGCCGTATATACACAAGTTGAGATTCAAATATATAAGAACAGCCTATGTGTTGCATACCTTCAATCTGTATATACATAGAATTGAGTTTTATGCCCAGGTGAAAATTGTGTTAATGTCCATGCATCTCTATACTTGCTGTAGCCGTTTTCAGGGTATTAAAATCTTTAGAATGCGTTAGTTTTAGTCTTTAATTAAGCTTCATCCTGCAGTGCTGGCACTAAGAAGAAAAGAGCTTTAAACAAACTAAAGGATCATTTCAAGGCTATTTACATACAACTTTATCATGCAAACAAAAGAATATGAAAAGGCTATACAAAATGAAACTCTTGATTGTCTCCCCATAAAAGCAAGCTCAAACTGAAAATCTTTTTGTATGATGTATGTTTTCAGTCAGTACCGGTTCGGCTGACGTGTGATAACAACAAAAACTTTACTGTGTCTCCATCATCATTTTTATCTGACTTATGTCCTGAAGGGCCACTCTTTCACACACCTTTCAGCATACCATTTCCTTAGCTGTCGTAACAACAGCCCTTCGAAGTTCTCCAATACGCCAACAGTACAAAAATGGATTTATGGACGAATTCATTAGCACTAAAGTGGTAGCAAAGTTCCATTCGTTTTTCCACAACTTGTACGATTGGTGCGTTGCATGAAGTGTTAATAAAATATACAGTGGCATATAACATATAACCATGCAGGTGTATATTAAAAAATGGTTTATTGCGCTCTTTTTTAAGTCCATCATTCTTGACATGTTATTTGTATAACTAGACTCCACTGCCCGTTGTTGGGCCCGAATTTGACGGTGATGTCGACGAACAATTTGATAAATTTTAACGTAACAAAATGTCGAAATTATAAGGCAAGTTCCAATGTTAACTGCCAAGATAAGGTGATATATAAGTTGGCTCCAAAAATAAAACAGCGAGGAAAGGTAATTAAAGAGCCATATAACTACAGTGGTAAAGATGACGCGAGAGTTAGTCACCAAAATGCTGTATCTCAGGTGGTAATGTAGGGCCAAATACCTATCCACACTTGACGCTGTTATTACCAGTAAAGAAACCCCGCAAACTGGATAAGCCGCTGTATCCCACACAACAGATGATAACTGGTTTTCCGTAAGTTCTTTTGCAACATAAAACGGTTGCACAAATATGCCAACGACGAGGTCCGATACAGCAAGACCCCCTAGTATAAGCATGGACGGCGAATGAATGGAGGGAGTTCTTTTTAGAGCGATTAATATCAAAGCGTTGCCAATGATAGCTACAGGCACCATGAGAGTGTTGAGAACGCAGTTTATGATGATAATTGGTTCAGGACGAGAAAAGTTTTCCATTATAGCACTAAAGTCTGTTGGCTTTAACAAAAATAGCAGTTGCTTTCAGTGTTCTCCTCACGCTTCACCCTTAATGCAAATTTCTTTAGCCAACAAATGTTAAAGCAATAAAAGTCGAGGATTTCTGTCCGTAGTGTATATCATCTATTACGTAACGGTTTATGTTTTCAGAAGGTACAGAAAACACCCACCACACATCACGATAAAACACAAAAAGTGTTTTCCCTTAATTTTCGAGACTATTTGTGACGTCGTGCTAAATGTTATCAGCGTTCAAAGTTTCCTCTTTTCGCGCTGTGACTAATTACGTTAAACACTTACAGAGAATTTGAAAGCTTTCTGTGCGCTAAATTGCAAACGTGAAATTCAAGAATAGCTCACTCGTCCATCCTTTCAGTGATCAGTGACCTGGCCTTTCAATGCAGCCAGAATCAGAGGAATCTTGCAAATATATACGTTCATTCGGCGGCGAAACAAGGGGTCAAATAAAGAACAAGCCGATATAGAGAGGTGGGCGTCCTCTTGATATCTAGATAATTAAATGAACCTGTCCTTTTAGAGGGCGAAGAATATCCGCTATTTCAGACTAATCAACGATACAAAAGTGATTGCTTGATTGAAAGGTACATACATGGTACAAATGAAAAGAATGGAGGGAATCGTGCAACCGTAAAATTCAAGTTAGAATGGCCCACTCGTCCATCCTTTCAATTACCTGGTCTTTCAATGCATCCAAAATCGAAGGAACCTTGCAAACATATACGTTCATTCGGCGGCGAAATAAGGGGTCAAATAAAGAATGAGCCGATATAGCGACGTGAGTGTCCTCTTGATATCTAGATAATGAAATTAAGCTGTCCATTTAGAGTTCGAAGAATATCCGCTATTCAAGATTGATCAGCGATATAAAACTGATTGATTGAAAGGTACATGGTTCAAATGAAAAAATTGAGGGAATCGCGCCCTTGCCTCTAAATTAAAATATGTTAATACACAGCGATAATCCTAAGAGGTTATTTATATGCCAAGATGTGTTAGATAATTTTCAATCAACTTGAATTTATTGAAATTGTGTTTCATTCAAATCCTAACCAGCTGCTATACGCAACACTACTTTAGCTGAGTTCATCCTCTTATAATTATGTTAAGTTTGAATAAATGCATCTTTGTTGTGAATAAGTAAAAATGTTAAGTTAAAATTACACTTGTATTGGTCTTAGAAGGTAATTCTTAGCTTTTATTTACAACTTCTTTTTAGGCTTTTTATTCAAAAGGGTTTGTAGGCGAGTTTTATTCAGCGGTAGTTGTCAATATAAGATCAGCACAATACTGCACATATCAAGAAAAGAGAATTAATGGATCTCTAATTCTCTCTCTTTCTAAATTTTGTCTTGTCTTATTTCATTGGCAAGTGACTCTAAAACTCATGGGCAAGGGAGACAAAGTTATTATTTTATTTTTGAGTTAGATGTTTTGAATATTAGATCGATTTTCGTTTTGTGAAACATTTGAAGAGACCCTGCTTTAAGCATTGCCCGAGGAAAATGGTGATTATATTTTATAAAAACGAGTAAGCTCAAGTAAGAGTTTGTTTTCTAACATTCAAAACACGAGGCATAGCTGAATGAATTTAAGCTCGAGAAAACAAGAACTGTGCCTTGACGTCATGTTCCTCTCATCCTCTCCTCTGGGCCGGTCTTCTCAAAAACGAAGAAAATGGCGGACCTCTTCGGTGACGATGAAAACAGGGATAAAAGACATTTAAACGAGGAAAACGAGGCCTTTCGCAAGAAATGATTCCCAGTAGATCTCTTTGGCATACTTTTGTTTCACCAAAAAAGCAATTTCCTCATGTCGTTGACCAAATTTGGAAAACATTTGCGAAATCCAGTATCCATGTTTCATCGATAGTATGGGCTATTGCCAGAAAAAGTCACGGCAACCGAGGAGTCCTGGGACGAGGTTGCATTTAAGCATAGCTGGAGAGATTAAAGTGGCGGAAAATTTCACACGTTTTGGGAATAAGAAAAAGCCATAGTTTTGCTTAAAACATGTCAAGAACAGCAAAAATACAGGACAACGGATGACAACTGGTATTTAAAGAATATTGCCAGACTAAACACCATTTTATATTCTGAAATTGCCGAAGAACCGACAAATGGAGATGGAAACTTAACAAAGATCGAGATAAGTATAGCTTAAAGTAGAAATTCCTTTGAATGAATAATTGATGTTGTATAAATAGCATGCAGGTGTCTCACAGAGTAGTTATATGACGCCAAGAGGCATACATTTATTTCAACGGTCTATAACGAGCAACATTTTAGCTTTTCGTGGAACTTAAGTGTTTCTTTTCTCGCAATTTTGAAATAACGATGATTTATCATCCTATCCGTTAAAGGGGCTGCGTCACGGCAGTCCAGTTCATTTTGTTCAATTTTGGCAATTACTCGCCCTCAATCGCTATGGAACTTAAAGTAAGCAAAGAAATTACCTGTAAATGACAAAATCAGGGATCCGAGACAAACAAATATGTCTCCTGAGCATTATTTTTGAAGTTGCAAGCAGCAGGGATCAACTTTGAAAAACTGTTAGGCTGAACAGTTTTCAAAAACCCTAATTTCAATCCGTTTCAATCTTCTTCAGTTTTGCCCATCCGTGACATCTGTTGTTTCTTTTATGTTATTTTAAACCTTCCTTTAAAGTTTGAACGGGTCATTTTTATGTTTCCCTTATTTTAACGGGCATTTTGTAATTCCCTAATTTGGCTGAATTTCGTGACGCAGCTCCTTTAATCATAAAAGGAACAAATTATATAACCTTCCTAAAACTGAAAAATGGATATGGAACAACATGTCACATGTAAGAGAAAAAACATTTTGCCTTAGGTGTGAAGTAAGTGTTAATATTGGCTTATGGAGGGGTAGTCCCTTAGGACACGAGTGTCCCGGAAACGAATAAGAAATTGAAGGTTCTTTGAAGGACATGACGTAACCACAGGAAACTTCCGGGCTGATAAATGGCTTTTTGAAACGGTTGTGTTCTCAGGGATTACACCAGGAACCGACCTATAAACTAACACCTTCAACAGGCCATTTGCACGATGGTGTCATTTTTAACTACGACTAGAATCCTTTTCGCTTTTTCTTTCATATTTAAATTTTGTAATCCCAGTGAGGTTTGAAAAACAAAAGCCCTAATGAGGACAAGAAAGCAAAACCTTGAACGATTCTGGTCGTAGTAGTAAAATGAAGTCATCGTGCAAATAGCCTATTCTACCATGTTTTGATTCATCTCAGCTAACTTTGAAAGGCCAACTGTGAAGGGTTAAGTGGCAAAAAATAAATCGTTGCTAACTCGGTCAACGGATATCTGTAAACAAAGATTCGCCTATATTAGGTATACACAACCTTAAATTTCGGTTTACTTTGCATTTTACTTCAGAACGAGTGTCAGCCGGACTCACACAAATAGAATGGTTGGTGGGTGGGTTTTTAACGAATGGACCCCACTTCCTTCTAAGACAAAGTTAAACGTCCTTCAAGGAAGCCAAAAAAATTTGAATTTCAACTGCTGGCTTTGTAAAAGTCGTTTCATCGCTTAGAATAAACATTTGCTCTCACAAGTAAGATAAAAGGGGTGCCACAGAGCCACAGTTATCTTGATAGCAAAGTGCTGTGCGGATGTTTTCACATTGAGCTTTTGCTATCGAATGAATACGGCCTTTTTGACGATGACGTCTTGTGCCCTATGACCATTTACCTCGTTTGCTTGTCTGATTATATCAGTTATCTTGATAGCCCATCGCTTATGGCAGGTATTAATTTTCCGCTTTTGAACAGGAATCGAAGTTAGTAGTTCAAATCAGGCTTTGCTTCCAACAGCCACAAACAACTTTAACCCGAATTCTAAACGATCGTGGTATTAACAAAGGTAGAAGGCCTATTCATTTGATTTAGCCTCGTGACAAAGTTTTCAAATCTCCTACCGCGTGCAATTATAAAGATGAGAGCTTTTCCTTTCATTTCCGGAGCGGTTCAGATGTTTAATTTCAATTAGTTTCGGTTCACATTCGCACACGAACAATCTCTGTATCACAGATCTCGATTGCAAGAATCAGGCGTCACGGAGAGTATTGACCAGTATTTTACAGAACTTTGCGTTGTTTGCAGTATTCAACTGAAAATGTCAACGCCAATAATTGTCACCGTAAATTGTATGATCAATGTTCCACTGATGCTGCTATCTATTGCTGGTAACGTTATTGTGCTGGCGACAGTTTTCAAGACACCTTCTCTTCACTCACCTTCATATCTCTTACTAAGCGGCCTCGCCGTTTCAGACTTGGGTGTTGGATTGCTAGTGCAGCCATTTTATATTGCAGAGAAGCTCTCGTCAACGGAATTTCTCCGCAATCTTATGACAACCATGGGATTCGCTTTCTGCGGAGTTTCATTCGGCACCATGGCACTGATAAGCGTAGATCGGTACTTGGCCCTTCTTTATCATTTGGAGTACAGGTCTAGAGTGACAACATATCGTGTTGTAATCACAATGTCTTTTATTTGGTTCCTTCACTTTATTTTGCTGAACAGATTTTGGGTACCACCTAAATATATTTACATCGGCTTTGCTCTTCTAGTCATATATATCACAGTTGCCACCGTGTCTTACCTTCAGATTTATCGAATAGTACGACGGCATCAGTTGCAGATTCAGAATCAAAATCAGGCCGTGCTAAGTCAGTCCAATTCCCTGTCTCAAAAGCGTTCTGCTACGAATACTCTGGTGTTTTACGTCAGCGCGGTCATTTGTTACTTTCCTTGGTGTGTTTATCGTATTGCCCATGGAGATATCTTCGTTGCAAATATAAACACAGCGTGGATCTTTACAACCAGCCTGGTTTTCGCAAATTCCGCCATTAATCCGTTTTTATACGGTTGGCGTCTTCGTGAACTTCGCAATGAAGTTAAAAAGACTATGAAGAAAACTTTGCGTATAAGTCAAACTGAACAAACGTAGACTTCTTGTTCTTTCATTCCCTTTTAAAAGAAAATATTAAGTTACCGTTATTTTTCAGTTCTGTTTTAAATCATTTTAAGTTAAACTTGTGATGTGATTTTGTCAAATCGACAAAATATTACATGTTATTTTATGCCATTAAATTTGCTTCAATCTGAAATTCACCGAGACATTTTACTGACAGAGGCTTAATTACTGTACGTTGTACACTATTTGTAACTGATGTGCAGGGGCACCCAACGAGAACATAGTTCAAAACCACTTAAAAATAGCATTGTTAAACGTATTTTAGTATTTAAACGGTAGATATAGGCATATTTTTATCCCCTTAAAATTTTTCATCTGTTCGGATTTCCTAGCTGAAAGTCTAGTGATCCGAAAATTATAGGGATCAAAACTTACCCTTTCGAAAATTCCAGCCAGAAAAAAGGCTCCCGAAAATTCTAGTTGACCTTTTTAGGGTAAAAATCCGTTAAAAATAGGCAATTATACCATTTTTTAGATGTTCGAAAATCCTAGGAGAGGCAGGCAAGCAAGAAATTTTACAACAAATGTTCCGAAAATTGTAGATCTCAAATCGTCTTCCGAACAGATATTTTCCGAAAATTGTCGTTGGGTGCCCCTGCTGATGTGGTTAGGAAGGATTTGAATTCTCGTAAGGTTTATAGCTTCGTAATTTGAATAAAATATATCATTAATTGCTATCTAAATGCCTAAAAGTAAATGAGAATTAATTTCAATTTCCGGTAGCGAAGTTTCGTGTGGAAGAATAAGCGTTCCACCGAAAAATAACCTGGAAAGTAAAAATTAAGTTTTGCGTTATAAACTTATGTTTTGTAGTCTAAACGTTTATGCCAGGGGGTATTAAGCAATTTTGAGGCCTTCAGTTCCAAAGTGACCAACATCATTTTTCCCCTAACAGTATAAATACATAGTAATAAAACAAAAGGTTACGCGAATTAACTTGAAAATGATTACCAAAGGGAAAATGCCTGCGTATTTTTAATAACTTCTCTCAACTCCAAATAATTCTTAAAGGTAATTCTGAAGAATTTGCATGAGGAAATAAAACGTAGCCAGCAAACAAAAGACTAAGAAAGAGTTCAACTCCCACAGGGTTTGTTTAGAACACCCAACATGGCAGCCGTTTCATTGTTTTGAAAAACCAATATGGCCGCCGTGACGTCATGTGAAAACGCTCTATTAAGGCTAAGACGCAGGGTTAAATTGGGTGCCTGCTCAGTAGTTCAATCGGACTGATCTATACTTCAAGTAAATGCTTTTCTGGCGAAACACCTGATAGGTGACAAACAGGCTGGAGCCATTTCCGAATACTCGATGACGGTCACCGATAATGGCGTCGGGCCGGGCGACATCGAGCAAATAAAATCTTCCCTATAGGAACGACCAGATAAAAGCTACACGTGTAGCGTTTGTTGCCCTTGACATTTCCCTTGTCATGCTGTTATTTTTTCTTTTGCGGAAAATGCAAGTAAAGGTTTCGCAAATATTTTGACAATAATTTATGAATAGAAAAAAGAATATCCGCTGAGAGCGTAGGGGAGGCTTTCGGATATCCAGATACCGAAAAGCTGCTCCTCGTGTTTTTAACCCTGCACTATTGTTTTTTTGTTTAATATAAAATTTAACAATTATTAAATTTGGCTTTCGTACTGATGTGATGAAAAATCATGAATTATGCAAATCAATGACAATGTTTTCCACCGAACCCACATTATTCATTCAAAATATTTCCTAAGTCGTTAACAAGTTTACTCCTTGTAGACTTTCTTAACTTCAAAACTTTGGCCTTTTTCTTGGCACGGTTTCAGGATATAAACAGATGTTTTTTCTGGCATATACCCCTGAAAAAGGGAAATACGTCTTTCATATTCCTGCATTTCGTTCCGTTCAGTTTCTGTCAGAAATTCAGCTATTTCGTCTTCGGATAACCGTGAACGCCATTCTTTAGTTCACTATTGCCTAAGCACCCTCGTTTCCAATTAAACAAACCATCGAATCGATGGTATATTGATCGCATCTTCCAAATATGGTCCAAATAGCTGAATTTGTGACTTCAGTTGGAAAAAATACAAGAATACTGGCAGCATCCTCGGATCTGCATAATTCTTCACTTTACTGACGACAGCCGAATTCAATAATTGCTGATTCATTTAATATGCTGTTACTATAAAGCGTTAACCCGAATTCACGTGTATGGGCAACAGTTGTGAATTACAACTTGCTAAAGATGTAGAAAAAGCCTTAGAATTTAAATACCAAGTGCAATCGTTGCATTTACTCTCGAAAAGGAACGTTAAGTCGGCTGTTTAAAAAACGACCAGGAGTGAATTATCTGTTTTAAAAACTGGAGGCAAAGTCCCGGCGCAAAGTACAGTCGTATCTTTACCTGATATAAAGACACTCGTTAAACATAAATTTCTGTTGTTTTTTCTTCAATGAATTATTAAATAAATTAGTTTTTGAGGTGCATGCTTCCTTCGCTTTACCCCGGAGACGCGACGGTTTCCTTGTAAATGTTAATTATTTAGAATTGGAACAATTAATCAAGAAATCTCTCACTTAACTGTCACATTTGTATTTGCCTAAAACTCAATTATCAGATGAAAAGAACTCATTGGACAGGGCACCCAATTCAATAACCAGTTATATGCGTTGTAGTTAAATAACTACAATTACAACATCACTGAATGATTATGAGAAATGGAAATTTTTTTTTGAAAATTACTTTGAAAGTAATCTTTCGTCGCTTCACTTGCATCAGATAAAAGCTTTTCTAACAGATGGCAAATCGCGTACCCCCCACCCAAAAAACAAAAATGGCAAATTAAAGACGTAATTATCTATGTTCTAACGCTTATCCATTTAACACGGCATCATGAATTTCACTGGAGGAGGCGATTGGAACAGCTCGGATCAAACACACGCGACGATTGTCTTAGTAAACTGTGCGCTTAATGCGCCACTAATTCTCCTTTCCATTGCTGGCAATGTTTTGGTGCTGGTGGCTTTATCGAAAACGTCTTACATTCACTCAACTTCGATCATCATGCTGGCAAGCCTTGCGTTATCGGATCTTCTCGTTGGTCTTCTAGCTCAACCACTTTTTATTGCGGACGAACTTAAAAGCTTGACAACGCAAGACCCTATACTCTACCGTCTGTCAGCAATGATAGGGTTTTTCGTCGGTGGAGTGTCTCTTGGAACAATAACAGCCATTAGTGTGGATCGCTATATGTCTCTTCACTACCACATGCGATACGCCATCATAGTGACCAACACTCGAGTCAAATACACCGTAGGAGCAATCTGGCTGGCCATTTTCCTGTCTTTAATATTTTATCATTGGAACAAGTACATTTTTCACCTTCTTGGAGGTGTCTTTTCCGCTGTATGTATTATAATTAGCACAATATCTTACGTAAAAATTTATCAGATTGTTCGTTATCATCAGTCGCAAATTCACATTCAGCATCACACTGTAGGAAACACAAAATTTGAAAGCAAAATGCGCCTCGCGCGATTGAAGCAAAGTGCATTGAACACGTTTGTATTTTACATTGGTATGATCCTCTGTTATTTTCCACATTTTGTTTTGCTGATAATATTTGGAACACTGCACATAGAATGGAGACCAGAATGGACCTTTTCTACTACGGCTGCTTTTATGAACTCATCCATCAACCCTATCTTGTATTGCTGGCGGCTTTGTGGGCTTAGAAAAGAAATACTAGCAATTATAAAGGCTATAAAGCTATTACCATCTATTTAACCTAATGCAAGCTACTGAAACAAATATAAAACTTGCATATCCATCTTCGTAATTTAGATTCATTGGAAGCGGGCGTATAAACTGTTGAATTAAGCATATGGTATTGTTGTGTAAACATTTGACTAATGGTTTTAAAAATAGAAACCTTTTAGAGGAACGGGTATAGAAGACTCCAAGGGTATAAGGAATTCTGTTAACAATTCCGTTAACAATAATATAATGGAGCTGCTTTACTTAGAAACTGGAGCACTCACTCTAAAACTACAAGCAACGCGAGCTCAGAATTTTAAAATATAGAAAATCAAGAACTCGAACCACTCTCTTAAAAGTTTATTCATTGCTCTTCTTTTGCTCTTCTTTTTAATTCTTCAGTTAACTGCCTTTAACTGTCTTTAATAGTATCTTATAATTATGTTAAGGTTTGTCATGTTAGAGAGTGAAATACAGTTTATGTACACCAACATGTGCAGAACATACAGGATAATGAATAAATATAATTAAGATGTCAAACACGACCACTTTATAAGTGCGCAGCTATTAACTATCGTGTAAAGCACCAATGGTCAAAATCCAAGAACTTTATTCCTTATATTAGGAATTAGAAACACAGGATAAGTATAAAGCCAAAATCCAAAAAAAGAAATCCCAGATAGAGAATAATAATCAAAATTGAACACGTGAAGGATAGAACGAATAGGATTTCAGGGAAAACTGGATGCGTCGAAATAGGAAGTCGAAGTAATTATAACACCTGCTTGCTTTCACTCAATCATTCTAAACAGGTCTTTTGTCTTCGTCATTAAATTTGTTGAATTTTACATGACGTACTTCTGCATAGTGCTTTGAAAAAGTTTATTACAACCAAAAGATTATCATAAAGATACGGTAAAACGGTAACAAATAGGTCACTGTTTTGCAACATCCCTGCAAAAAGAGTTGAATAGCGATGTTGCTTGTTTTACCACCCATGATTTGTTGCAAGACAGGCTTGAACATGGGCGATACATACCTACATACATACATACATACATATACTTTACTTATGCTCGAAATTTACAGAGTATCTGTAGAGCCAATCTATTCGAGAAAATAAGTTAAAATAAAATAAAATATGCTATATTACAATTCCAATATTATTTATAAGCTATATACAACATAATGCATGCAGAGGGAAATATAACTGTCTATTGTGGAAAAGCTTCATATCTGAGGATCTCCTGCTTGAATTCTAGAAAATTTAATGTTTTGTAAGTGTCTAGGAGAGAGTTCCATATTTTGCCAGCTAAGTATGAAAAAGGGTGCAGACCGTAAGTCGTTGTTTTTGGGTTGGGAAGGGTCAGGATATGATTTCCACACAAACTGTAGGATGAAGACAGTACGGTGAACCTATCTTTTAAATAACCTGGATAAAACGCGCAACATCGCTTTTCAACTCGTTTTGCAAAACAAGTTGGACTGGACTAGGGATTTGGGATCGTTATACGTTTCTGGGAAACTGCCCACCTACCCCTCCCGTCAGCCAACATTATCGTATATTTGTTGTTGTTTGCTTTCCGCCCTTCTTTTCCCCGCAAGGTTTTTTTGGTTCCGAACGGAATATGCATCGCACGACGTCGCTTCGTCACTGGATTTATCACAAGATTCTCACATCGTGATTAATATAAGCAGAATCACATTCACAGTCCTCGTATCTAGTGTTATTGTCAAAAAGGTCCTCTTCAGGTCTTGCCACAAATTCCGAGAAGGCAATGATAACAGAAACGGAATTTATTCATCTCCTACGACGGTGATTTCCGACGCCATTTTGTTTGTTTACCTTTTCGTGGCGCCCTCGCAAAAAATGCGCGCGCGTGTCACACGGGATGGCACAATTTGTGCTAAAAGTAGCGCATTTGGCTATTTCGATGGAACCAACCCCATTACTGGAAAAGATATCCACTTACGGTCTCCTACCCCGATTATGGCTCCTGATGGTATATGAAAAGGTAAGGAGTTCGCTCTCGGGGCAGGGCCTCCCGCATATAAAACTTTGTTGAGTACCCCCTCCCCCTCCCCCTCCCCCTCCGTGCGTATCAGGGCTTAAAGCTTTGGATTAAAGCATATCTAGCTACTTGTCAGCTTCAGGCAGCTTACGTGTTTTTGTCTGAAGCTTCGCGCTTGAAATCCTATCGGTCAGTATTAGCGTTATACTTTCGTGATGTTTACCCTCATATTCAGAGTAGGAGATAAGAGAGAAGATGGAAATTTGAACCTTTATCAGATTAATAGCATGAGATTGATGTGACAGGTTTTCAATTTAATTGTATGGAATGTTATATCATGCCAGTGGCAGGGTGAAATGTATATTGATAATCGGTAACTTAAATTTGCAGCTCTTAGTTTATATCAATTCACCTTTTTAAGTAAAATCAAAAGTTACTAGACAAAAAAATGTACGACCACTTTCTTCTTTGGTCGTTTTTTTTTTTTAAGTATCACTCAAAGCTGTTTCTTTGAAAAAGGAGGTTGATTTTACTGATTTTAACTGAAACAGGATATGATATGATAATTTTTAGGATTCTAATTACCCTTGCACTTTGTAAACACATATTAGGTTTCTTATACAGCTGTAGCTGCCATCTATTCACTCAGAATATAATGTGAATGATGGCTCAGGCCGTGAAAGTATCACTTAAGGGACTAATTCCATTAAGATGTGACTTTTACTTTTAAAGTCACATCTTAATTTTATTAAAATAATTGATCACCAATAAAGCAATGTCATGTTTGAAGACGGATATTGAACTACAATTTCCTTCCTCCTTGCATCACAGCATAATGCGAGAGGACTGGGGGATAGGAGTGGGGAGGGCCGGGGCACGGGAGGTAGGAGAGGAAAGAACGGGAGGAGAGATCTAAAAGGAGAAGCAGCAGAATTAGAGGAAGATTCTACAACAATGCTTAATATTTCGCCATCGAAACAGAGCTAAGGGAGCTAAAGGGAGGATGGAGAGCGCGAGCTGGGAATGCAAGGTACAGGAGGTGGGAGGTTTGGAGGTTTGGATCCCCCCCTGCCTGTTCCCCCCGCGTGTAGTACTGAAGGTAAAATGACAGCTTGGAAAAAATGACAATCCACTCTGGATATGCTTTGTTTAGTCTGGCAGCTACTTTCAGTAAAAGTGTGGTGAAAAGGTGATCTACCAATTTCTGTCAATATCTTAGTATACCGCCCAAAATAGGGAAACTGAGGGATATTGTTTGAAGAACTAACTAAGTGATTGTAATTACCAATTCAAATCCCTGCAGTGACATTATTAATATGAAAATGCATGAAACGTGATGAGAACGAAGTATAAAACGTGACACTCGGACGTGCAAGGATAGATACTGTTACTGAAAATCAACTGGAATTGGGATTCTCATTATTGTTTGCAGTTTGTGAGAAACTCGTTCAGTCAAGATGTTATTGAATTCTTCAGCTGATGTTACTAACACCTTAAGAAATCATTCGAATGCTGTAGACACTTTCGCGATTGCAAACTGCGCGTTAAACGTCCTATTGGTGCCTATAGCGATTGTTGGGAACGCTTTAGTGTTGGGTGCCATTATAAGAACCACGTCGCTCCACTCACCATCAATGGTATTTATTGGAAATCTAGCCATCACAGATCTTATTGTTGGACTGATGATTCAGCCATTGTACAGTACCAGTATTTTGCTCACAGATGTTCCCATCCTCAAAACTGTAGTGGAAATAACGGCCTATCCGATGTGCGGTGTTTCGCTGTGTACTTTAACAGTCATAAGTGTTGACAGATTTATGGCCTTACACTATCACATGCAGTATAGCACTTTGCTGACTACATCTCGAGCTGTACGTATCGCAGTGATTATATTCTGCATCATCTTTCTCGCAAGCGCCATTTTATACTTTTTGAACAAAATTGTGTTTTTATTCGTCGCCGCCTTAGGCATTTGTCTTTGTTTTCTAATATCAATCATTTCTTACATCCAAATTTATCGAATCGTTCGTCGACATAAACATCAAATTCATGCCCAGCAGTTGGTACTTCAGGGTACAAATGCTTCTACGAACTGGAGCCTCATGATTCAGCTCAAGAAGAGCGCATTGAACACATTTATGTTCTACATCGTTACCATTCTCTGTTATATACCAGTGGTTGTTTCTTTATGTGTTTACAGTTGGTCTTTTAACAACTGGACAAAGTCATGGAACTTCGCTGATACTCTAGCATTCATGAACTCATCTTTAAACCCATTTTTGTTTTGTTGGCGTCTTAACGGGCTTCGATCAGCAGTCGTAAATATGGCAAGGAAGAAGTTATGTTGCTAACAACTTTCATGTAATTATCGTCGGGCTTTTGGGAATTTCTGAACGATGTTGTTAAAACCAGTTTAAGTCCATTATAAACATACAAATTTGGCAAATAAATAAAGAAAAATAAGTAAACTGTTGTAAACACTAAATCAGTGGGTAATCTGTACTGACACGTTGATGGGTGTGCAGCACTTAAACGCATCATATACAGTGGAGATGTCGTAACGTCACTTTGCCATGGTAGCAAAATTTCTGGATAACAACAAATCAAAAACGTCACTTAAAAAGTGAATTAGCACTGATTCAAACTTCATCGATCTTCTTCAGTTTTATTTAATCTGTCAAAATGTTTTGCGAAATTTTCTGACGTTGAATCCGAAAGGACCGTATGTAAGTTACAAAAAGAAAGACTTTGTGTTGGATACTCCATAAAGTGGGCGAGTGAAATTAGGAAGTTTCATGTCGCGGTCTTGCAACGACGGCTGAGTATTGTACAAAAAAGCGTGATGCACGTGCAAACTTGTGGTTTTGCTAATAGGGAGCTTAAGCAGCAACGTTTTTGAGCGACGCACGTCAACCGGAAGTGGCCTTTTTTCATTTTTTGACGGTGGTTTCGCGCAAATTTTCAGTCAAATCGCCTCTATAACAGTAAAGAAGCTAAGGAATACAAATTTTATATCATCAAGGCATGTTAAGAGGGAAAATACCTCACTTCCGGTTGACGTGCGTCGCTCAAAAACGTTGCTGCTTAAGCTCCCTATTGTAAACCTATTGCTTTTTTGCTGTGCTCGTTGCCGTCACCGTTGTTCCCGGTAAGTCCCCCATTGTTGTGATCCAGAAGTTTTGCTGCCATGGTAACGTGACGTCACAATTCTCCACTCCGATTGAGACCCTTTCTAACTCAACACAGCTGACTGAACTTAACTCTGTTCTTACAAGTAGCATGTGGTTTGAACCAGGGAATCCTACAATAAGAATGTAAGTGCTCAAGTGATTGCAGGATCAGGAGGCATTGCGACCGATGTGGGACGATTTTTAACTGCAAAATCAAGAAACAGAAAAGAAATAAAAGGAAAGAGACAGAGGAAAGCACAAAAAGAAACCAGGAACTAAACGATGGTGTCAGAGCACTCGATCTCCTCCCACCAATGTGGACTGGGTTCAAATCCCGGCGTCGACGTCATACATGCGTTGAGATTGTTGATAACTTTCCTTTGCTCCAAGAGGTTAACGGTACGTAGACAAAGAGGCACTTTTTTGGATGTGGTACCTCAAAATCGTATTTTTTTAATTAGATTCCTTCACTATAAACGCTTTCATTTGTGATTTTAAGTTACTCAATCTTTCCAGTACCTGGCAGGACATCGTTTCCAAGGTCTTTCGTCGTCAAGAATACAGAGACCCTGGGGATAATGTTGAACTTAGTATGCTGTCATCTAGCGGTGTTTGAAACCGGGGGGGGGGGACTGCCTACATATGGAAGGAGTGGGGATGCTCGTTGGAAATTTTGAATTAAACCCCTAAAGAAGACCAATCTGGGCGTGGCCCAAACTTTTTTGAACCCCTAAAAGAGGTCATGTGAAGACAAAACGATTTATATATTTTTATATTTTTTCACGTGCGACCCTAAACGAGACCTTCACTGCTAAATATGATGGCGTTTTTCCCAGAACACCCTAAGTGAGACCAAAATCCGAAATTTACACCCCTAAGCGAGACGACGAGCATCCCCACCCCTTTCATATGCGGTGTCCCCCCGGGGTTTGCAAAGAGCAGGAGCCTATTTCTTAAAAAGAGTAAATGCTTTTACAAAATACAGTTGCTAGAGTAGTGTCCTTATAAGCGAGGCCAACTTTCATGAGAATCTTTTAAATTAGACAACAAAACAGCCCCATTGTTTACACTGAATTTGCAACGTAATCTTTAGCGACAAAGTAAGCTATAAATATCTTTTATGGCCATCATTTGTTAATAGTGGGGCCATGAGCAACTAGAACATTGACATCATGGACTGAGATTACGAAGTCTGGCTAACAATAATCCTGGATTAACTACCGACAGAGCAGTTGTCATGGTAATAAGCCTGAGATTTGCTTTAATCTTTCCAACAATTCGCCCCAAATGTCAAAAAGACATCCTAAAAATGAATCTTTTCTCTCTTTGTAACTCCATACCAAGGGAGTTAAGAAAGTCATACTTGTTCCATCAAGCGAAACGCCAGACGTCCGGTTGTTATTCCTGACGCATGTTCGTGACGTCTACCTTCTCGCTGTTTAAGCACGCCTACATACGAGCCTTTGTTATTTTTGTTAGGTTTGTTATTTTTGTTTTAGCCTTAAGTGTAGAGCTCACTTATACTTTGAGGGGGCTTAAAATTAAAACATCTTTTACGGTATTCAGGTCTAATCACGAGGTCTAAACTACGTAGTTTTGATTGCGTCATTGTAATTCTAGTGCAATATTAATTTTTCATAATTAAACTCAAAATAGGCAGAAAAGATAAATCAGTAGACAGGAGCAGTGAGGTGTAAAGAAATCCAGCGCAAAGGTCGTAAAGAAGACGAATTTTTAATTGGAACTGCTTTTAATTGAGAATCGATCGACAGCGTCGATCTTATTCAAGTTAATGAATTTTTAATCTAAATTTGCTTGAAAATGTAATCGCCCGGTTTTTTATGTTGTGGCCAAACAAAACTTAACTTGTTATGCTGCGTGATTATAAAGTTAAAAAGACTCGCTCTGTGTGTTTTAAAGTTCACAGTTAAGAAAAGTAAGTTAACTAATCTATCGTGATCAATTCCTTACTGAGAAGAAACTAATTTTCAGATTAATTTTCGTGTTACGGGACAGAAGCTGAAATATTTTAGCCATCTTAAAAGCAGTGAGTTACTAGAGAAGATCTTGATCATAAGCTAGGAAGGATAAAAGGGGACAAGTATAGACAAGAGAAAGAGGTAGACCAAGAAGGCAGACCGGACTCTTTTAACGGCACTAACAGAAGTTGGAAAACTAGCGTGATCAGATAAAGAACGTTTCCGAAGTGAGGGGTCGAAGATGCAACGTCCAGTAAGATATCAAGAAGCTAGATAGAAGTTGGCTGTATTAGTAAGCAAAAAAATTAATAATTTTAAAAATGAGGAATTTAACATTAAAAGATATAGAGTGGATAATACTAAGAATGAAATCTTTCAGACAAAAAAATAAACGAAACATATTCCTCTTCCTTTTCTTACAGCTTCTTGTTTAGATCATTCAAATGCAAATAATAGATGACAATTAATAGGCGCGGGTAAGATATTTCTTTCCAGAAATAGATACGCCTAAATATCGTAATGTTTGTCGCCTACTGAACAATAAATTTACAATATATTGCGAAAAGTAATCATTACTTTCGGCAGAAACCAGTCTTCAAAGGTTGAATTTTTTGTAAGCAGAAAAGCGAGGACATTTTGAGAGTTGAAGGTCTGAGTAACGGCTCTTCGTCGCCGAAAATGAACCACGTTCTGAACATTACGGAAAACAATTTATTTATGGACTCTTTCAATCTGTCACAAAACACGTCTGGTGAAGATACTGTCTCGCACATAATAACCAGCGCCATAAACGTTCCGTCTATGCTGGTAGCCATTGTGGGCAACAGTTTGATTTTAGCCGCCATTTTGAGCACACCTTCGCTTCGTTCACCGGCCATACTTTTGCTGTGTAATCTGGCTGTTTCAGATCTTCTCGTCGGTCTCGTTATCCAGCCACTTTTCATTGTCAGCGTTTTTCACTCAACAAGACTCCTATTAACCGGTATATGGTTCATACTTTCGAACAGTGCATGTGGAATTTCTCTCTGTACGTTGACAGCCATAGCCGTGGATCGATTCCTCGCTCTTCACTACCACTTAAGATACTCAACAATAGTGACTTCCTTTCGCATCAAGACCTTCCTAACTGCTCTGTGGCTTATGAACTTTATATTTTCTGGTACGGTTTACTTCTGGAGTTTACGCATATTTTCCCTTTACTTAACTATCTTTGTTTGCCTGTGCCTAATCATTTCAATATTCTGTTACGTGAGAATATTTAAAATCGTTCGCCATCAGCAGAAAAAGATTCATTGCCAGCATCAAGCTGTTAATTTGCCTCAGGGAAGCACAATTTCAAATTTGCTTCAGTTGGAGAAGAGTGCGATAAATTCGTTTTTGTTTTTTATTGTGATGGTTCTTTTTTACATTCCGGTGTCGACTTATTTGTCCCTTTTCATCACAAAAAACACTTGGCAGAGTGGATGGAGGGTTGCAACCACTTTAGTTTATATAAACTCTTCAGTAAACCCGTTCTTGTATTGCTGGCGAATAGGTGATCTCAGAGCTGCAGTGTTGAAGACTGCCAGGAAGTTGTTCTGCAGAAAATAACTGTGACGACATTGGTCAATTTTGATTTGTGACGTGTTAGCTTCGCGTTCACGAATAAAGCGTGTTGTTGTTGAACCGCCATCTTAGAGTCCTCTATTCACTTTGTTTTCTTCTCCAGCTTAAATCCACCGGCGATAATTGTCACAACAAAGAACCAGAAGGTGAAAGAAAAATAGTTTTCTTGGATTCCGTAAAAGAAACTAAATTAGTGTTGTAAGAAATGCATTCCTTAAGCAGCACAAAAGGTATGCTGAAGAGGTGCACCATTTCAATGGCAAGCAAATCATAAGACATTGTTTACGGAACTGATCGAGGTTGATTGTCAGAACGCTACCCTTTTAAAACTACACGATTGCAAACATTTGGCGAAAAGAGCCAAAAATACAGTTATTTTTATATAATAACCGCTGGAACTAGTATATTTCTTAGACAGCTCTTAGACGCAAGACCCCCGGATGTAAGACCCCTGAACGTAGGACCTCTACCCCTGGCTGACAGAATGACACGACCGTCTATTTCATGAGCTATGTCTAAATAAAGCAACGTTTTAGATTCCATCTTAGTTAGCTCAGTGTGTTTTGTTTATTCTAAAGTATGTGGTGGCCAACTCAAAAGCAGTTGCTACTTTAGCCTAAGTAGTATTAGTTCTGTCTTATTTTATTCAATTAATTATTGAAGAGAATCTGTTATTGTTTTAATTTATATCTGTGAACTGACTTGGAACTAAATAATGTGAAAATACATGAATGTCAGCTTGAGCTTCAACTTAAGACCCCTGGACGTCAAACGCTTGGATGCAAAAACCCTGGGATTCAAGACAACTGGATGTTGAACACTAAAGAAGATAAAAGAACAGCTGGACGTAGGAAAGTTGAGCGCAAGACCCCTAGTTGTAAAACCATGAACCCCAAACGTAAGACCGAGGCTGTAAAACCCTGACGTAAGACCCCTCGACGTAACAGCCCTAAGACTACTTAAGGTGTAACACCCCTGGACTACTTAAGACAACTAGACTTCAGACCCCTAGAAGTAAGGCTCTGCACGAAAACACCCTGAATGTAAACCCCTTGGAAGTAAGACACCTGGATGTAAGACCCTTCGACGCAAGACCCCCGGGTGTAAGACCCCTGGACGAAAGAACCCAGGATGCAAGCTCCGTGGACGTAAGACCCTTTCACGCAACCCCAATATGTAAGACCCCTAGATGTAATAAGATCCCTGGACGTAAGACTCCAGGGCTTAAGGCCCCTGGACGTAGGATATCTGGACGTAAGACCTAAGACCCTGAACGCAAGACCCTGGACGAAAGAACGTAAGACCCGAACCCCAGGGCTTAAGGCCCCTGGAAGTAGGATATCTGGACGTAAGACCAATGGATATAAGACCACTGGAACTAAGACCCCTGAACGCAAGACCCCTGGACGAAAGAACCCAGGATGCAAGCTCCGTGGACGTAAGACCCTTTCACGTCAACCCCAATATGTAAGACCCCTGGATGTAAGACGTAAGACCCCTAGATGTAATAAGATCCCTGGACGTAAGACCCCAGGGCTTAAGGCCCCCGGAAGTAGGATATCTGGACGTAAGACCAATGGATATAAGACCACTGGACGTAAGATGATCAAGACCCTGGACAAAAGAACCCAGGATGGATATAAGACCAGGACTGGACAAAAGTAAGAGATACCCCCCTAGACGTAAGCCTTTAGGGATAAGACCCTGGAAGTAAGACTGGATAAAAGACTGCTGGATGTAAAACAACTGGTCGTAAGACCCCTTAAAGTAAGTCCCCTGCACGTGATACCACTCAATATAAGACCCGTGAATGTAAAGACCCTGAACGTAAGTAAAACCCATGCAAAATCGACGTAACACCCTGAAAGACCCTGAATAAAAGCTTGACCCTGGACGTAGGTCCCCTGGATGTGAGATCCTTGGACATAAGAGCCCCGGACGTATGACCCCAAGATGTAAGGCCCTGGACGTAAGACCCCTGGATGTAAGACCACTTGACGTAAGATCCCTGGATGTAAGACCCTTGAAAGTAACCCTCCTGGACGTAAGAGTCCTTGATGTAAAACCAATGGACGTAAGACCCCTGGATGTAAGACCACCGAATGAAAAGACTCTGGAAGTAAGACCCCTGGAAGTAAGGACCCTGGAAGTAAGACCCCTGGGTGTAAGACCCCGGGGTGAAAGACCCCTGGATAAAAGAAGCCTTGATGTAACATTCCCAGATGTAAGACCCCTCGACAAAATTCGCCTGGATATGAGATTACTCAATATAGGACGCCAGAACGTAAGAGCCTTCTTTGTAAGACCCCCTGGAACTAAGAACTCTGAATGTGAGACCCCTGGGTGTAAGACCTCTGCACTGGAATTAAGACCCTTGGTTGTAAGACCCCTAGATATAATACCCCTGGACGTAAGGCGAATGTAGTGGCCCTGGATGTAACACCCCTGGACGTAAGACTTCTGGAAGTTAAAGACCCCTGGATGTAAGACTACTGGAAATAAAACCACCAGAAGTAAGACCCCTAGACATAAGACCCCGGGACGAAAGGGACGACCAGGACAAGTAGCTCAACCGGGACAACCAAGACAACTGGGACAAAAGGGACAACCAAGACAACTGTGACAACTAACCAAGACAATTGGGATGACCAGGACAACCAGGCAACCACGAAAACTGCAAAAAAGACAAGCAGGATAGGTGGGACAATCGGGAAGACGACGGAGACAACCGGGAAAAACGAAAACCTGGGACAACAGGGACAATAGGGAAAACAGGGCAACAGTTACAATAGTGACAACAGGGACAACAGTAACAACAGGGACAGCAGTGACAACAGTGAAAACAGTGACAAAAGGGAAAGAAGTGACAACAGGGAAAACTGAGTGACAACAGGGAGAAGAGGGACAACAGGAAAACAGTGACTGACAACAGTGACATCAGGGACAGCAGCGACAACAGTGACAACAGTGACAAAAGGGAGAACAGGGACAATAAGGACAACAGGCACAACAGCGACAACAGTGGCAACAGGGACAGCAGTGACAACAGACAACAGGGACGACAGGGACAACAGAGACAACAGGGACAACATGGACAACAAGGACAACAGGGACAAACAGACAGGGAGAAAAAGGACCCCAGAGACAGTAATTAAAAGGATAACAAGGACAACAGGGATAAAAGGGACAACAACAAAGACAACAGGGACAACCGAGACAACTTTGCAACCAGGACAATAGGGTCAAATGAGACAACTGGGATGACCGAGTCAACCAAGACAATTCCTGGACTACCTTGACGAGCAGGACAACCGGGACAGTCGGCATAATCAGGAGGAACCGTAAAACCGAAACAACGGAGACAACCAAGAAAACCGGGACGACCTGGAGAACCGGGCAACCTGCAAAACTGGGAGAACCAGGACAAAAGGGAACACCATGATAACCGGGTCAACAGTGCCGACCTAGACAACCGGGACAACAGGACAAATGGGACAACTTGGACAATCGGGACAACTGAAACTACATGGACAACCGAGACACCCAGGACAACTTGGACACTGGGACGACTGGGACTACGGCGACAGCTGGGATAATCAGGGCAGCTGAGACAACTAGACAACCTGGGCCCAGTTGTTCGAAGTCCAATTAGCGCTTAACCCAGTGTTAAATTCAACCCGGTTTTCTTTCTCCTTTGTTCAAATCATTTTCTCGGATAATTTTCTCTGGTATTCTTAAGAGCATCCAGTCATCAACTTGTTGACAAAAAAAAGTAAAATGAATTTACTTTTAACCTTTCATATCTGAATTCAAATTGCGCACTAACCCTGGGTTATCTTATCCCAGCTTGGAACAACCCGGCCTAGGACGTAAGACGCCTAAAGGTAATAGCCATTGATGTAAGACCCCTGGACATAAGACCCTGGATGTAAGATCCCTGGACGTAAGGCACCTAGACTTAAGACGTCTGGATGTAAGTAAAACCCCTGGACGTAAGACCCCGTAATGTGAGACCACTAGACTTATGAGCCCTTGATGCAAGACCCTTTAACGCGTGACTCTTGGACGTAAGTGCCCTGGATGTAAGATCCTTAGAATTTAAGCCCCCTGGATGTGGGACCACTGGAGATAAGAGCTCTGGATGTAGGAGCCCTGGATGTAAGATCCCTGGACGCAAGAATCCTCGTCATGAGACGCCTAGATGTACGGCCCCCAGACGTAAGACGACCGGATTAAGGTCCACTGGACGTAAGAACCCTAGATAGAAGACCCCTGGACGAATACCCCTGGAGGTAAGACCCCTGGATGTATGATCCCTAGATGAAGGACCTCTGGAAGTGATAGCCCTTTACGTAAGACCCCTGGACGCAAGACCCATGTACGTTAGAAGACCCCTGGACGAATACCCCTGGAGGTAAGACCCCTGGATGTATGATCCCTAGATGAAGGACGTGATAGCCCTTTCCTTCGAGACCCAAGACTGTTACCTGACGTAAGACCCTGGACGTAAGATCAAGCCTGGATAAGACCCTGGACGCAAGACGCCTGGATGTAAGACCCTTAGAGGTAAAGCCCCTGGATGGAAGCCCTCTAGACATAAGACCACTTGACGTAAGACCCCTGGTTTTAAGACCTCTGCATGTAATACTACTGGACGTAAGAGCCGCGGATGTATAAGTTTCCTGGACGTAGGACCTCTCGATATAAATCCCCTGAACGTAAGGCCCCGGATGTTAGACCCCTTGATGTAAGCGCCCTTAACGCAGACCCTTAGACTTGCTACAAGTCGAGCTCCTTTTTTGGCCGCGAAGAGGACGACCGCGAGCGACGAAGTCGCGAGTCGTCCCGCGCCATATGAAATCCGACGAAGGACTTTTTTTAAAGGCTAGCAGACACTAGATGTAAGACCCCTGGATCTAAGGCCCAGTTCAAACGTCGAATTTCACATGTGCCGAACTTAATTGCTATTTTAGTCGACTAAAATAGTTAAATACGGCATTTGATTCAAACGTCGAATTTAACTCACTGAACTCTGTCGAATTTAACTCTCTTCGCTGTCAATATTCCCAGTAATATAATAATAATTTACTAAAATTCATTCATTAAGTTCGGCACATGTGAAATGCGACGTTTGAATCAAAAGTCGAACCTAAGTCGAATCTTCGACTGTTTCAGTCGCAGATACGGCAAACGTTGCATTTAATTTAAACAGTCGAATTTAATTGATTCAAACGTCGCACTTCACATGCATGCATTTAACTCTCGCGTTAAGTTCGGCACATGTGAAATTAGACGTTTGAACCGGGCTTTAGACCCCTGGACGTACAACTCCTGGATGTAAGACCAATGGACGTAAGGTTGAATGTTTTCCTGATTAAGGGGAAAAGAATGATCATATCTGGGGCAGAATTCGGTCATTTTGCTTGTCTTGGTTGTCTGAGAATGTTTTCATATGATCGCTTTAAATTTCTCACGATTGCCTCGATTGAAGTTCAGTACGGTACATCTAAACTATTAAGGTCGCTGCAATCGTCCAGGGTTTTCTTTGATTGCCTGGGTGTTTTTATATGATTGTCTCAATGGTCTAAACATTATTTGAGACGACTAGTTACATGGGGCGATCCGAACGATCCGAACGACTGCGGCTAATTACGTAACTGCCCTAGGGGTTTTTCCCTGCGGTGAGTGCTCCGTTAATACACGTTCTAAAACCCGCTTTGAGAAACTCGAAATCTAAACTTGTCAAAAATGGCCTCGAAATGGCCCTAGAAGTGAACAGACAGTTTAAGAGAAAAGGAAAATTAGCGCGAGTCCTTTTTTTTTCGAAGCTTTTAAAAAATAGGAATGGATTTGCTTACGTGCCCGAACAGTCTGGGCTGCCTGTGCGGTGTAGAGCAAAGGTAACCTTAGTTCCCAATCCTTTCACTAACATCAATAATGTCATGGCCGCTGCGAGGACGAAATGGCAATTTGTTCCTCCTAATTGCGTCGATTGTCTGTATTTTGATCACAATTGTAAACTACAATGTGTTACGAGAGTTGCCTTCCGATTCAACATCCTGGACGAGGTCCAGTGTGCAAGGTAAGTGAATTTTTGCCGCATGATTTCACGGTCTACTTGTTGTGTCGTTATTTTGGTAAATACAGCATTTGTTTTGAATAGTGCAGATGAACTCCGGTTTAACAATAGTTTGTCCTTGCCAGTGGGATAAATTGAGAATTTTCCCTTTCATTTGTAATCAGCCCACAGAAAATCGTTTTTTCTCTGTAGGCTATCTCAGAATCAATGACTGAAAATTATATTGGAAAAACAACTTCTTGAATTGCGTATTGATAAACGGATGTACGGCAAATTTTTGCTCTCAGCGTCTATGATTAACATTCTTTCGCAATAATTTACCATAAGTTATACCGTTAATCGTAAATTTATAAGTCTTAAGCTGATTTCCTGCTACATAGAACTAATGCGTAACTGTTGGTGTCCTTTGATGACTTACAAGGACGAAAAGCTGAGTCGTGCAAACGTCCACATGATGGGCAAGTTTGTAGTGTTAATTCTGATATCCATGTGTATTTTGGGCTCGTGCAGAGATTAACTATCAAACGAAATTTATTTTACCCCACCTAGCCTTTTTATCTCTCTATTCCTTAATTTCTCGCTTACGCGGCGTAAATGCTCGAGAACGTCGTCCACGTGTAGTAATTGAATTAAATCTCACTTTGACACAGATGCTAAGCAATGAAAAAGCCAAAGAAAGAATGTTCTGATCTTTAGGGTTCGGGTAGGAGGTTCGACTCTTGGTTTCCTTTTTTTTTTTTAAATTCCTCTTTCCCACAAGTATTCATGCAGAAGGACAAAATTGCCTCTTTACGAAGCCTCGTACGTTGTGAACATTTGCCCCTGTCGGTACATGGATATTCTTAACCTGCGATCAGGCGATTTTTTTTTGTTGGTAGGTTATTCCTTTCAATTATTGCTGCCGTTGTAATTTATTTATATAAAAGTTTGCAAAATAAAAACTTGAAAACAAAGCTTTGTGGTGTAATTTGCTCATCTGATGTAAATGCATAAAGCTACTCAGGACTATTTGTTGTTAATTTTGTAATTGGTGCTTAAACATATAAGCTTAAATTATAGGTTATCTGGTGTCAACGATCCTACTTGGCATTTTTTAATACTACTTCTTAGTTTCGTACCGCAGGTATGCCGGGCACTCCTCAGATAAAATCTGAGGAGTGCCTCGCATACCTGCAGTACAAAACTAAGTAATAATTAAAAAGGCCAAGTCGGATTGTTGACACCAGATCAGATAACCTTAGATTATACTCTGCTCTAGTACTTCTATTGAGCACTCTGCAAAAATACAAATGTATCAACTGGTATAAGCTTAAATATACATTTGTATCTTGTTTAAGTTACTCATTCTTGAGGTAAAGTGTTGTGTTAACTCAGATATTTTTTTTTGATGTGTGGATAAACAACAAAACAATGCAACCGATGTTTACTTTAATTTTCTTTTTTTTTCTGCAGTATAGTGTGAAAAAGTTAATCATACAATCTTTGCACCATACTTTTAAGCTTTAGATAATAAATAAAAATAGAAATTAACATTTGACGGTCACTTAAAACTGAAACTTACCAGCAACTGGCAGTTTGAAACTCGAGTTTTTTCAAGTTGTATTGTTGGTTAGACTGGAGAGCACATTCTGAACTTTCACTTGGTCTGTGCCTTGTCCTCTGGCTTTGGTATTTCATGGTGCGAAACAATTTGCACTTTGTCAATCAATCAATCAATCAATTAATCAATCTATCTATCGATAGTTGATCAATCAATCAATCAATCAATCAATTAACAAAACATGTAGCATTTTATGGAAAGAAAGAGCAGTTCTATCAGCTCTTTATTCTTGGTATTCCAAATTATTAATTTGAATTAAATGCAATTGAAGGGTTTCCTGAAAAAAGGGCGTAATTTGCTTATCATAAGCAAATAAAGGAAACCCTTCAATAATATTATACTTCACTGATTTAGATTTCATAACACTTTAAGCCCAATATAAACATACCAATTCTCTAGACTGATCTCTATACATTTCCTTAAAGATTTAGTTGAGAGAATTTATTAAAAGATCAGCATTTCCCCATTGGTGATGACTCACTGATCACCTTATATATTCGCATAACCTTTTCTCTTAATGTTGTATTGATATTTTTGGGAGAAAACTGATCTTGCATAGTCACTCAGGTACTGTTTTGTACTGATTCTACAACAGGTGACTGGGAAAACAAAGACTACGAACAGCGGTTGAATCGTCTTGAGAAACATATCTTTGGAAAAGGTAACATAATGAGTTGAACCTTTATTAAGTGACCAGTCCCCGGTGCAGAATTCGGATTGACAGCCGAGAACAGAAATCATGTACTAGGTTATATATATCTTCTCGAGGTCGGCCGCTCAATAAAGGTGCATCATAAATCAGCAAAATCCTATAGCAGAAACATCACTGCCTTTATTTTGGAAGAAAAGTGCAATGAAGAAGCATCACTGGTCAAAAATGTGTTGTCACCTTTTACATATTGGACTGTATTTTCCTTCATCACATTCTTGAAGTGAAGCCAAACTTAGTGAAGATCAGTGAATTAAGCACTTGATGGCTGCTTAATATAAAGGTGACAATAATGGTGGTACAAAAATGTGGCCACAGTCACTTAAAAGATGTGGCTGCTTAATAGAAGATTAATAGATTATTTTGGAATTTTGATTACTGGACGCTCAATCAAGGGTGGCTACTTTATGGAGATTTGACTTTATTTTATTTTTTTGTGTGACTTGTTTCTGTAAGCGCTTTCTAGTAGCACAGTGCTTGTAAGAGATCTGGGAGCCATTTATGTTGTCATTATGTTCTCAAGTGATGCATGTATTATAATGTAGTTCAATACATGTAAGACACTTTTTCTTTGTTTTGTACATTTGTTTAGAGTACAATCCTAGTCAAGAAAATGGAGGTGTCAATCAGCGATTAGAAAAGTTGGAACAAGTTATAAATACAGGTACAAATATTGCATGATTAAGGCCCTCTACTAACTACAAGTGAGTTACATACTGTATGTCCCTGGTCTGAATTTCAAAACCAGCTGTCTTTTTCGCATAAATTTATTATTTCAGAGGAAGCCATTTCATTCTCAGTATTTAACCATTGCATTACTATTGCGCTTTTCTGTGTTGTTGTCATGGTTTCAGCCCATCTTTGTGTTGTTTGTCGCCATTTCTACCATCCTGTGTCACTGTTTCAAGGTCATGTCCTTGTCAGAATTTTACCCGAACAGGGCCCCATTTAGACTACGAGTAGTCCCCCATTTTTTCTCAGGGGTGATTTTCACGCGTGCTCGCATTTCGCTCGCTCTACTATCCCTGAGAAAAAATGGGGAACTACTCGTAGTCTAGGCCCCATTATTATATGGATCATCAATAACAAGTGGAATATGTTAACTTGCAGTTACATCAATTCAATGTTCAGTTTTGAGCATTGCATTATATGTTTTTTTTATATAGAGATCGCATGTTTTAATATATTTAGGTACTCTTTATTTCTAAAATTTATGAAGCTTAAGATATAAACTTCAAGTAGAGATTTGTTAACTTGCTATTTAATATTTACCTATTTTCAGTAAAACTGCAATAATCTTGTTGGCATTTAGTCCTTTGTCTCTCAGTTCTAATAGATGTTATTCAAACACACCAAATAAATGACTGGTTTCCAGTTGGTTTTACAATTGGTAGAGCAATTCAATGCATGTACCAGTATACAGGGTCAAAGATTTGAATACTGTACAAGCCTAAGTACAGTTTTCAGGCTTCCTTTTGAAAAAAAAACTACTTAAAACTGCAATGATCTTGTTTTTTATGATACAAGCAGAGGATCAAGATTGAGCTAAATTACATGCAATAAGCAATCTTTTTGTCAATGCCCAACATTTTACACATGATAATAATCTGGTGGATAATTGATTTTGTCAGTGGTGTATTTCCTTTATCTTAATTTTGGATCTTTGATTGTAAATTTTTTACTTTTGTTGTGGTGACCAGAAAATGGAAAGAAACAGGAATGTGTGATTCCACATGACACGCTGTTCCCATTTTGTGAGGACAAAGTTTCCGTAAGTCTACTTGTACACTTTTCAGTTTTACTTTTCAAGGAGGATCTAGTCGGGGCAGGGGGAGGAGGAGAGGGATGGGTTGGGGAAGAGTCCTTGGGTAACAAATACATCTGTCGCCATAATTAATTCAGATCCCCTCTCTCCATCTCAGAATAGAGATACAAATTTTGTATCTATGGACTATCCCCACCCCAATCAAAAAACCATGGTTCAAGGAGATGGCGTGGCCAGGGGTCAATTTTTGTGTGACCCCTATACATGTACAGTGTGTTTGACCCTATCATACAATGGCTAGTGCTGTGTTCATTGCAATAGAAAATGGGCGTAGCGCATCTTTGGATGGGGGTCTTACATAACTGGCATTTGCAAAAAATTTGCAAATTTTGTAATCAGCAATTTTTTTTTTGTTTTTGCAACCCCTTTCGTATCTGAGAAACGCAAAATTTTTAGTAGAGGCAGAAATGTCAATTAAAGGAACTGTCATAGAATATTTGTCATGTTTGCAAAATAAGATTATCTGAAGACTGAGGGATAGCTGTCAAGGAACAAAGGATTTTGTTGCTTGAAAAAAATTTTAAGCCTACATCTTACAAGTTGGGTGGTGTAAGTTGAGAAAATTTTGGTAGGTGAAAAAAGTCTCTCGCACTAGAAATGGCTTCCTGTTGACAGACTTTTTTTGCAAAACAAACAAAATTATGCACAGGGTGAACAGGGCCTAAGATGGAGTAAACAGGGCCTAACATGGGGTTTATTCAGGCATGAATGGGTTGATACTTTTAAGTACAGTATTAAAAATGACGAAAAGTTCACAACATACTTACAGTTTTTATGAGAGGTGTTAATGTCACTCATCCATTAGTTATATATTTGCCATGAGTAGCTGTTCTTGCATGAATTTTTTTGTTGTGCACTTTGAGTCCTGCCTTGTAAGCAATAAGGTAAATAAGAAAAACAAAATTGATATTTTTGGTTTGTTTTCTTTTTTAGTGGATGAGAAATTTATGGCAAACAAATTCAGCTTGCTACATTGGACAGCATCATGTGAAGCCAGAGAACTTATGTTCAATACTTGTTTATCTTAGTGAGGTACATGGTACTGCTGATGATCAACATACTTTGCTGTTGATCAAGGAATATAAACATTGGCACTTGAAGAACAGTGGAACCTCAATATAACAAAGTGCCAATAGACTGGAAAAATTTGTTTGCTATACCGAGGCTTGGTTATATCGAGATACTTTTTGATATATTTTGCTATTACTAGGGTCAAGAAAATCGTTCTTTGT